TATAATTAGTATAAATATGGTAGATTTAGCATTTAGATTTATTTACACTTCGCTTCTGAAGATGCCAACATCGTTGGCGGAAAGTACTTTAAGCAATTTGTGTTTTGTTTTGGGGAATATTTCTAATATTTGTTTAGGTCAAATCTTGTTTAAAGTTGGAGATGGAACTTATTCTTTATTTAAAGATTATTTCTTTTACTTCGTTTATGATAGGGGGATTCTTTTTTAAAGATCAGTTCTTTTTTTTGTTGGGGGTCGTAAGTCAAATCTTGTTTAGATTCTTTTTGTTAGGGCAAATCTTGTTTAAGTTGGAGATGGAACTAATTCTTTATTTAAAGATAAGTTCTTTTACTTTGTTTTTGTTAGGGTCGTAAGTCAAATTGTCTTTAGTTTTTTTTGTTAGGAGTCGTAAATCAAAATTTTTTTAGATTCTTTTTGTCAGCGCAAATCTTGTTTAAGTTGGAGATGGAACTAATTCTTTATTTAAAGTTAAGTTATTTTAGTTCGTTTTTGTTAGGGGTCGTAAGTCAAATTGTCATTATTTTTTTTTTAAGTTGGATATGGAACCTATTCTGTTTTAAAGATCAGTTATTTTTTTTTGTCAGGGGTCGTAAATCAAAACTTTTTTAGATTCTATTTAATTTGTTAGGGCAAATCTTGTTTAAGTTGGAGATGAAACTAATTCTTTATATAAAGTTCTTTTAGTTTGTTTTTGTTATGGGTCGTAAGTCAAATTGTCATTAGTTTTTTTTAAGTTGGATATGGAACTTCTTCTTTTTTAAAGATCAGTTCTTTTTTTTTTCTTAGGGGTCGTAAATCAAAATTTTTTTAGATTCTTTTTGTCAGCGCAAATCTTGTTTAAGTTGGAGATGGAACTTATTCTTTATTTAAAGTTAAATTCTTTTAGTTCGTTTTTGTTAGGGGTCGTAAGTCAAATTGTCATAGGTTTTTTTTAAGTTGGATTTGAAACTTATTCTTTTTTTAAAGATTAGTTGTTATACTTTGTTTTTGTAGGAATTGTAGATCGTAGGGTCGTAAGTCAAATTGTCTTTAGTTTTTTTTGTTAGGAGTCGTAAATCAAAATTTTTTTAGATTCTTTTTGTCAGCGCAAATCTTGTTTAAGTTGGAGATGGAACTAATTCTTTATTTAAAGTTAAGTTCTTTTAGTTCGTTTTTGTTAGGGGTCGTAAGTCAAATTGTCATTAATTTTTTTTAAGCTGGATATGGAACCTATTCTTTTTTAAAGATCAGTTATTTTTTTTGTCAGGGGTCGTAAATCAAAACTTTTTTAGATTCTATTTGTTAGGGCAAATCTTGTTTAAGTTGGAGATGAAACTAATTCTTTATTTAAAGTTCTTTTAGTTTGTTTTTGTTATGGGTCGTAAGTCAAATTGTCATTAGTTTTTTTTAAGTTGGATATGGAACTTATTCTTATTTAAACATCAGTTCTTTTTTTTTCTTAAGGGTCGTAAATCAAAATTTTTTTAGATTCTTTTTGTCAGCGCAAATCTTGTTTAAGTTGGAGATGGAACTTATTCTTTATTTAAAGTTAAATTCTTTTAGTTCGTTTTTGTTAGGGGTCGTAAGTCAAATTGTCATAGGTTTTTTTTAAGTTGTATTTGAAACTTATTCTTTTTTTAAAGATTAGTTGTTATACTTTGTTTTTGTAGGAATTGTAGATCAAAATTTTGTTTAGATTCTTTTTGTTAGGGCAAATATGGAACTAATTCTTTATTTAAAGATCAGTTCTTTTAGTTCGTTTTTGTTAGGGGTCGTAAGTCAAATTGTTATTAGATTCTTTAAGTTGGATACGGAACTTATTCTTTTTTTAAAGATCAGTTCTTTTACTTCGTTTTTGTAGGGATCATAGGTCAAAATTTTGTTTTTGGGGTCGTAAGTCAAATTGTCATTAGTTTTTTTTAAGTTAAATATGGAACTTATTCTTTTTTAAAGATCAGTTCTTTTTTTTTTAGGGGTCGTAAATCAAAATTTTTTTAGATTCTTTTTGTCAGCGCAAATCTTGTTTAAGTTGGAGATGAAACTAATTCTTTATTTAAAGTTCTTTTACTTTGTTTTTGTTATGGGTCGTAAGTCAAATTGTCATTAGTTTTTTTTAAGTTGGATATGGAACTTATTCTTTTTTAAAGATCAGTTCTTTTTTTTTTCTTAGGGGTCGTAAATCAAAATGTTTTTAGATTCTTTTTGTCAGCGCAAATCTTTTTAAGTTGGAGATGGAACTAATTCTTTATTTAAAGTTAAGTTCTTTTAGTTCATTTTTGTTAGGGGTCGTAAGTCAAATTCTCATTAGTTTTTTTTAGTTAAATATGGAACATATTCTTTTTTAAAGATCAGTTCTTTTTTTTTCTTAGGGGTCGTAAATCAAAATTTTTTTAGATTCTTTTTGTCAGCGCAAATCTTGTTTAAGTTGGAGATGGAACTAATTCTTTATTTAAAGATAAGTTCTTTTAGTTCGTTTTTGTTAGGGGTCGTAAGTCAAATTGTCATTCGTTTTTTTTTAGTTAAATATGGAACAAATTCATTTTTAAAGATCAATTCTTTTTTTTCTTAGGGGTCGTAAATCAAAACTTTTTTAGATTCTTTTTGTCAGCGCAAATCTTGTTTAAGTTGGATATGGAACTAATTCTTTATATAAAGTTAAGTTCTTTTAGTTCATTTTTGTTAGGGTCGTAAGTCAAATTGTCATTAGTTTTTTTAAGTTAAATATGGAACTTATTCTTTTTTAAAGATCAGTTCTTTTTTTTTAGGGGTAAATCAAAATTTTTTTAGATTCTTTTTGTCAGCGCAAATCTTGTTTAAGTTGGAGATGGAACTAATTCTTTATTTAAAGTTAAGTTCTTTTAGTTCGTTTTTGTTAGGGGTCGTAAGTCAAATTGTCATTATTTTTTTTTTAAGTTGGATATGGAACCTATTCTTTTTTTAAAGATCAGTTATTTTTTTTTGTCAGGGGTCGTAAATCAAAACTTTTTTAGATTCTATTTGTTAGGGCAAATCTTGTTTAAGTTGGAAATGAAACTAATTCTTTATATAAAGTTCTTTTAGTTTGTTTTTGTTAGGGGTCGTAAGTTAAATTGTCATTAGTTTTTTTGAAAGTTGGATATGGAACTTATTCTTTTTTAAAGATCAATTCTTTTTTTTCTTAGGGGTCGTAAATCAAATTTTTTTTAGATTCTTTTTGTCAGCGCAAATCTTGTTTAAGTTGGAGATAAAACTAATTCTTTATTTGTTCGCTTTTGGGTAGGACACATATATTTTAAATTCTTTTCGTCGTTGTAGTCTGTTTTAGATAATGATTATCCTATGGAACCAGGCGCCCAGGAGTTTCCTATAAAACCCTCCTTTTTATTCCTTCCATTTAGACCCATTCTAGTTCAATTTCACAATCTTCAGGTTGTTTAATTAAATTAAAATGGTAGATGGATCTTGAAAGTACTTTTTGGATTTTGTCTCGGAACATCGGTAATCCGTGCTAACCCGTTTTTAACGTGGAGCATGTTGTTGCGCACCGGCGCTAATCTATTTGTAACTTAATTATCTGTCGTTTTCCTTTTCCACCCTTCCTATTACCCTAATTCCTTCATTTGGACCTGACATGGACATCTTGGACTTCTTGGAACTTCAGGGTGCGAGTGAATCTTATATGCGAGTATGTATACAACCAGTAAATTTGTTTTTTCCGTGTTTTTGTTTATTTAAATACTTTATCTGTTTTAGGAAATTTTAGGTATATAATATGATAAGGAGGGTGGAGGGTAACTCCGACAGGTATTTTTAACCTGCCGGTCCCAAGCCCGGATAAAGGAGGAGGGCCCTCACTTTTCTTGTTGTTTTCGTCGGATCAAATCTTCTTTAGGTTGTAGATAGCACTTGAGTGGTTTTTGTCAGGTTGTAACTTTTTCCTTTTTAAAGTTCTTTTATTTCCTTTTAGTATAGACTTCCTATTTACCCCTTGTTTAGGTAGGAAATTGAACTTAATACTATAAAGTACATAAGTCAAATCTCTTTTAGCAAGGGTTCCCAGACAGCAATATGACGTCTTAATTAAGTCTGCATAAGCTCTATTTTATGATTTGGACTTCAAATACAACATTAGAAAGAAGTTCTTTAGACTTCGAATACGCCACCTATTGAACTAATCAAGACTTCTCAAAAAAGAACTCTTGAGGAACTTTTGTTAATACAAAAAACAAAAATGCTACTTTTTTGTGATAAAAAATCTCCGTATACCTACATACAGGGTGAGTTTTAAGTTGACGCGTTTCTTTTAACAGCGTGTAGAAATTAGATAGACAAATAAATATTTTAAGTAACCACAATATGATATATAAATAAGTATATATATATACTTATTTATATATCATATTGTATATATATATATATATATATATATATAAATAAGTATATATATATACTTATTTATATATCATATTGTGGCTTATTTATAATAGAATAGAATAGAATGTGGTTTATATTTATACTAGCGTTGTATTTTAATTAACCTACTACTACCTACTTTATTACAAATTAAAGGACCATTAAAAACTTATAAGTAATAATATAAATTGTTAATTTGTTGTTAAAAAAGCAACGGTTCTTTGTTTAAAACTGTCGAATTTATGTGTTTCTTAAGTTGGCAGCACAAAATTTAAAGTTTGCTAAAAATGTTTTTTTATTTCCATAAACAAAATACTGTAATAATCATTTTTTAAGCCAGCGTTAAGAAACGATTTTTTTTAACCTTTAGAAAATAACATTTGTGTAGAAGTGTTATTTCCCATAGATTTCTTATAAATTAGCTTTTGTGAGATACAAAATATTTTCAGATTTTTTTTATAGCAGATTCCAAGAAAATAATGTGTAGGTAATTTTAAAAACTATTTTCCTGGAATCTGTGCTGTAAAAAAATTTAAAAATATAAAAAAAAGTATTTGATACCTACCTCACAAAATCATATAGGTACCTACATAATAAATTTTAACATTGGACACTCTTCAACATCATTGTTTTTATAAACTTTAAAAACAGGGAAAGCAATGTACTAAAAAAAGTTTTTATAAAAATTAAAGAGTTTTCAACAAAAAATATTTATTTAAGGCTGCATTCTTAACGCACCATCCAACCTGATCGTTTCACCATTTAACATTGGATTTTCTATCGCACTTTGCACAAATTGAGCAAACTCTGAGGGATCACCCAATCTGGAAGGGAAGGGGACGGATTTTTCCAAGAAATTAACCACTTTTTCTGGCAAGGATGAAAACAGAGGAGTCCTAAATAAACCTGAGAAAAAATAGGAATATGAAAACAAAAATATGAAAGGTATTTCAAATACCTACCAGGTGCAATTGTCACAACTCTAATTCCCTGGCTAGCCAAATCTCTAGCTAGAGGTAGGGTCATTCCAACAATAGCCCCTTTACTAGCTGAATAGGCTGTTTGCCCCATTTGGCCATCGTAAGCAGCCACACTGGCAGTATTCACCACCACCCCTCTACAACCATTTAGATCAGGTTCATTTTTGCCCATTAAACCTACCGATAGTCTTATTACATTAAAAGTTCCTATAGTATTCACCTAGAACATGTTGAAATATATTGAGGGTATTGTTTTTAATGAACAACCATTACAGTTAAAACTTTGGTAAAGTCTTCCAGGGAATGAGCAGCATCTTTTTTGAAATTGTATGTTTTAAATGCCACCCCTATACCAGCACAGTTTACTACATTATTAAGTTGGCCAAACTTATCTTTACATAATTTTAAAGCTTCTTGTACATCATTTTCAATTGCAACCTTAAAGAGTTATTAAATTTTACTAATTGTTTATTACAATGCATTTATTTTCTTACATTTACTGGAGCAAATATAACTTTGTCCTCTCCAATTTCTTTAGCGATCTCTGATCCTTTAGAAGTTTTTAAGTCGCATAAAACTACTCTCGAACCTTGTTGAACTAATCTTTCTACTGTGGCTTTTCCTAGCCCTGAAGCACCACCTGTCACCAAACTAACTGCACCCTAAAAAATATGTAAAATATTTTTTAAACATAAAATACAATTTATTTTACCTTAATCATGTCGCTTAAACTGTTGCCACGATAAAAATGAGCAAAGGTTAATAAAATAATGAATATTCGATTAGATAAGGAATAACCATAATAAAAAATAATTGTTAAAAATAGGTTAGGTTTTCCAACCTTCAAGTAGTTCAAATGTACTTGACAGAATTTAATTTTTTTTAAATCGTACCCATGAACTTTTTATGTTCTTGATCGTACAATAAAAAACATCATAATAATCAGGTACTATTTATTTTAGCTGATGTTCAATTAATTATTATTAATTGTCTAATGGAACTATTTTTAGGTTATGGAAGTTGGCAACATTGGTTGCCTTCTCGGAAATTTTTGCATTTCCATTTGTTATTAATTTTATGAATAAAATGCCACTTAATTTTTACAACATACACTAATCTAGTTTTTTATATAATTGGGTTATCACTTGATACCTGGCGCTATCAGGAAGATATGGAGGCTGTATTTCATGAAAAGGTAAAATAATAATTAAATAAATAAATTTTGCATTTACAAATGAAATATTTTAGCAAGAGGGGTCTCTATGTGCCCAACACTGCCTGAATTCCCTTTTGCAAGGCCCATACTTCACAGCAGTGGATTTGAGCACACTTGCTGAAAAACTGGATGACGAAGAAAGGCAGAGGATGGCAGAATGTGGGGAGGAAAGCGACGAGTACAGGAAATTCCTACAGCAACCTTCAGGCAACATGGACGACAGCGGCTACTTCTCAGTGCAAGTGATTAGTAGTGCTCTGCAAGTTTGGGGCTTGGAATTAGTGCCTTACTCCTCCAGCACAGACGAAAGAGTAAAGACTGCCCTATCGAACCCCAGCGCCATGAAAGCGTTCATTTGCAATTACAGGGACCACTGGCTGAGCATTCGCAAAATAGCTCGTCAGTGGTTCAATTTGAACTCCTTGTTGAGCAGACCCGAGCTGATATCCGACACCTATTTATCTCTGTTTCTGGCTCAGTTAAGGAACGAAGGGTATTCCATATTTGTAGTGTTTGGGGAACTGCCTGAATGCACTGCCGACGAGCTGCTCAAGTACAATCCTGCCGTTGCGGCTGCTGCTCGGCCTGTTTTCAGGAACACTCAGTCAGTTGAAAGTGATCCCGATGTTCAGGCTGCTTTACAGTTGAGCCTGCAGGATGCAGGCGGGGGCTACAAAATTGAGGATTCCGATTTGCAGGAAGCATTGAGGTTAAGTTTGCAGGGGGCGAATAGTAGTCCTGAGGAGGAGGATGAGGATGCTTTGTTAAGAAAGGCTATTAATATGAGCTTACAGTGCTAGCATATTACTTACATAATGTTATTTTATTTATTTTAAATATACAATTTTATAACTATTACATTTATAGGTATTTAGTTGTGCCTACCTGATTAGGGGCCGTCCATAAATCTCGTGACGATAGAAGGGGGGGAAGCCTTTAACCATTTTAAGCGTCAAGAGATTTATGGATAGCATTTTTATTATAAAGCACTTGTAAATATGTACCTACCTCTAGTAACAAATTTTAATGTTAAATAACAATAATGTCTTTCATACTTACGTACTATTATAATTTTACTTTTTCATCAAGTACTATTATACAGTATTATAATAGTACCTGTTGCATTTTGTTTTCTTTTAATAATTTATTATTGTAAAGTATATTTAATACATATTTTTTTGAGATTTTTTTTTTATTTATTTAATTTTTGTTTCTACTCCCACCTTTAAAACGACCATTATCGTACATGTTTCCATAACACTTTGTGACACATTGACAAGTGGCTTTATGGCGTTTTAGTCACGGGATGAAGTTAGCAACAGGTTTTTAGTCACGGGCTGAAGTTAGCTTAAGTTAGTTGACAGTTGTCAAATATGTCACACAATCGTTAAAATTAAGTGCCCTTCTTGTAAAATAATACTAAATGTGAACATTTTTTATTATCGCAATACAAAAGCATTAAATAGTTTGTCAAAGCCAATTGAAAAGTTTATATGAACATGGTACTGACCTTTTAATTTTGCCGGAAATAAACTGGATATAACTTAAATTCGATTAATTTTACTTTGAAAAACTGTTGTTAATCGATTTTCAAGGAATACATTTAGACTTATAACCTTTATAACACATAAAAATTTGTTTTATACATGGAGCCTACATGTTGGCTCCGTGGTTTTATAGATGGCGCTCTATACAAAATTTGATTTAAATCATTGTAAGATAATAATAAGTATTTTTCGTAGAAAAAGTATAGTATATGCAACTCGTTTATAAACTTTTCTAGGCCCTCAATAATTTAGGCACTAGCTCGCAAGCTCGCTCGTGCCTAAATTTAATTCGTGTCTAAAATGGCGTTTGTCAAACTTGATACATAAGGGTCATTCCACGTTACTCGGGGATTTTTGTCCCGCCCGTCACAATTAAAAATTGTGAGTAAAAACTACACGTTATAAAATGTATTTAAAAATATTGTTTTATTATATAATAGCATATGCTTTTAATATGTTATAAGCACAATAAAAATAATATATTAAAATATTAATTTTATAACTTGTGGTTTAATTGTGACGGGCGGGACAAAAATTACCGAGTAACGTGGAATGAATATTAAAGACTCTTTAAGGCGTGTTAGTCACGGGCTGAAGTTGGTTTTTGGGAATTTTAGTAAGGAGCTGAAGATATAGAATCCTATAAATGTAGTACACCGAAGTTTCCTGTGTTGCCTATATTAAAAACTTTCAAGTTATTTATGAATAACTTTGAACAAGCCCGTTATTATTATCTATTTATGTTAATCACCGGGAACTTTGACCAACCTTATGTTCTCAGAACATTGTTCTACGTAATTGTACAAAGAATCTGAATCAGAACCTGTTTTAATGAATTGCAAGTAATAGTTTCCTTAGTCGGTCGGTGGATGTTTGACGCGAACTGTCAAAACAAACTTAACCTACAAAAAGTAGAAAGTCGGTGGGTGCCAAGATGTTTAAGTTATCAATATTTTTATTGACAGTGTGTTCGTTAGTGCCGTTCTCAAAAAATGCCGCAGTGGACATGTTTAAGAACAAGTTCAAGAAACAAACCGACGAAGTTGTCGGTTTGTATTCCTTGAAAGACGACGTGGATATCTTGACCATACACAACTTTAAACAAGACGTCTTCGGTAGCGAAAAAGTGTGGATCGTGGAGTTCTACAATAGTTACTGCGGTTTTTGTCAGAGATTTGCCCCGTCATGGAAGGAATTCGCCACTGATGTGAGGGGCTGGAAGGATGTGGTTCGAGTGGGGGCTATAGACTGTGCCAACGACGAAAACAACCCTCTGTGCAGGGAGTTTGAGATTATGGGCTACCCCACTTTGAAATACTTCCACGAGAAATACGCGGAAGGAGCCAATAACTTTGGTTTGGCCATTAAGGCAGGCTCGGGAGCTGCAGAACATAAGAAGGTACTTATAAATACAATAGTGAATGAGCAGACGGAAAACAGGGGGAAATATCTGCCAAATTTATTGCCATACTCTGCAAGCACCGCAGACGATTTACTGAAAAATCGGCCAGCCACTGTTAAACATATGTTTTTGGTTGTGCAAGAGCCAGAGTCCTATATGGGGCAATCTTTAATTTTGGACTTAAACAAAGTATCTGACACAGTGATCAAGTACACTTTAAACAATAATACCGCCCTATTGACGAGTTTAAACTTGCACAAAACGCCGTCAGTTTTAGTGTGGGATGTAAATGGAAATCAAAGAGAATTGGATGTTGCAGTGGACCCTAAAAAAACCGTATTGGATTACCTGCATATAAAAACTAATGAAAACAATAAGGGAAGTGGTGAAAATACAGGGGTTGAGGCGCCATCATTGCAACAAGAGAATATGCTCGATGAGAAAATTAGGAAAATGGGCGATGCGGTGTTTCAAAAGGATTTGGAAACGGCTTTAAGGTATTCGTTACGGCGGGAGGTGTCGAGAACAAAAGAGATAACAGGTGATAAACTGGTAGCACTAAAAAAATACCTTGATGTGTTGATCAAGTATTTTCCGTTCGGTAAATATGGCCGCTCGTTTTTACTGGAGTTAAAGCAGTTCGTGGGGAGCAGCGATACCATCGATGGAGGGGATATATTTAAGATCGTGAAGGCGGCGGAAAAAGAGGAGAGGCAGGTTTTTTCGTCGCCGGAAGGTTGGTTGGGGTGCAAGGGGAGCGCGAAAACGTACAGGGGCTATTCGTGCGGGTTGTGGAGGCTGTTTCATTATCTCACGGTGAACCACGCCGAACAGAACGTTGATAACCCCGCGGCGAACCCCAAGGAGGTTCTCGAGGCCATGCACGGGTACGTAAAGGAGTTTTTCGGGTGCACCGATTGCAGCACGCATTTCCAAGAGATGTCGAAAAGACGGAACATGTTTGAGGTTAAATCTCTGCCGGACTCTGTTCTTTGGCTGTGGTCCGCTCACAACGAGGTCAACAATCGTTTGGCCGGAGATGAGACCGAGGATCCCGGACATCCCAAAGTGCAATTTCCGGTTAAAGATCGTTGTCCCGCATGCCACCTGGACGATGATTCCTGGGACACCGGTGAAGTGCTGAAGTACCTAAAGCACGTCTACAGCAGCATCAACGTTCGCTACATCGATTCCGACACGAGGATTTTGCATCTCGGTTTGGACGGAAACCGGAACGCCACTTCCGGGTCCTCGGGATTTTTCCACACGATCGATGCGAGTATGTGTCTAGTCATTTACGTCATTTCATTCGCATTAATTCTTTTTTTAATACGTTTGTTTCTGAAAAGGGGATATAGGAAAAAGGCCTACGTACACGATCTTTTAGGGAAAGTGTGAAATTATTGCACCTTCTAGTACAAATTTGGTTGTGATTTAAATATTGAAATGTTGCTTGGTTATACCTAATCATTAGTGGCGGCTGGTTAGGAAGGAAGATTTTTCCTTGCTTTATCTCCTAAAACTAATAAAATTCCTTTGTGTTAAAAAAAATTATTTAAAAATATATATTTTTAGGTTATAGTTAGGGGTTTTAAATTGTCGAAAAAAAAATTGTTTTTCCCAGGCCTTGGAAAAATTGTCTTTTTTGGGAAAATTGTTTTTTTTTGAGAAATATAGGTACACATTTAAAAAAATGGCAATAAACAACTTAACATTATTTTAATTTTAAAAAAATTAAATTGATTTAAGAAAATAACTAATAACATTCCTAAAATTTGGCATAAATCTTGAAAACTCCTAGTTGTCGTGTTAAAAAAAATTATTTAAAAAGTAATTTAAAAATATATATTTTTAGGTTCTAGTTTAGGGTTTTAAAATGTCGAAAAAAAAAACTTTTTTAGGAAAATTGAATTTTTTTGTTGAGAAATATAGGTACACAGTAGAAAAAAAAATGGCAATAAACAACTTACGCGTAATGGATGGGACAGTTTTTTTTATTCACAAACAGTACTAGTAGTGTTTTTGAATAAAAAAAATAATTTTTAGAAATTAAACGGTCAACCACGATACCTAATTTTGCCAAATAAAAACCTTGTTAAACAGCTTTTCTTTAGAACTATTTATACAAATTTGACATTAGTAATATAATAGAACAATGTTATTTTGTAAATAAAAACTTGAAACTGTCCCATCCGTTACGCGTGGAATGGCCGATGATTTTAATTTAAAAAAATATCCTTGCAGAAAAAAAATTAAATTACAAAATTATTATTTTATAAATCGACGGGTCAAATAAAATTAAAGTTATTTAAGTAATACTGCACCAAATAGGTTTTTTTTGCGACCCGGTAGAATAGTCTTACTGTATTAAAATAAATATTGAATAATTATTATAATCATATGATTATATTCAACGTCGAAAATTCACTTTTTACTCGATATCAGTACGGATAGTAGGAAATACTTTGTAAATTTTTAGAAAAATTTACTAATTTTTTCGTATTGCCCTATAAAATGAAAAAAATTCAAGTCAATTTTTCTTACTATTTCCCTCGTCTTAATTTCCACCAATCACAAACTCGCAATTTTGAATTACAAATGGTTTCTAGGTGGAAAAACTGTATGACAGCACCTGTCAGCAGTTTTTTCTAGTTTACCCACGGCAAAACTTGACAGCTGTTGTCACCAAAAATTGCAATTTATATTTTAATTGTTACCTGTTACTCATGAAATAGTCTTATCAAATACCATTCGGGCATCTAATTTTTCCTGAAAAAAAAATCGAAAAAATACAATGCTAAGTAATATTTTTTAACAAAATGCATTCGTGCAGGTGCAAAAATCCTCGTCTTCGACTCGGATTTTTGTTGCCAGCACTCATGCTTCTTGTTAAAATATTACTTAGCAACATGTTTTTTCGATTTTTTTCGGAAAAATTAGATGCCCTTATGATATTACTTACGAAAATGTTCCATTTTTTGGAAAATTTTAAAACCCTAGTTTTAGTTTATTAAATTCTTTTTAAAATGATATATCACATTTTTTTTTAAACAACAAAATCCATGTAGGACCTAGCTCCTAGACTTCTACAAAATTGTAATTTTTAGCCATATTTCGTTTTTTTTTCGACAAAATGACAAAATGATTTTTAATTTTCTTTTAAATGATATCTAAAATAGTAAACAATCTAAAGAATGTTTTGCTGTATTTTGCAAACTTCATATTTTTTCTATTATGAGATTTTTTAGTAACAAGATAAAAATAACCATTCGAAGGGTTAATGTTACGAAAAATGTACATAAGCAAAACTTAAATAGTTCAAAAAACTAAAAGGATTAAAAAAAGGGGAGTATATATGCATGCCCAGACTGCAATGAAGGTTCGAAAATATTCCAGGAATATTCCGTATTGCCTAGGAATATTCCGCTACATTCTAGGAATATTCATTGGGAATATTCCTAGAATGATCCTCTAAAACTTCCAAGCATCATCTAAGAATATTCCCAGTGAATATTCATTAGTTTAGTTGCAATACCTCTCACCGTTGCTTACGCACGCTTGATAACTATATATACCGATAGGTTAATAATATTAGTTGGAGATGTGCGTCTGTGATGGCACAGCCAAACAATGATTAGAGTGGGACTGATCTACTCAGTAACTCAATAATGGCTATACTTAAGTTAAGTTCCTGGGTATAAGAGGCAATATGGGCTGGGAATAATCCCCAAATTATATCAAGGAATATTCCCCTAATAATCCTTGAGTCTTCTGCAGGCAGATATAGGGAATATTCTTTTTATGATGCCTGGGTTAATCAAAAAGCGGACATTTGATTATGCCAGGAATATTCCTGGGAATATTCTGGGACGATTGGAATATTCCTGGGAATATTCCTGGCATGTGCAGGGAATGTGATTTTGCGGTCTGGGTGTAAGCAAGAAAACATAAAAATACCCAAGCTATTTCCCAGTTTCAACAAACACCAACCGCCACTGATTAGATATTAATTACTATGATTAATCATTAAACATATGTATTAGGAAATAATTGTTGATTTGATAAAAAAATATTAATAATAAAAAAACCTAATAACCAACAAGCAGATTAATTTGGATAGCTATACCTATAAATTTCTAACATTTAATGTTAATAATATTTTATTAAAAATATTATTATTTCAATTAAATAGAATTTGTATTACATTTATTTTTCTATATCTTCCTTTTACCTCTTGCAAACTACCTACTTCTTTATCTTTACTTTGTTGTTATCATCCTAACACTAATTGTTTACATCATTATTTTGTTTAATTATTTTTACTTAACTTAACATTGCATCAAATTACGTCTTATTATAAGACGTTGTTAAATACAAAATATTTAAGGAAAATTATAATGTATAATACATATCAATAACATTGTGTTTACCTATTTTACCGCTAACAATGTGTGGAAATTAATCATCAAACAAAATAATTTTGTTTTCGTTGTTGTAGTCCAAAGGGATTTCTTTTTGTAAATAGGTATTTTGTTATACCTAATCTTTTTATACCGGGTGTCTTTAAATAATGCATCAACGTCATAACATAACATCGAAATTTCTTGGTTTATCATTTTTAAGACACCCTGTATAGTAGCATCAAGAAGTTTTTAAGTATTTGTTATTGTTAAAGTTATGTTTTAAATTGCATCTATTATTATTACTTACTAATAAATTTATTATTAGGTATTTATTAATACATATTTTACAATAAAATCTAAATAGCATTTTAATTTTCTTCAATTATAAAATTATTTCAATTATTTTTAATGTCGGTTCTTTAATGTAAAAAATCTTGTTTTATTTAAATTTTATTGTTATTTAATGAGAAGCTCAAAGCATTGGAATTTAATAGCTAATACCTAAACCTTAACATTTATTTATAAAGACTGATTACCTTAGAATATTTTTATACCTTAAAAATAAACAATTAAATTGTACAATTTATTTTAATGCAATGATTGCTTTTATGGAAATGTTACAAGATAACTTTTAATCGCATGAAAAACCAGGGGACAAGCATGGTTTCAAAGAACTAAAAATATATTAAATTTTTTATCAGGTTATAAAAATATTGCAAAAGCGAAATATCAAGACATAAGGTCAAGGAATTCTAAAAATGATCATGTACTAGATAAATATGAGACCCAAGATACTAGGAGACTTTCAAACTATGACTTACAAAGACTTGTTCTACTGAAACAATTATTTTTATTAAATAAACAGGAAGATTTTTTTAATAAGACAATGAAAATTTACCCAAATTAAATAATTTGGTAAGTACCTAAAAACATAAAATAAAAGCAATCAAAGTGTTTCCTTTCTGTTTTTTTTATTTTTTTCCTATTTTTGCAGGGCTACTACCAGGATTTTCGAGCCTCGTTTGCCTAATTACGAGCATTTATTATTTTTCGTATATTTAACCAACATCACATTTATATTAAATTAGCTTCAGGATTAGATTGATTAACTTTTTTATTAAAATGCCCTGTGAACAAGTTGCCTATAACATAGTGTTTTATTATTATAGTATTAATATGTATTTTATTAAACAAAAATTATAAAACTTATTTTGTTTTAATTTTTACAGTTTTCCTAAATTATAACAATTTACTATTTCATTTTAAGAATATTTTAAAAAACTAATCTTTGTTTATATTAACCTTCCCACAGTTCATTCAAATAAATACGAGTCAACCAAATTAATATGGTTAAATTAACCATTCATTTATATATATCTATGTACAATTTAAGAACAAAATCCAAAAACCTCTCAAAATTGTGGAAAATCTTAAAAATAGTCCTTAAATTTAAGAAAGCGTTTTTTGACACAAATGGTAAAAAACATTAGTCAATCTTGTCAACCCAAGCTGAGTTATATAAAGTGTTTTACAAAGTGTTACTATTATTATAATAACTGATTTTTTTTATTTATTTAAATTATCCAGGACATCCTGAAACATATGTACAAAATTTTTAAAAGAGTGAAAAAATATTTAATTAAACAAACTAGGAAAAGTATTATTATTAAAACTTAAAAATAGTTCATAATTTAAAAAAAACATGAAAAGCAAAATCGTAAAAAATTATAAAAATGAAATTTTAAAATTAATTTGTGTAATTTCCACAAATTTCATAAATACCCCCTTAACAGTAACCCAAACAACAAACGCAATGTGATCCCTCAAAAAACACACGCATCCTCAAACAAAATCAAGACCACTATGTTCGAGAGTGACGTCACCAAAGCACAGCCGACTTATCCTTACCGCGTATCTCGAGCGCACGCGCACGCAGCGCCTACTGAGCGACTGCGGCAGTAAAAGCGGTTTGCAGACGAATTTCGAAATCAACGGCAACGTGATGGTGTGTTAATTTAATTATTGATATCATTAAATGGTTCTGTGTTGTTAACTCCGGGAAAATAAGCACTCTTGCGATTTTATTAACTATAGTTATACCTAGTTTGTTAATTTATTATAATGTTTGAAGACGTGCAAGTTAAAGTAAGTTTTGTTTTGTTACATTGTTTTTTATGTACCTACATGTATTGATTTATATTATTTAATATTTATTGTATAATAATATTGTGTAATGTATAACAATTTTATTTACTGCTTCATGAGTAATAAAAACATGTACCTTTGTATCTTTGACTAATGTAATATGACGAATATTTTATAATTTTGGATTTCACTGTGGGAGGTGTAAACATACACCTTTTCTATACGTATTTAGATTTGTTTTATTTTAGAATTATTACTTGTTTGTTAACTTACGTTGAAATATTATTTTGGTAGATGATATGTTTTATCAAATGTTTCTTAATGGGTTTTTGATACTTAATCATTATCAATATTATTAAATAGCATTATTTGTTCTCTTTTACAATTTTGTTTGTAAATAAAATATGCTCTTAAGGTATATAGGTATATCCATGTTTACTATGCTCTAATTTTAGATCATAAAATTTGTATATTTAAATATCCTTAAAGCATATAAAATATGGATACTTTATAAAGGTTCGATTTTTTGTTTTTATATTGTAAAAATATGAAAAATTTTAATGACTTGTTTAAAATATTATAGAAGTTAAATTTGACTAAAATAGAACCTAAACCCTAGAGACATCTTTTACGATAAACACATTAAATAATTTTCAAAAAAAAAAATCAAAAAAATCTGACACCCGTCAGGTGCTTCTAACCTCACTTTAAAAAGATCATTATAGTCGCTTTATATTTACAAATTTATGACATTTAGCAACTGTTAACTAAATTAAATCTAACTTCAGCCCGTGACTAAAACGCCATACAGTCGCAGCTTGTCAATGTGTATTTAAAAATACACTTTTACAAAAAATAATAATTTGAACTTGGGTATATCCATGTTAAATGTACTTTAAAATATCTTAGATCATAAAAGATATGGAAATAACCTTATAAGGCTTTATAAAGCATATAAAATATGGATACGTTATAAAGTTTTGACTTTTTGGTTTTTTTTAATGAAAAAATATGACAAATTTTAATGATCTGTATAAAATATTTTTAGAAGTTAAATTTTATTAAAATGGAACATAAATATTAAAAAAAAATTATTGTATATTACGCAAAAAGTTTGATAAACTGCATTTTAGTCTAATAGTTCTAATAATTCTAATTAGGCACGATAAAAGACAGCTTTGTTTACTTATTATTGTTTTTATTTCAATAATTCATTGCATGAAACTTAATATTTATGTATAGTATTCTAATTAATTCATATTGTTCTATTACCTAGATCAGTAAATACAGCATAACACATAAAGTAGCAGAGAGCAAAGATTTATACCGGACGTTATATACAGGATGTCCCAAAAATTGCGCACATTTCTGACAACCCTGATAGCAAAATTTGATTTTAAGAATGTTCCTAGGAAAAATCCCTAGCTAGGGATTTTTCAAACATTCAATAGATACCCTTTTAATGATGCAATTAGATTCTTAAAAGCTTCTTAAAACCTTCCTAAAAAGCATCCTAAGAACATTTTAAGAATACGTTTTTGAAATGTTTTTAGAAGGTTTCTTCTAGGAAGCTTTTGAGAATATTTCCAAATATGTCAGATACCCACGTTCTAATATGGTGTATTCTACATTCGTAAAATTCTTCAAGAGACGACAAATACGCCTCACTGTCATAATATGACAGTGAAATTTATTTGTCCTCCCCTTAAAAAAAATTGCGACATATTAATATATATTTATTTAAAAATATTAAATAAACAAATTGACCTCTAAACCATAAGTTGTATGACATTATTTCATAAAAAGTAAAATTGGAAAATTTTGTGGGATAAGTCAGATTAGATTGAAATTGAAGATAGTTAGGATTATTATACATAAAAATGTTAATTCAGAAATAAAAAATCGGTATACAAATTAATAAATATTTATTTTTAACATTAAATAAAATATAATAATAATAGTATTTTTGTTATCGAATATTGTTTTAATTTGACAAATAACTATAAAAAAATATTTTGGATTGTTTTATATGAAGTTTATGGTATATTTTACTATTATGTAGGTAACTGAATTAAATATGCTTAATATTCCTAAATAAACTTTCTATAGCAATTACTTTCTTAACATTCTAAGCATATGTAGACTAATTTTAACCACTAAAACTTTGCACCTTCTAAGAACCCGCCTATAGGCCAGTAAGAATATTCTTAGGATCATGCTATATGTCTTTTAAGCATGTTCTTTAGAAGAAATATAGCATGATCCTAAGAATATTCTCACTGGAAGGTTTAAAAAACATTCTTAGAATAAAGTGTGCTATCAGGGATGTAGTTTTAAATATTTAATATTTATAAATAACAAAGTGGTGATCATTTAAATTTTTTTTAACACAAACTGTTAGGAAATATATCTTTCAATTATTTCAACTGCAGCCACCTTATTTAAATGGTTTCCATAATAACCGTTTTTCGATGTTTTGGAAACTGTATACTTAACCGTAATTGGCCATAAAGTAAAATGTAGATTATATTTTAATTATGATTAACATTTGGCACTTCAATGGCCCGGGTTTTTAAAGTCCCATTAACTTGATACTAACAATTGCTATATACGAGGTGTGTTCAGAAAATAACGGAAATTGTTAAATTTCGCGGGTTCGGAGGGTCCGGTTGTCATAAAATTTTCTTTATTATGTTGGTATACATGCCCCCGAAGTATGATAAAAACTTTAGCTGTTTTCATTGTTTACTTTGTCTGTGGCAGCCGCTAAGGTTAGACGTGTTTTATGAGCTCGGCGATTTTTCGTTCGTTAAAAGAAATGGATCAAAGAATTTGTATCCAATTTTGCTTAAAAAATTAAATAAATTCTGTAAAATGTTAACAAAGGCCTATAGTGAGTCTGCTATAAGTAAAACAAGAGTTTACATGTGGTATAAGAGTTTCCAAGATGGCCGTGAAGACGTTGAAGATGACGAACGCCCCGAACGCACAAGCACGTTAACAACCGATAAAAACAAAAAAAAGTGGAAGAAATGGTTATAAACCATCAAAGAAGTCGCTGATGATGTTGGTATATCGATTGGCTCATCCCATGAAATTTTTGGAATGTTTTAGGTATGAAACGCGTGGCAGCAAAATTTGTTCTAAAATTGTTAAATTTTGAACAAAATTTTTGGCCAAAAACAATTCTGTAATGATGTCCCAGCCTCCATATTCGCCAGACATGCCTCTGTCTGACTTTTTCCTATTCCCAAAAATAAAGAGAACCTTAAAGGGCCGTCGTTCTGCAAGCATAGATGACATTAAAAGCGCATCGCTGAAAGAACTAAAGGCTATCCCAAAGATCGAGTTTTAGAAGTGTTTCGAGTATTGGAAGAAGAGCTGGCACATGTGTATAATACCCAATGGGGACTACTTTGAAGGCGACAACATTAATGTAGACGAATAAATAAATATTTGTTTCAAAAAACTAAAATCCCCGATATTTTCTGAACACACCTCGTATGCGTCTTTAGTGGAAAAATATACAAATATAGCCTGAAAAGGCCCATTGCAACACATTATCACGACAGCCTTTGGCAAAATTGATATTTTTATTTTGTATGTCAAAAAGTAGTATTTAATGTCTTCTAGCATCTTCTAAAATCCTAAAATGTCAAATTTCTAACCTACCGGTTCTTAACTTAACTTGGTTTCAAATTCAAATTATAAATATTATAATTGTTATTTATACATTTAATATCGTGGCATTTAACATCGATGTTTTAAATAGACGAATTGCATCACCAAAAGCCAAAAGTACACCTAAATGAATGAACTTACCGAGTGAGTCACTTCCTTGGCGGTAAAGCCAAATAATTTACTCCACAGACTAATTTAGCACCTTGCCTAACAACAATGTATTCGAAAATGCCCTACTAAAAATCCCAGCAGGCGACGATTGCCTAATTTTAATCGGGTAGGCCCTGGGCCAATCACTTCGGTGTTATCTGTTTTAGATAATAGGTGATTTTTTTCTGTCTAGAGAATAACATATATTTTAGTTCATTTTTGCAAAAATGACTATAGGATATAATTTGGCGACATATTTGGTAGGTCAATGTAAATGTGTTTGGGATTTTTAACTGTATCCAGTGAATTCGCCATTTTTGAAATTTTTGTCAAATATTTTATTTAATTTTATTTCTTTTACTCGTCTAAAAAACTCTATAATATATAACACATGTTTTTGTATATTATTAAGAATTTGGTTATCTCCCCAATCTCTTAAATTTAAGGTACTTACGTTAAGTTAAAGAGATTACATTAAAACCATTATTTTTTTTTTATTTCTTACAAAAAAAGCATTTTTGTATTTTAGATCGAGAGAGATGGTTACGCGGTAATCGAAAACTTTCTGAGCCAATCCGAAATAGATGAACTCAAAAATGAAGCTGAAAAGCTGATAAAAAATATGCCGGAAGAATCCAACAGGGCCGTATTTAACACTGTGGAGTCCGAAGCCAAGCAAGTAAGTAAAAAATGGGGTTGTCGATGTATAATAAATAAATATAAATGCATTATAACATTTTTTAAACTGACTATATAAACTGATGTTTTTTCTTTAATTTTTTGTTCTTAAACGTACTAAGAAAATCTGACATATGTCAAAAGGTTAACCTTACATACTTGTTACCAATTTTAAATGTAATTGAATCGGTGAGAATAAGAACAGTACCAGTCCAAAAATCATTTTAAAAAATCAATTTTAAAGTTCAAAATAAATTTTTGTGAAAAGATATATGTAAATCATTTTACAGAACATAAATATTATATTTTATAAAAAAATATATTTAAAAATGATTTTTTTAACTATTTTGTCAAAATTTTAACTTTTGGACTTTTTGGATGTGAATAATGAGTTCATTATTCCTGTTGTTAGGCAGCGAATTAATAATGATTATCAGGAAATAAAACAATCTTATGCAATAGAATTAGATAAAAAGATAGGTACCTATTCCACTTTTAAAAAAATTATCAATTAAATACTTAGTAAAGTCCATCACTGTTAGGTAAAAACCTCTTTAATTCAACGAATAATAAATAAATCAAAGTTTATTTGGAAAAGAAAAAAATAAAAATAAAAATTGACGTACTTTGTTTTTTTTATGAAAATCTGAAAAATGCATACAATGACTAAATATTTTATAATTTTTTTTTTCTAAAAAGTAAGTATCAACGTTTAAAAACAAAATTTTTAAAAAATCTCGATTAGTCGGTTTTAAGTGGGGAAGTATGACAGAAATTACAGCCAAATCAAAAAAAAAAAGAATTCAAAATTTTTGGCACATATTTTTTATTTTATAACATTGATTAATTAAGCTTATTCATATTTTTTTTAAACAGGATAATACTTACATATAAAATTATTAGGATAAAGTGGAGCAAAATATCTTAAAATATTAAATATTAAAATATAATATTTTTATTTAAGTAAATATTTAAATTTAACATAATATTCGACCACTCCAATACTCACCTTTAAAATACCCACGTGTTACCTTCTCAATTCAATTCAATTTATACATTCAAGTAGCGTAAAGTTAAATGTAGCTTCTCATTTGGCAAACATTAGCAAAAATTAATTACATGAATTAATCAAGGCAGTAATTAGTACAGTAGCAAAAATAAATGCGGGAATCAGAAAAAAGGAGAAACATTAGATAAACAGAGTAAATTAAAAATTTTAATATAAGCTGTCCGCTATTGCACGCCATTTCATTTTTTAATCGTTAATGGAATATATAATTTTTATAATTATAATTATTTAATAATAAAATTATGTCAAGCATAAATTTAATTCAAATTTAATGGAAACTTATAGGAAAAATAGCGAATTATTATTAGGCATAATAATAATTAATTTTTATGATACATTTTAATTTAATATGCATTTTTTGTAACATAAATATTTTACTCGACGAATAGGTATTTTTAAATATTTTTTATACTATTTTTATTTGTTGGTTGAATTATAATTATATTATAAATTATAATATTATAAATTATATTATAAATTATAATATTTGCGTCATTTGAATTTGGTTCATTTTTATTTCATATGTTCTTTATTTTTTTACTTTGAAATTTATATTGGAATTATTGCGAGACTAAAAACATTCTTAAACAAGAGAAAACTATTCTATTATTTTTTAAGTTGCAATTTCTTATTTATAAATACAATTAATATAATAATTAATTTTGTGTACTACACATAAAATTAATTGTAAATTTTTTATTATTTGGTCATAATTTTAATTAAGTTAAATATCAAAATATTGCACACAAAAAAATTACATTAAATAATTAATTCAACAACTTATACAAACCTATTTTAAAAAAAGAATAACTTTTTTGACATGTATAAATCTTATTAATATATTTTGAAGGTATTATTTTTCAATGCATTTTATTTTTTAAAGTATTAATATATAACTTAATATTTTTTATCCGATTAAAAAGTAAAACAGCTTGCCATGGCCCGCTTAATGCAATCCAGTGTAGTTAATATTTTCTCAATTAATGAAAGTTTGAAATAAAAGCGCACCCCTCAATGTGTCGCGACCAAAAAGTTCGTTCTTTTTCAAAACGACATAACTTATTTGTTTCTGAAACTATTTTATTTTGGTCTATGTTGTTTGCTAGTCTATAGATATGAAGCTCACGGTTCTTCAAGTAAATTTCCTAAAGGGTGATATGTTAAACGGTAAAAATTTCAATAACTTCATCCAAGCCCCGTTTGTAAAAAAATATTTTTTTCTCGTTTTTACTTTGAAATAATAAAGTATTATGTCTTACCTTAAATCGTTTTTCAAATTTTTCGAATTGGAATCGTAGCAACGAAAATATGATTTTTTTTTCCAAAATAGTACATTTAAGGGTTTTTTGTAGGCAATAGGAACAAGAAGATAAGATGGTGAAAGAATGTTCCTTAAATAATTCTGAACAAGCGACAAGCAACAAACGTCCATTATTTTCAGAAGGCCTAAGCAAAGACCACTTTTTCAAATTAACATTGTGGTGAAAATTTGGGAAAACTAAACCTAAACCAACATTTACGTTCGTGTTATGTTTTCTTCATAATTTTGACCTCCTGATTGTGATTCAGTTGTCAAATTTATGTTTAAAGTTAAATTTGACAGCTGAATCACAATCAGGAGGTCAAAATTATAAATAAAACATTTCACGAACGTAAATATCGGTTCAGGTTTAGTTTTCGCAAATTTTCACCAAAATGTCATTTTGAAAAAGTGGTATTTGCTTAGGCCCCTCTGAAAATAATGGAAGTTTGTTGCTTGTCTCTTGTTCAGAATTATTCAATTGAATAATTCTGAACAAGCGACAAGCAACAAATTTAAGGAACAATCTTTCACCATTTTATCTTCTTGTTCTTAAAAAGACTGAGTGGATTGTCTACCAAAAACCTAATCATATTCTCGTTGCTAAGATTCCAATTCGAAAAATTTGAAAACCTTTTCATTATTTCAAAGTAAAAACGAGAAAAAATATTTCTTTTTTCAAACGGGGCTTGGATGAAGTTATTGAAATTTTTCACCGTTTTACATATCACCCTGTACGAAATCACATCACAGACCAAAATAAAATCGTTTAATAAACAACAAAGTTCCCTTGCGGCCTTGAGTTTACGGTTTATTCACCGTGAATTCACTGTGAATTCACCGTAAATAAACCGTCTGTTTGTGACATTTGTAAACGGTAGTTAGACGGTGAATTCACGCACTTTTCACAGTATTTTAATTGTGAATCCACCGTATTTTGGCGGTATATTCACGGTGAATTCACAGTGAATTCACGGTGAATAAACCAATAATAATAACACAATCGACTATAGCTAGCCATTATTCGTTACTGAGTACACTTCCAACTGAATATTGCAACCCAACGCTATTTATAGTTAGCTCGCTTGCGTAAGCAGCCGTGAGATGTATTGCTTAAACCACTTAACACAGAAATCGACTAATAAAAAAGACCGCTAATAAATGGCGTCCAACTTGTTGTTTTTTTCTTTATGATGGCGTCTCAACCTCGTTGATTTTGCGCAGCTACACGAGAGCTCTCTTGCGATATTTGTATTGTATTGGGAATAACCAATTAGCAGATTGTTCGAATCTTACACTTACAATTTGCGGTGTTTTCACAGTCAATTTACGGTGTTTTCACAGTAAACTCACAGCGATAAATTTACGGTACTTTCACAGTGAATTTGCGGTGATTTTGCAAACTTAAGTTCACCGTGAAATCACCGTGAATTAACCGTGAAATCACCGTGAATTTATCGCAAAAACAGCGTGAGTTCACCGTTTAATTACCGTCTACAAATGTCACAAATGGACGGTATATTCACTGCACATAAACGGTGTATTCACGCAAACGGTGTATTCACGGTGAATTCACCGTAAACTCAAGGCCGCAAGGGTTATGTTGTTTTGAAAAAGGACGAACTTTTTGGTCGCGACACATTGAGTGGTGCGCAGTTAACTTTGGACCATACAACAACCCATTGCATACAGCACAATATGTCCATTGGACGTCAAATGGACTTACATTGGACGTTTGGATGTACAATGGTCGTCCATTTGACGTCCAATGGACATCTTGTGCTGTATGGGAAAATTTTACAACAAAACATTTTTCAGAATAAGGACCAATACTTCCTGGACAGTTCCGACAAAATCAGCTATTTCTACGAAGCCGGAGCCCTAGGCCCGAACGGAGAACTTTTGGTAGACCCCAGCGTTTCACTGAACAAAATAGGTCATGCCCTACACGAACTCAACCCCGTCTTCAGAAAGCTAACCTTCTGCGAGCAAGTCAAAGAAACCGCATTCCAGCTAGGATTCCAAGAACCAGCAGTCGTACAGAGCATGTACATCTTCAAAAACCCCGGAATCGGATCGGAAGGTACATTTTTTAATTATCTGAGTGATGGGAGATTGAATGGGGTAGTTATGGTTTTATTCAAGGCGTTTTGTAATTTTAAACATTTCTGTGAAATCGGAATTTCAATTGAGTTTACCGTTTTCGAGATATTTACAAAAAAAAATCTCCTAATTACGTCACTAGGCTATTGACAACGTTGCCAGCTTTTTCTATGGTTGCCAGTGTGTTTAGTTTAAGATTCTTACGATAGATGGCGCCACGTTATAATATTTTAGTTTTAAAACCACTTGATCTATAATTTTAGTTGAGAAGGAGACCCAGTGAACCAAACCGTGACTTATGACCTAAAATTTACGTAACACGTAGATCATATCTAGGTAATACAATTTTTACGTCATAGTGACATAATACTGACCCAAAACGTGACTTTTATATGATGTAATTAAATGACTTACATATTACGTACATCTTATGTAATATTAAAGTCATATCGTGACGTAATATTAAAGTCACTTTTCTTACGTAAGACTGACATAAGAAATCTGTCATAATATTACATAACTTTTAGGTCACTGTCTTACGTAAGACTGACGTAATAAATCTGTCATAATATTACCTAAGTGTAAGGTCACTTTCTTACGTAAGGCTGACGTAAGAAATACGTCATACTATTACATACGTTTTAGGTCACTTTCTTACGTAAGACTGACGTAAGAAATCTGTCATACCATTACATAAGTTTAAGGTCACTTTGTAAGGTAAGACCACAGACTGGTCTGTGGGTAAGACTGACATAAGAAATCTGCCATACATATTATTTAGACGAACTAGATGCAAAAGTAATTTCAAAGTATGAAATTCACTGTATTTTAATGTTTGAATTAAACTAATTTCAATGAATGGACTTTTATTTTCAATGAGTGAAATAGTCAAACATAATTTTTATTTTTTATTGATTGAAATGGTTAATTCAAACATTGAGTAAAATAACGTAAGTAAATTCTATTAATTGAAATTGACGCCGATTATTTTAAACAATAAAATCAATGGATATATCCAGTATACTTTTCCTTACCAATGAGTTTAATTCAAACATTAAAATACACCAAATTTCATATTTTAAAATTAATTTTGCATCTAGCATGATGAAAGAAATAACGCGAAGTTCCTTGAATTTTTTGGCTACTTATAAGTAGCCAAAAAATATAGTACTTGGTCGATTAAATGAAAATATGGTTTAAAACCAATCAAAAAATAATGTATCTTAATTTAATATGTAATAACCATCATAATATATTATAGATTTTTATGATTCCGGTTCCTACTGCTTTATGACGTAAAAAATTTTTCAAAAGTACACATTTTATTCAATGGTCATGTGAAAAATCATGTAGGTATGATTAATCATGGTTGCAAGTACTTGCAAGTACCTACTTATTTTTTAAATTGTAAAAAATTATCAACAAAAGATTTACGTGTTATTACGTGTTAACTTGTTATTTTTGTATTGTATGTTACTGTTATTATTTTTTGAAAATGGCGCTTTTGGTGAAAGTGTAATTTTTTTGTTCCACCCTGTACAATCGAAAAAATAAGTAGTTACGCTTTCAAAGACCTGAAATGATATTTCACTCACTTCAAATTTTTTTAAATGTGACCTTGGCAGTACGACGTCATTTGTTTTTTTTAAATCCATGCATGTCAAAAAATGTTAGGTACCTATTAAAATACTAAAATTTTAAATTTCTAAAATAAAAATAATTTTTAAATGTTGAATATTGTCCCTAGCTATAGCTATAGCTACTCATAAAAAGCGATTTTTTTTTGTTCTTACTTCTGACATACCCTGTAAAGAATCTGAAAAATTAGTAGTTGGTTCAAAATCCATTGTGAGTTGGTTTTGATCAGCTTCATAAATTAGATAAAGTATCAGCTTGCAATAAATACCTTTTCGGTAATGATTCCATTTCCCATTGAAAAAAATGTGACCTTTTGACAGTACGACGCCATTTTAGAAATTTTTCAAAATTGGTTTAAGTCAAAAAGTAGTACCCAGAGTACCCTTGTCTCTGGTAGTACCTATATATTTAATGCCTTGTTTAACATACTAAAATTTCAATTTCCAAATACAGAGGTTCAAAAAATAAAACTATAAAAAATAATACAACCAAATTTAAAGAATTTAATATTATAATATAATATGGTATAATTATATATTAATATAATACCTATAATAATAGATAGGTATTTGCACAATAATGTTGGTATTAGTATATTTTTAAAATTTAAAAAATAATAAATAAAAGAAATGAAATTGACAAACGAAATTATTTAAGTACACAGAATATTTAGTATTAATAATTAAGAAACCAAGAGATTTTTAAAAATATATGTAAACTTTTAAAGAATTTTCCATTGATAAAAATTTTTTATAATAATATTATAATATATAAGGGTAAAGTTGTCAAATAACATTGATATATTAATTGTTAACAGTTGCAATATGCAGTAAGGTTGCCTATGATAAGTAGGCATCTACTATAAAATAGTAGAAATCTACTTATCATAGGCAACCATTATTGCATAATACATCTCGCTTATGTGGCACTATTCGTTAAGTATATAAGTTGACACTGGCTGCATTGCAATTTGAGATATAGGCAGTGATGCCAACTCGTGGGAAATTTCCCATTTTGAGGGAAATTTTACCTTAAATTGAGACAAATGGGAAAAAGGGAAATATTTTTAGAAAAGGCCGTCCATGAGGGAAATTTATATCAATTCAAAAAGAAAATTTATAATTAACCCTTTCCTACTTTTTCTAATCAAATAATTCGGATTTTTTTATATTTTATGACTTTTTTTCGTATTTTATACAAAAAATATATATAACTTTTAATGTAACAAAACTTTATTTGGATTTACATAATAAAAATATGTATTATTTTAAAAATCAAAACAATAGGCCTAGGCCGTATTTATAAAAGAAAGGATATGCTTATACTTGCAAAATATGAACGAAATCCTTCAGCTTTTATATACATATAATCATTAATACAAGCTAATTTCCTTCAAGCATAAGGATATATCCTTTTTTATCAATATGGCAAACTGTTTTATAATTTTATTTTACATATATTTTTGTATTTATACACGTTGTTTTTTATAGGTTTACTAATAAATACTGTTGCTAAATTTTTAAAATGCTATATTTTTTTGCAAAATAATATCTCTTATATTTTAAAAAATGGGTAACAGCCACTCTATTTCTGTGGTAACAGCATATTTCAAAAAGCGTGGGAAAAAAGGGAATTTTTGAACATTTTCGAGGGAAATTTGTTGCAAAAGGGTTGGCAACACTGGATATAGGAATCCGAACCTCGGCAAATAAACGAGTCACGAATTGGGGCCTTACGATAATTTAGATTTTTCAGTGGAATTCTTTGTTGGAGCCAGGATTGTTCCGTCTGGATCGTCATGAAATTTCCGTGGCCCTCTGCTTAAACAGTGCCTGCTTTGCAATGCCAAAGTCGCGAACCCACAATTTCACTCATTTAACGTCAAGAGGGAACTGATTTCAGCCAAGTGAGCTGTTTCAGTATTTACTTATTTTGCCCCATGATGAAAAATAAGGAGGTCATATTTATGTCACATTTATTACGTAAATATTATGTATTAGTATGATGTCAGTGTTACATCAAGATGTTTACGTCAGAGTCTGACGTAAGAAAGTGTGAAATAATGACTCTTGTATGACTCAAGTGTGACCTATATCTTACGTAAGCGTGACTTGACATGACGTCATATTTACGTCATATTTACGTAATTGTGTTTACTGGGGAAGAAGAATTGATTTTTTGACGTTTCTTTTTTTCGGGTTATGTTTTTTTTTTTAATTTAGATTATTGAAAATCAATGTTATTGTTATGTTATTTGTAATTGATATTAGATAAGTGATTTATTAATAACGGACTCCAAAGCAGAGGAATCTTGTGGAATGGTTGGTTACATTGAACATTGGAGCTTTTAAACAAATAAATTAAGTACCTATAATTATAATCATATTTTGTCGTAAATGCATTTCATTAGTATAATGCCTAGTTCTTTATATTCTTTTAGATATATCTTGGACTCTAAAATATCAAACAGTAATATGATACCTACGATGGTTCTTAAGGGCCATCACTATGTTTTTTTTATCAAAATCAGGCAGTGCCAGATTTTAAGTCGCACTGCCAGATTTTAAGTCGCACTGCCAGATTTTAAGTTGCACTGCCAGATTTTAAGTCGCACTGCCAGATTTTAAGTCGCACTGCGAGATTTTAAGTCGCACTGCCAGATTTTAAGTTGCACTGCCAGATTTTAAGTCGCACTGCCAGATTTTAAGTCGCACTGTCAGATTTTAAGTTGCACTGCTAGATTTAAAGTCGCATTGCCAGATTTTAAGTCGCACTGCCAGATTTTAAGTCGCACTGCGAGATTTTAAGTCGCACTGCCGGATTTTAAGTTGCATTGCCAGATTTTAAGTCGCACTGCCAGATATAAAGTCACATGAAACTACTGCAGAAGGTAAAGTTTGTTTAACTAACAAACTTTGTCAGTCGTGTGTGTTCTAAATGTTACGGTGGTGGGGAATTTGTAGTTTTATTTTATTGTTTAACAATTTTCAGAAAATTTGGATAATGGTGTACATTTAACCGATATTTTAGTATTTGCTACTGGGGCAGATGCTATACCGCCATTAGGTTTTCCATTTGACGCCCGATTAACATTTCTTCAAGGTGATAGTAGATATCCAACAGCTAATACATGTGTCACTGAATTAAGAATTCCGACCTGTCATATGGATTATGATGACTTTAAAATATCTATGGATTTTGCATTCCTAAATTCAAAAACATTTGGGTTTGCATAAAGATTTGCCTCTTTTAGGAAGGAGAATTATTTTTTATTTTAAAACCAAATGTACTATCATCCACATCCCACTTTGACATTTCATTGATGAACGCAGCCTTAAAATTGTATGTTTACGTTTGCATGTCAATGATATGCAAACGTTAAAATACAATTTTACTTTAAAATTACGTTGAATATACAATGTCTTGTGAACAAAAGGCTGCGTTCCTCAATGTGGGCGATTTTGTTGTGGACGATAGTACTTAATTTCCTTTTATAAATAGGGAAAATCTTGAAATAGTAATAATTTACAAACATTTGCATTTGCTTGACAAGACATTTTTTATCACCGTTCTTTCAGATATAGGTAATTTATTTTTTTATTTATAAACCAAAATATTTTTTTTATTTCCATTATAGACATTTATTATAAAAAACATCTATATAATAAAAATGTATGCGTCTTAAATAATTGTTTTACTTTCAATCTACCTACCTACCTAAATAAATAAACAAATTATTATGTTATACATACTTTATAATTATTATATTATTTACATTCAAAACTAATGTGACTTAAAATCTCTTAGTGCGACTTAAAATCTGGCAGTGCGCCTTAAAATCTGGCAGTGCGCCTTAAAATCTGGCAGTGCAACTTAAAATCTGGCAATACAACTTAAAATCTGGCAGTGCGACTTAAAATCTGGCAATGCGACTTTAAATCTGGCAGTGCAACTTAAAATCTGACAGTGCAACTTAAAATCTCGCAGTGCGACTTAAAATCTGGCAGTGCGACTTAAAATCTGGCAATGCGACTTTAAATCTGGCAGTGCAACTTAAAATCTGACAGTGCGACTTAAAATCTGGCAGTGCGACTTAAAATCTGGCAGTGCAACTTAAAATCTGGCAGTGCGACTTAAAATCTGGCACTGTGACTTAAAATCTGGCAGTGCAACTTAAAAACATGCACTGCCTGATTTTTCTAAAAAAAACATAGTGATGGCCCTTAAGAACCATCGTAGATACCTCGTAATAAGGAAGATAGGTACTTAATGAATTTGGTGACCATCTTTCACTCACAAGACAACTTGACAACAGGGTAATTTTCAACCAATAGAAATCTTAGAATGTTGGTCACATGGCGAGGTTTGTGACGTCATAAAAATTTATATTTTTTGTAAATATCTCAAAAACGGTAAACTCAATTGAAATTCTGATTTCACAGAAATGTTTAATATTACAAAACGCCTTGAATAAAACCATAAAAAGTATAGGTCAGAAAAAAATTAACTACCCCATTTTTTATTTTTAGTTATTGCCCACCAAGACGCGTCGTATCTTTATACTGAACCAGTGAAAGTAATCGGTTTCTGGATAGCGCTGGAAGACGCGACTCTTGAAAATGGCTGCCTATGGTTCGCAAGAGGGTCCCACAAAGGCGGCGTGCATAGAAGATACATCAGGAACCACGACAAAAAATCCGACCAACTTTTAGTTTACACCACACCATCCCCTTACTACCAAAAGAGCAGTTTCCTTGCCGCACCCGTACCCAAAGGTAGGATTTTTATCTGTGAGGTACACTGTTCAAAATTTCATGACCATTTTAACACCAAATTAACACCATGCATGGTCTATATCGATACAAACCAAAATGGTGTTAAATATGGTTCGTTGGTCCGGTGTAAATTCAAATACTAAAATAGTGTTAATTTAAGTTTCACACAGTATTAAATATTACGTGTTTGTGGTCAAATTAAATCATACTACACAGAAAAAAGGAAACAGGAAGTTCCTTGACGCATTACTAGTATATTACCAGTGGTATTATTCCAGAAAATGGAACCTTCAACTCGCTAGAGATAATGTTTTTAGTGCGTTCCACTAACTTCAAGTATTGACAGCTGTTTCCACCTATTTAAGGTCTCTTTAGTATCGAACAACTTGTAGTGTCACACCAAAGCAAAGGACTACCTGAGCTTATATATTCTTCATGTAAGTCAACAGAGGCGAGATTTAAGAACATCACGTGATCCACACCGCGCCTTTGCCGCGATCGGTACACACTATGCAACCGGGAATGCACGGCAAATTGTTTTAATCGTTTTAACAGAGTGCTTTAGGTTAAAGTAACTCTTATTTTACAAACAAGTTTTTTGGGTTAATTTAACCAATTTAAAAAAAAATAAAATAACTATCTGGTTTAGTACCGTCAGACTAATGTGTGTTTATATTAACCTTCCCACAGTTGATAAAAATAAAAAAAATACAAAAATAAATACTTATGGGTCTACTAAATTAATATAGTTAAATGAACTATTCCTTTTTTTCTGTGTAGGTGCACTTCTCAAATATTTTTAGATAAACACCGTTTTGGTGTTTGCTGTATATAACATTTTCAACCATAATTCATGGTGTTATATTAACACATTTTGACACCATTTTAAGATTACTCTTTACACCACAGATATTTTAAACAGTGTATTGAAGCGTTATATTAAAAATATTTTTTTAGGTTCTTTGGTTTTAATTCATGGCCAAGTGGTGCATCATAGTGAGCCAAACAAGTCGCAAAAATCAAGGCATGCTTACACCTTTCATATAATTGAGACGAAAAATACCAAATATTCCGAAAATAACTGGCTTCAACCGAAAAATAAACCATTTGCCAAGTTGTATGAAAATTAATTGTACCTTTTATTGAATTAATAGATTTATTTTTTGTTATTTCATCTTGATTGCATTAATATTAGAGCCTTTCTGTCCTTTTACATAATCCATAATCCTGGGTGTTGTTATTTTGCTGTTGGGAAATAACGTTTATACGAGGTGTGTTCAGAAAATAACGGGAATTGTTATATTTCGCGGGTTTGGAGGGTCCGGTTGTTATAAAATTTTCTTTATTATGTTGGTATACATGCCCCCGAAGTATGTTAGCTGTTTTCATTGTTTACTTTGTCTGTGGCAGCCGCTAAGGTTAGACGTGTTTTATGAGCTCGGCGATTTTTCGTTCGTTAAAAGAAATAGATCAAAGAATTTGTATCTAATTTTGCTTAAAAAATGAAATAAATTTTGTGAAATGTTAACAAAGGCATATAGTGAGTCTGCTATAAGTAAAACAAGAGTTTACAAGTGGTATAAGAGTTTCCAAGATGGCCGTGAAGACGTTGAAGATGACGAACGCTCCGAACGCACAAGTACATTAACAACCGATAAAAACATGGAAAAAGTGGAAGAAATGGTTATAAACCATCAGAGAAGTCGCTGATGATGTTGGTATATCAATTGGCTCATCCCATGAAATTTTTTCGAATGTTTTGGGTATGAAACGCGTGGCAGCAAAATTTGTTCCAAAATTGTTAAATTTTGAACAAAATTTTTGGCCAAAAACAATACTGTAATGATGCCCCAGCCTTTATATTCGCCAGACATGCCTCTGTCTGACTTTTTCCTATTACCAAAAATAGAGAGAACCTTAAAGGGCCGTCGTTTTGCAAGCATAGATGACATTAAAAGCGCATCGCTGAAAGGACTAAAGGCTATCTCAAAGATCGAGTTTCGAGTATTGGTACATGTGCATAATATCCATTGGGGACTATTTTAAAGGCGACAACATTAATGTAGACGAATAAATAAAGATTTCTTTCAAAAAACGAAAATTCACGATATTTTCTGAACACACATCGTATGTCGTGTACTGCTTCTGAAAAAGAATAATTGTTTTTCTCCCCTTTTCCATCCGCGTCGGATATATTGCTATTTGGTTTAGAGGAAGACTAGAAGGTAGGAAGCAGATATGCGTAAATTATTTACCCCACTGTGCGATTCAGCTTATTCTTCCAAGTACTGACTTTAAAGAAGATTCAGCCCTATTCAGGAAGTCGTTATTATCTTCATTTAATAGTGTCACTGCAGAGTTGAGAGATTTGTAGATTTATGTATCATCTCAATACTGATGCACTTTACTATATTTTATCCCCCACACAAATCAGCAGTAAATATTGAAAAGAGTAAGGGATCCAGTATGCTTCCCTGCGGAACTCCCTTAGACAAGGTTTAACAAGACGATTATTTGCCATTGATTTCTACAGAACCAGTTTATCAACTTCATATCAAAATTGTAATAATGCAGTTTGGTTAAATTTAAAGCAAATTGTGATTGACCAAATCAAGAGCCTTGCTATATTCCAATAGTACCAATAAAGTAATCTTAGAATTACTTTATTGGTCAATGCAAGATCTTGCGTTTTTAAGCTCTCGTACTTATTTGTTTTTGTCCTTTAAATAAAAGTCCGCGCGATTTGTTCTTCTGCTCATGTAACACTTAGCACTTTTGCACAGCACTCTACCTTGTAATATTTTTAAGTTTAAACCACACTTTTATTATTGTTTAAATGATTTATGAAAGCGCTCTTGTAAACGTATCATTATCGACCGATTATAATCGAAAAAATGCGAAATGAAACAAAAATAAATAACTAATGTAATGTAATTTATTTCCTAAACTATCATACAAGTATAATATGAAGATTACACTCAGGTAGTAAAAATATCGAAAATCCTAATAATAATATGAAAATAAGTTTATAAAAATACAGCCATAATAATATTAACCTTAAAACCCTAAAAACAATCTAAGTAAATTTGAAAAATTCCAACTTCTTCTCCGTCAAAGACAATAAATAGTTTCCGTTTTGGTTCTGAATCCCGCCCAAGTCTAAAACCGCCTCGTGCGCAGGAACTGTGCAGACCCTCTGGCCCGTGTTGATGCTCCACAAGTGCACACTCTTGCTGGACTCGTGGTACGCAGCGATGTAGTTCTGTTTGTCGGATAAAAAGCACGATTTCGACAGCAACTTCTGCATCCCGCCGCCTTGGAACGAATGCAGCACGTTGCAGTTTATTTTCTCCCCTCCGTGATCCCCTTGCACCACATCCAAAGTGCACAGGGTGTGTCTCGAGTACGATATCCTGTTGTTCGGCCTGGACGAGATTAATAGCTGTCTGGACTCCTTCTCGTACTTCATGGAGACGAAGGGGCTCTCCAAGGACAAGGGGTGCCTGATGTGGCCGCTAACGGCGTTCTCGAAAACCCTCAGAGAGTTTAACTTGCAGGATATGACCCCGCCGTTGCGTAGATCCCCATTGACGCTCGACGGTATGGACGCCACGGAAACTACCGGCGACATATAAAATAAACAAATTTTTAACATTACCGTCGCATACTTTTTTTTTCATGTGATTTCACACATTTTTATTTGCTCGGTAAACAACCGACAATAAAAAAAACTAGCAATTTATAACCATTTATGTTGCTATTTTATCACTATAGACGGTAATGTTAATAAAAAAAATACAAATACATTTTAATTCACACATGCAATACCATCTAGCGGCAAATAGACGACCTAAAAGTCCTTCTACGGTCATGTGAAGAAAACGTCGGAACAACTTTCAGTTATTATTTTTAGCCTAAACATTAACAGTAATGGCTATTTAAGACAATTTTATAACACAAAAACCCCAACATTTGTTCAATATCATTTTCTTTGGCTACCTACTTAAAAGTTGAATTAAATTTTAGAAGTTCGCAAATATTGGATTTTGCTCGAGGGTCATACGACGGTCATGTGAAAAAGGAGTTTTAAAACCAAAATTTAAAAATAAATTAAAAGGATATTGAACTTTTGGTATTTGAAATCTAGTAAAATGTAAAAAAAAATGATAAAATGTAAAAAAAATGATCGCTAATATAAAGGTTTTAGTTTTAATTCCCCAGAGACATGGTATCTTAAAAGTTACTGAAAACCACCCTTATGTTTTCTTCTGCACATGTAACACTTAGCACTTTTGCACAGCACTCTACCTTGTAATATTTTTAAGTTTAATACGCACTTTTGTCACTGTTTAAATGATTTATGAAAGCGCTCTTGTAAACGTATCAGTATCGACCGATTATAATCGAAAAAATGCGAAATGAAACAAAAATGTATTAACTAATGTAATGTAATTTATTTCCTAAACTATCATACAAGTATAATATGAAGATTACACTCAGGTAGTAAAAATATCGAAAATCCTAATAATAATATGAAAATAAGTTTATAAAAATACAGCCATAATAATATTAACCTTAAAACCCTAAAAACAATCTAAGTAAATTTGAAAAATTCCAACTTCTTCTCCGTCAAAGACAATAAATAGTTTCCGTTTTGGTTCTGAATCCCGCCCAAGTCCAAAACCGCCTCGTGCGCAGGAACCGTGCAGACCCTCTGGCCGGTGTTGATGCTCCACAAGTGCACACTTTTGCTGGACTCGTGGTACGCAGCGATGTAGTTCTGTTTGTCGGATAAAAAGCACGATTTCGACAGCAACTTCTGCATACCTCCCCCTTGGAACGAATGCAGCACGTTGCAGTTTATTTTCTCCCCTCCGTGATCCCCTCGCACCATATCCAAAGTGCACAGGGTGTGTCTCGAGTACGATATCCTGTTGTTCGGCCTGGACGAGATTAATAACTGTCTGGACTCCTTCTCGTACTTCATGGAGACGAAGGGGCTCTCCAAGGACAAGGGGTGCCTGATGTGGCCGCTAACGGCGTTCTCGAAAACCCACAGAGAGTTTAATTTGCAGGATATGACCCCGCCGTTGCGTAGATCCCCGTTGACGCTCGACGGTATGGAAGCCACGGAAACCACCGGCGACATATAAAATAAACAAATTTTTAACATGACCGTCGCATACTTTTTTTTTTCATGTGATTTCACACATTTTTATTTGCTCGGTAAACAACCGACAATAAAAAAACTAGCAATTTATAACCATTTATGTTGCTATTTTATCACTATAGACGGTCATGTTAATAAAAAAAATACAAATATATTTTAATTCACACATGCAGTACCATCTAGCGGCAAATAGACGACCTAAAAGTCTTTCTACGGTCATAAGAAGAAAACGTCGGAACAACTTTCAGTTATTATTGTTAGCCTAAACATTAACAATAATGGCTATTTAAGACAATTTTATAACACAAAAACCCCAACATTTGTTCAATATCATTTTCTTTGGCTAAAAGTTGAATTAAATTTTAGATCGCAAATATTGGATTTTGCTCGAGGGACATACGACGGTCATGTGAAAAAGGAGTTTTAAAACCAAAATTAAAAAATAAATTTATAGGATATTGAACTTTTGGTATTTTAAATCTAGTAAAATGTAAAAAAATGATAAAATGATAAAATGTAAAAAAAAGATCGCTAATATAATGTAAAAAAAAAAGATCGCTAATATAGAGGTTTTAGTTTTAATTCCCCAGGGACATGGTATCTTAAAAGTTACTGAAAACCACCCTTATGTTTTCTTCTGCACATGTAACACTTAGCACTTTTGCACAGCACTCTACCTTGTAATATTTTTAAGTTTAATACTCACTTTTATCATTGTTTAAATGATTTATGAAAGCGCTCTTGTAAACGTATCAGTATCGACCGATTATAATCGAAAAAATGCGAAATGAAACAAAAATGTATTAACTAATGTAATGTAATTTATTTCCTAAACTATCATACAAGTATAATATGAAGATTACACTCAGGTAGTAAAAATATCGAAAATCCTAATAATAATATGAAAATAAGTTTATAAAAATACAGCCATAATAATATTAACCTTAAAACCCTAAAAACAATCTAAGTAAATTTGAAAAATTCCAACTTCTTCTCCGTCAAGGACAATAAATAGTTTCCGTTTTGGTTCTGAATCCCGCCCAAGTCCAAAACCGCCTCGTGCGCAGGAACCGTGCAGACCCTCTGGCCGGTGTTGATGCTCCACAAGTGCACACTCTTGCTGGACTCGTGGTACGCAGCGATGTAGTTCTGTTTGTCGGATAAAAAGCACGATTTCGACAGCAACTTCTGCATACCGCCGCCTTGGAACGAATGCAGCACGTTGCAGTTTATTTTCTCCCCTCCGTGATCCCCTTGCACCATATCCAAAGTGCACAGGGTGTGTCTCGAGTACGATATCCTGTTGTTCGGCCTGGACGAGATTAATAGCTGTCTGGACTCCTTCTCGTACTTCATGGAGACGAAGGGGCTCTCCAAGGACAAGGGGTGCCTGATGTGGCCGCTAGCGGCGTTCTCGAAAACCCACAGAGAGTTCAGTTTGCAGGATATGACCCCGCCGTTGCGTAGATCGCCGTTGACGCTCGACGGTATGGACGCTACGGAAACCACCGGCGACATATAAAATAAACAAATTTTTAACATGACCGTCGCATACTTTTTTTTCATGTGATTTCACACATTTTTATTTGCTCGGTAAACAACCGACAATAAAAAAAACTAGCAATTTATAACCATTTATGTTGCTATTTTATCACTATAGACGGTAATGTTAATAAAAAAATACAAATATATTTTAATTCACACATGCAGTACCATCTAGCGGCAAATAGACGACTTAAAAGTCCTTCTACGGTCATAAGAAGAAAACGTCGGAACAACTTTCAGTTATTATTTTTAGCCTAAACATTAACAATAATGGCTATTTAAGACAATTTTATAACACAAAAACCCCAACATTTGTTCAATATCATTTTCTTTGGCTACCTACTTAAAAGTTGAATTTAATTTTAGAAGATCGCAAATATTGGATTTTGCTCGAGGGACATACGACGGTCATGTAAAAAAGGAGTTTTAAAACCAAAATTTAAAAATAAATTCATAGGATATTGAACTTTTGGTATTTTAAATCTATTAAAACATAAAAAAAATTATCGCTAATATAAAGGTTTTAGTTTTAATTCCCCAGGGACATGGTATCTTAAAAGTTACTGAAAACCACCCTTATGTTTTCTTCTGCACATGTGACACTTGGCACTTTTTCACAGCACTCTCCCTTGTAATATTTTTAAGTTTAATACGCACTTTTATTACATTTTTAAATGATTTATGGAAGCGCCCTTGTAAACGTTTAGTTTCTTCGAAAGTTCGGTCGATACTGATATTTTAATACCAATGTATCAGTATCGACCGATTATAATCGAAAAAATGCGAAATGAAACAAAAATGTATTAACTAATGTAATGTAATTTATTTCCTAAACTATCATACAAGTATAATATGAAGATTACACTCAGGTAGTAAAAATATCGAAAATCCTAATAATAATATGAAAATAAGTTTATAAAAATACAGCCATAATAATATTAACCTTAAAACCCTAAAAACAATCTAAGTAAATTTGAAAAATTCCAACTTCTTCTCCGTCAAGGACAATAAATAGTTTCCGCTTTGGTTCTGAATCCCGCCCAAGTCCAAAACCGCCTCGTGCGCAGGAACCGTGCAGACCCTCTGGCCGGTGTTGATGCTCCACAAGTGCACACTCTTGCTGGACTCGTGGTACGCAGCGATGTAGTTCTGTTTGTCGGACAAAAAGCACGATTTCGACAGCAACTTCTGCATCCCGCCGCCTTGGAACGAATGCAGCACGTTGCAGTTTATTTTCTCCCCTCCGTGATCCCCTTGCACCACATCCAAAGTGCACAGGGTGTGTCTCGAGTACGATATCCTGTTGTTCGGCCTGGACGAGATTAATAGCTGTCTGGACTCCTTCTCGTACTTCATGGAGACGAAGGGGCTCTCCAAGGACAAGGGGTGCCTGATGTGGCCGCTAGCGGCGTTCTCGAAAACCCACAGAGAGTTCAGTTTGCAGGATATGACCCCGCCGTTGCGTAGATCCCCGTTGACGCTCGACGGTATGGACGCTACGGAAACCACCGGCGACATGTCGCCGGGGATGTCGAGGTTAGAAACCGGCGTCGACAGATTCCTCACGTCGTATTTAACGACTGCACCGCTTTGCTTTCCAATGTAAAGAATGTAAGGGTTGTCCGCGTCCCAGCAGCAAGACCACAGCGGCATCTCTTGCGTGGTCGTGAACAGCACCGAATTCGTGTTCGTGTCGACGACCTTGAACGACTTGTCCATCGACGCAGTCAACACCCAGTTGTTCTGCTCGTGAAAGCAAACGTCCCTGATTTGGAGAGTGTGCAACGGTATAAACGCCAGGGGTTTATACTGGGAAATGTTCACCTTCCTGAGCCCGAAACCGGAAAACAAACTGTTGGGCGACTTCATAGACGCCATGAGCAGGTCGAACCTGCACGTGGCGTCAAAAACCCTGCACCCGCCGTAGCGGCAGATCTCCATCGACTTGTCCATGAACAGTCTCACGTAGCTGCTCGAGGTGGACCCGAAGCTGCTGCTCAGCTTCGGGTCGGACTTTTTGTGCGACAAGTCTTGTATCTGCTTCTTCAGGTGCTGGATCTCCTGGTTGAGCATGTGCTCGCGGCACGCGAACTTCGACATGTCCAGCAGGACCTTGTTCTTTTCTTCGGTCGCGATGTCCAGTTGCTTTTTGATCAGTTCGAGTTCAGTCGTGTCGACGGCGATCAGTTTTTTCGCGTAGATGAACCTCAGGTCGCCTCTACTCACCTGAAACAACAACCAAGGGTTTTAACTATAATAGAAGTATGGAACATTTATACCCAAGTATTCTTACCAAAACAACAACAATTTAACACAACTTGCATGAGAAATGGTTTTAAATTGCTGAAAAAAATATGTAAAATAAAAAATTTAAGTTTTTTAGAAGGGTCCAGTGTTATATGGTCTAAAAATTCGACTTCTGCTGCCTTTTGAGAGATAGCGAGAAAAAAACGTTACTTAGATAGAAGTTAACGCATAAACAAAAATTCAGAACCAATGTCATAAGACGTCCTTTTGTCGCACGCGGACAATTTATAATGGACTAGTGCGACAAAAGTTCTTATGACATGAGTGCTTTATGCTATTTTATCTATTTTGCAAAAATTCAATAAAAAAAATAATTTTATACCTTAAATTTAATTTGGTCGAATTTTACTTTAGATAGTTGGTATCACAGTCATTGGTTTGACATGTCAAAATCGATTCGCCATACCGTCCTTAATTTACTTATTTACAATAAGCGGCTGTTAATGTTAAAGAAGAAAAAAAGGATTTTCTTTGGTGTTAAACAAAACTTATTGCCAGAAAAGTCTCGTAAGTACTGGAAAAATCATAAAAATATTATAACCAATATGCAAAATATTATGCTGTTTAAAGTATAGCCAACCTATAAAATCAAAATTTTGCGTGGGATAAAGTATCTCATTACAGCACCGAAAGCGGTGTTATAATGAAGTCATTATGAACGCAAAATAGATAAAGACAATTAAAGAAGTTAACTTTAGCATTTACAGCTTTCCCCACTAATGGCAAAAAAATCGGCTGTAGATGCGAAAGGTATTAATTAAGTAACTAAATAATAAAGGTTAACGTATTTTTGCTTGGCATGAAAATGTTAGTTAACACCTTTATCCAACCCCTTTAATTATAAAAACAAAATCGTTCTTCGAAATATTTGAAAATTTGATTTTTAACCCAGTAAAATATATTCCTACCTACACAGTTAAGCAACATTAAAAATAAAACAAAATAATACAAAAAAATTAAAAGATCCATCAAATCATAACTAAATTAAAAAAATATTATTAATAATAATAATATAAAGAAAAGGAGGCAATAAGAATAAAAAATATATTCAAAACATTTTAAAAAGTACTATTTTTACAAATTAAATAAAAATATGTCTACAATTTTATCATAATACAATATTATGTAATATTATATTACTTATATATACCTAATTATATCGTACGGTTTTGGAGATTATAATATAGTTTTTTTACTAAAAACTTTCTAGTTACAAATTAAAAATATCGTTATAATACATTATTATATAAAAAATTAATTATTAGGTAGGTATATAAAAAATTAATAAACTAATATTCATTTAGAAAAATTATAAATACAGGGTGACGCGACTTCTGGGACACCCTGTATATTAAGGGACATTTTTGTGTTTAGATGTGTTTTTCTATGGTTTAGATTATTAAAAAAATAATCTACAACGGTTGCTATAGTTATATTTTTAAATTCCTTAATAAACAGTTATAAAACATAATAAAACAAAGATAAAAAACAAAAAAAGCACACAAATTTGATGCAATAGTGACTTTTGGGCATTTTAGTCACGGGCTGAAGTTAGCTTTATTATAAATTAGGGAAAAGTGAGATTAAATCTATTTAAAGTTGATAGATGTCAAATGTGTAGCAAATAAAATTGGCTTTAAATTCTTCTTTGTGTTCGTCGTAGATATAGTTTAGCATGCAACTCGTTTTATAAATTTCTCTAGACACTCGTTTTTATTAAACACTCGCTAGCAAGCTTCGCTCGTGCCTAATACAACTCGCAACTAAAATTGTGTTAATAAAACTTGATACATAATATACTATTTTCTACTATTACGGAATATGACCGTTCTAATATCACTTTTTAATGAGGAATGTGTAAGACCCATTGATTTATTTAACACTTAACTGATATCGTTAAAAATGGTTTACTTGAAATTTGATACAGGCGGCCGGCATGCCTAAGCCGTGAAACGTATCAATTAAGTTGTATATTATTTTTAAATATTTTGGCTAGTGAATAAAATTCATATTAGTCTATACTAAGTATTAAGAAGTCTTCTTAATAAGCTTTTTTAAGAGAGCGAGAGCTTTATTATTTTTTATTTAGGTACTGGTGACACAGTCAAGTGAATTATAAATTTTTTGTGAAAAGACTAGACTTTTGTGTTTGTGCATTCTTGAGTGCTAATTAGTGTATACGCTAAACTTTAGCGGCTAAAGAAGTATCATGTTTTCGCAACGTGCGCGCCATCTGGTGGACTTTGAATGCTGTTTAAATTAGACGACTTATTTGTTTGACGATTTTTACTGAACTGAAATGTTTACACTTTTCACGTTAATCATTACTAAAATGTGTATTTATTGTATCTAATAGATACAATTTAAAACAAAACAATTTAAAGCCAATTTTATATGACATTTTATCTGACATCTGTCAAGCGGGTATATCCTTACTTTTTTCAAATTTAATGGAATAGTGCATTGAATAACTTAATACACTAGTATGGTAAATGTAGGAGTAGATAATAGTATATTATGTAACTAGTTCCACAAATGTCATTTAATACACGAGTTTAATTATGCACGAGCGGAGCTTGCGGAGTTTTTAATAGATAATCCTGAGAAGTTTATAAAACTAACGCAAAAAAAGTTTTTTCAGAATTTGAAGTCAATTTTATTTGACATTTTATCTGACATCTGACGAATATCAAGCGGTTTTAACCTCACTTTTATCCAAGCTGACATTTGTCAAACGGTTTTAACCTCACTTTTTCCCCAATTTAATGCACTAATGTAAGTTATACTACTAAATATTTTTAAAAAATTAAAAATATTTTTTAATGTTTTAAATTTATCTAGAAAATAATTTATAATCTTAAGCAGGTAAATTATGGTAATTTTTTTCCACAAAATGCAAAAAAAATCATAATATATTTGAAATCTCAAATTATAATTGTAAATTTTAAATATAACCTGTTCCTGTATACCTGATAAATCTTATAAAATCAAATAAAATTCCAAGACAATTTTATAAAAAATAATTCTTATTCTACTTTTTTCAGGAAGGTTCTACACGGTTCTAAATTTTAATTTTATACAAAATACACGGTTCTACATTTTAATTTTTTAAAAAATTCATTAATATCTATTTATTAATTATCTAATCTCATAAAAATAAACTTACTTTTCTCTTACACGTAGGACATAACTTTTTAGTCTGTGACTCCAACCATCGGTTAACACACTTATACCCAAACAAGTGTCCACATTTCAAAGCACATATTCGATGGTCTCCTGTATTGGTCCAATTATCCAAACAAATTGGACACAGCCTTCCATCATCCTCATCATGAAAAGACTCCTCTTTCACAACCTCCTTATTCACCAACTCACTTTGATTACTCTCCTCCGAATGGTGGCTGCTAGCCACAGAAACCGTATCGGCATCTGAGTCAACATTGATGTTTTCCACTTCATTGGACTCAATTTGTACTATGGCATGTTGCTCCACGGGTATTTCGGGGTTGATAAAGGGAATGGGGCCTTCAACATGCATTCCAACACTCGAAACAACAACCACCTCATATTGATTATTTATTGGGTTCATTTGGGGGTCTGAACTAAAAGCTACTGTACTCGCCGAACTGAACGAATGTGCAGTTGTGTCCATTGCATAGTCATTATCCTGAACTATTTATAATAACGAGAAAACAAAGGATCAGTCAAAAAAACACACATAAAAACATCTTTAAAAAACACTTACTGTATGCATTGTTGGTGTAGTCCATTGCACACTTTTCAGTTAAATTTCAGCTGATTTGCTCTCATCGGAACTAAATTTCCTGTAAACTTCATTTTTTGACGGTTTTGACAGAAAAAACGTAAACAAGATTTTCCAGAGGTTAAATTAGGTCATACAACCAAAATCCCAAAAACCCTAATGACCACACCACAGTGACCATCAAACTGTTTTAAGGAAAACCGTTTAGATTTGTTATATTAGGTAAATAATTTAAAATTCATACAAAATGGTCGTTTATTTAGCTCGATTTTGAATATTATTTGGAAAGAAAGCTTTGTTATACTTTAAACAAAATTTGAGTTTAGTTTGAGAATTTCTCGCTAGATGGCGATTTCAAATTATTGAAATTGTCAATTTTGACATGAAAATGTCAAATTTGACAGAAAAAATCCTTGTTATATTTAGAGGTATTTGTTGTAAATAAAAATCGTTTCTTAAAATAAATATATTAAATTTAATTCCACAGCAAAACTAAGTATAATCGTTGATTAAGACATTGAAAAACTGCATGTACCTAAACGAAAAAATGTTCCCAATTTCAAGGCAGAAGATTCAAAGGAAACCAAACAAAAGTAAGTAGTCTCCCGTTATAATAAAATCGCCTTAATAAATTCCAACAGTTTATTTATATTTTTGGTAACAACAGCTCATCCAAAAATACAAAAAAAATTTATCTACAATAAAATAATCAACGACGAAATGCAAACATTCCTTATTTTTTTTTAATTTAATGTGACATTTATGTACAGTTGTCATGACAATGAACTTATTTAAAAAGGTATTAGGTAATTCAACGTTATATAAAATCCAAGTTCTTCACAAAAAAAAACTCCATTTTTCCATGAGTATGTGAGGGAAAGTGTGTGTGTTCAGAAATGTAAAATCGATAAAATTTACTAACTAAAAAGCTGTTCTGTTGCCCGCTCCAAGTCCCAGTTGTAAGACGACAGTGCCACCCGGGCTTGGTGGTCTTCTATGCCCATATCTACTAGTCTTCTAATTTTATCATCACAATCGCGATTCACGTGAGGACCTGAAAATATTTGGGAAAAATGTGTTTGTGGCAAAACAGAGCAAGTTAAAAACAAGGTCTCCCTGAATTGCTTATTTTTTGATTTTGTCAGGAAAACCTTGTATAAATTTTTTTTTTGGATATCTAGGGTTTAAGATTTTGTCGCTAGATTTCCTTTTAATTTTTTTTTAATTAAGGATTTTGACATTGTGGGGGGCATCGACATAAAAGTTACTCGCGATTGTTTACTATAATATTCGTAAAATTATCAAAACGTAGCCAAAGAATATCAAACTCCATAATATAACATACACATTCCCTTAAATTTAAAAAAAAAATGTGTTTAATATTGTGTGATAGGAAAATTTTCCTATTAAAGATTATATACTTAAGTATATTTAATCTTTGCCCATATCATCAAACTTTAAAATATCAATTTTATTTTATTATTTATTGTATTATTTTTTTTTTTTTTTTTTTCAAATTTTGACACATTAAATCAAAGATTAAATATACTTAAGTATATTTAATCTTTGCCTATATCATCAAACTTTAAAATATCAATTTTATTTTATTGTTTATTGTATTATTTTTATTGTTTTTTTTTTAATTTTTGACACATTATGTTTGCCTGATTTAAATCAAGTAATTTTTTTATTTTAATCAATGATTTAAATCAGTTTTAAAAAGAGTTACTAAACTAAACTAAAGCACAATATTATCTTGACTCTATTTAAATAAATTTATATGCATAGAAAAACTGCTTATTTTGTTAAATAAAATAAAGGACTATACAAAAAAATATATGGCAGTTGCGGACGGTGGTTTATTTGTTTATAAAGTCGTGCCAATATACTTAATATTATTATAGTCGTTATTTTTAGTATTTTTTTAAAAGTACACTTTATTAAAAAAAGCTTATAATTCAAAATAAAAAAATCATTTATTGTTAATTTTTTGATTAATTTAATAAAAATCATTGATTTTTGTTTTTTTAATCATGATTTTTTCAAACCCTGTTATGTTGGTAGTCAATGAAGTATTTTTTTAATTCTATCCTTTTCAAGTTTGAATTTTTGACAAAATATTATTGCATATTTTTATTTTTTGATAAAATTTGTTTCTTGATTTCCTTGAATTATTTTCAATTTTTTCGCGATTGTCTACTACACTGCCCGTCAAAATTAACGCATAACAAGTAAAAAAAATTATAACTTTAAAACACCTTTACCAATCTTTATGAAAATTTGTGTAAAAATACTTCAACTTATATCTCATTTTACGTGTTTGAGGGTTTTTCAAGAAAATATTTTTAAGGCCCTTTTATTTAATAATAAAAAACGTTTAAAAAATAACTTTTAGGGAATTTTTTTAAGTAAATAAAAAAGATACTGTAAAAGACCGTATTTTTGTTAGTATACCCTGAAAATTTTGTACAAATCAAACGAACAGTAACGAAAATACAGCGCTTTAAAGTCGTCAAAAATGACCACTTTTCAGCATAATAATCAATTTTGACAGGCAGTGCATTGGTATCTTTATGAAAACTTGTGTAAAAATACTTCAACTTATATCTCATTTTACGTGTTTGAGGGTTTTTCGAGAAAATATTTTTAAGGCCCTTTATATAATAATAAAAAACGCTTAAAAAATAACTTTTAGGGAATTTTTTTTAAGTAAATAAAAAATATACTGTAAAAGACCGTATTTTTGTTAGTACACCCTGAAAATTTTGTACAAATCAAACGAACAGTAACGAAAATACAGCGCTTTAAAGTCGTCAAAAATGACCACTTTTCAGCAAAATAATCAATTTTGACGGGCAGTGCATAATTCGTAAAATTATAAAACTTAGCAAAATAATATCAAACTCCATAATATAACACACATTTCCTTAAATTTAAAAAAAATGTGTTAAATATTCCCTGGGAAATTTTCCTATGGTTGGCAATACTGAAATATAACCCCATATCTTTGAATAAAAAACCTGTTTTTATTCAAAGCCCCAAATCATCAAACTTTAAAATATCAATTTTGTTTTTTTTTAATTTGACATGTTGGTAGTCAACATAGTATTTTTTAATTCTATCCTTTTCAAGTTTAAATATTTTGACAAAATATTGTATATTTTTATTTTTTGCTAAACAATTTTTATACCTGGATTATATGAGTATGAGTAATATAAATGTATATTTTGCGTTTTGACTGTCTTGAAACATTTAATTTTAAACAAAAAATAATGGTTACTCAAAAAACTTTATAATAATTTTATAGATTTTATTAGAATAAAATAGGTTATGAGGTATGAGGTTATTCTAATAAAATCTATAAAATTATTATAAAGTTTTTTGAGTAACCATTATTTTTTGTTTAAAATTAAATGTTTCAAGACAGTCAAAACGCAAAATATACATTTTTAGAGCTGTCAGATTTTAACTTTGTTTTTGATGGTTCTTATTTACCTCCTGCATAGATGTTGGTCCAATGCCGGGCAGTAGTTTGAAACATTTCCATGTTTTTCTTTGAATTGTCTTGCTACAACAGCATCTTGAGGATCATCAGGTTCCGCAGCTGATAATAAGGCTTGTAAAGATAATAAAACGGTTCTTAAGGTCATTGCTGCAGCCCTAAAATGTTTCAAATTCGTTATTTTTCATGTAGAAAAATAGGGTTATTCCCAAGTTGATAGTTTTTGTATTTTTTTAATTTATTCTTTTTGTGATTTTTTCATGCTAGAAATTTTCATACAGAATAAATATTAACTTGGAAATCACCCTGTATATTTTTATCAAACAAATACCATTGATCCTTCAATATATCCAAACATATTGCCCCTGTTACTGAAGATATATTGGGATGCCAAATTTTTGTTATAAATCGAACCTACAAAAAATTGAGATAAAAATATACATGTTAGGTTATATAAAAATCCAGATAAAAATAGATTGACAAATGAATTGAACACAAAATAATCTCTATAAATATTTAAACTGAAATATGCAATTTAACCTACTTTTGGAGGGTTAAATGGGTATGTTTCAGGTACTTTGATTTCTAATATGAAATTGCCTCCTTCGTATGGGGTATCAGGAGGTCCTGCGATTTCACCCTTAAGCTCTGTGTAGCTGTCATTTAGAAGCTCCACTTTGATGGCACATTTTGCTACCTATAACAACAAACACATCTTTTTTGTTTTTTATTAATTGCAAAACATGTTCAACCATTAGTTTTACTACTTGCATTAGTTTTCACACCATTGTTGGATAAAAAATTAATAATATAATATATACCTGCAATATAACTGTCTTAAGAATGCAAACTTAAGCTAGATATAACTGTCTTAAGAATGTTAATTTGAGCTATATTGAACTGTCTTAAAAAGGTCAACTTAAGCTAAATATAACTGTCTTAAGAATGTCAATTTAAGCTTGATAATCCTGTCTTGAAAGTGTCAACATAAAACTGTCTTAATAATGTCAGTTAAACTTTCTTAAGGATGTCAACTTAAGCTAGATAAAACTGTCTTAAGGCTTCGTATGGATATCATAGACCAGTTCCACTGTCACGTCACATTTTGCTACCTACAGCTGTCTTGTTGTTTGTTTTATTTAAAAATTGCGAAACATTGAGGTTACGACCAGATGACCCCTTGTATAATCGTGTTTTTCTTTAAATCAATACTTTAAATGTGAAGAAAGATGTTTTGAAACTGGTGGTTGTTATAACTATAGTGAGATGACTGGAAAACAGGGTAAGCAAAGCATGTTAACGATTCGTTAATTTGTGCCTAACAACGTCGCAATGTGGCTAAGTTCCCCGCAAATCTTACCTCTTCGCTTTTGATAACCTCTTTGAATTCTCGTTTTATTCTTTGCGCTGCTATATTTGCCATTGTTTATAAAGTTTTGTCTACGGGAGTTGTCTGCGATAAATACAACTCATAACATCAAATTGACAATGCGTTAATTTAATGAGGATGATTTCGTTGGAGTTTTTTTGTTCAAATTTTCACTTTGTTAATTTTCTTGAAGTTCGACGAAAAATGAAATGTCATTTAATTTTCAAAACAATGTGGCCAACCGTTGGTAACCAAAGTTGAAAAAAATTCCACTTTTTTCCGATTAAATTTGTAAACACTGATTAAGGTAAATAAAAATAATATTATGCTTGCGAATTATTTCGTCAAGAAATTAAGAAATCCATATTTTGAAATAATTTAAGATAACATCCCAACGCAGTTCCCATTCATTGGTCGATGGTTTTGCATTGTTGTCAAGTTTACGAATTATTTCGGGAAGGAATTTTTTGTGTGCTTTATCTTTATAAACACAATATTGAAGTGAAATTTTATTATTTTGTTTAAAATTTATTAAAATTTTCCCAGTTACTGATTAGGTACTGCATGGTCCCCAACTAGTTTCCGACTACTAGTGAGTGTTTATAGATGACATCTGTCAAAAATGACAGATAAGATAGATAGCTGTCAAAAATGATGAATGGCAGCTGTCAAAATGATAGATAGCTGTCAAAAATTATAGATGATGGCTGTCAAAATGATGTATAGCTGTCAAAAATGACAGATTACAGCTGTCAAAAATTACAGATGACAGCTGTAAAAAATACAGATGGCAGCTGTCAAAAATGACAGATGACAGCTGTCGAAAGTGACAGATGACAGCTGTCAAAAATGACAGATGACAGGTGTCAAAAATGAGAGATGTCCATTTTTTTAAAATTGATGTTTTTAGACAAATTTTCGTCGCTTTAAAACAGAAATTTTGCCAAAAAAATAACACTTCAAAGTTCTGTTTATCAAGCTAATTTTGCCACATAAACATAATACGACGTAGAGTATGGCCAAGAAAATTAATCTTTTTATTTGCAACGCAAAACTCGAGTTTGTTACTATGAAAAGTGACAGGTCTGTGTGAAAAGAAAGTCAGATTGGTAAAAAGTGAGGTTAAAACCGCTTGATACTTGTCAGATGTCAGGTAAAATGTCAAATAAAAATGACCTTAAATTCTAAAAAAAATATGACTTTTTCTTCATCATAGAAAACGCATTGTGTTTTACCGGTAAAAAAGCACTTTTTAAGATCGTGCTACCTGACACTTGCATGAAAAAGTCCCTTTTTAATGCTTGTAAAACAAATAAGTAATCAAAGTTATAACTAAATAAATAATATTACTCCCACATTGACAAGTTAAATTTGGAAAAAGTGAGGTTGAAACCGTTTCACAGATGTCAGATGTGGAAAAATGGAGGTTAGAACGGTCTGACAGATGTCAAATGTTTAACAAATAAAATTGACTTTAATTTCTGAAAAACATTGCTTTGTGTTCGTCGTAGATGAAGTACCTACCTATAGTATGCAACTTGTTTTATAAACTTCTCTGGACAATCGTTTTTATTCAACACTCGCTCGTGCCTAATTAAAACTCGTGATTAAAATGGCGTTTATAATACTTGTTGCATATTATTATATACTATTAAAATCATAAAAGCACGTTTTTGACAGATATAAACCTTTGCATATAAAAATCTCGTAAGCTTATATATTTGACGCGTACATCGATCACATTTCCTCATTGCTAAACGTGGCAACTGCGCATAATCGTTTCGTTTGTAGTTATGCCAGGGTTATCTGAACCCAACAAATGTGCGCGGAGTCCTGTAGAGTCAAATCTTGAGAAGAACCTCGCGACAGAAGAGTTGAAACTCGAAAGGAGAATGCCCAACATCAAAGTTTTTAGCGGGACGTCCCATCCAGATCTGGCCCAGAGAATTGTCGACCGATTGGGCATCGATTTGGGCAAAGTCGTCACGAAAAAGTTCTCCAATCTAGAGACATGGTGAGTGGCAGTTGTTTGTTTTTTTACGCGTTTCTCGGGAAATGACGCTACCTGATTTCGACTTGTTTAAATTCACGGCACTCTAAATATTTGGAATTGCGCGTTTTTTAATTGGTTGTATCGATTTTCAGCGTGGAAATCGGCGAATCCGTTCGAGGCGAAGATGTGTACATCGTCCAATCGGGAAGCGGCGAAATCAACGATAACTTGATGGAAATGTTAATTATGATAAATGCCTGTAAAATCGCGTCGGCTAGCAGAGTGACAGCTGTCATTCCTTGCTTCCCTTACGCCAGACAAGACAAAAAAGACAAGGTAAGAAATAAGGCAGTAAATTTATTGCGCTACCTGCGCTACGACAATTAAAATGGTACAATATAACCTCTCTGTTACCTGACCCACGTGATTATTTAAACTTGACCTAAGTAGGCCAAACAAACGAACTTTAATTATATTAACCTGTTATATCAAATATGACAGATCAAGGTTTTTTTTATATTAATTCTAGATTATTGAACTCAATTTATTAGTTAATACGAAATTCTAAATTAATAATAAATTATTTTAGAATGCAATGCTGAGTGATATAGAGAAAAACGTGCAAAAATGGAAATCTATCGAATGGAAGTTTAGGGTAAAAAAATAAAAAATTTGCTGATTGCATTGGGAGCTTCTAATTAGGGTTTTTAATTTTCAATTAATAGCTCAAACAACTTTCATATTTACCTAAGTTATCAAACACCACAAAAATATTCTCACATCAAGATATATAGAAGAAGCCTCATTATCCAATTGTTAATTTGCTCTACTTATATTGATTTAAATTAGACCACATTGCATTTTGACTAATGTTTTGGATCGAGGCTTTATTTTCATGCTCACTAATATTTTTGGCGAGAAATTCACTGGGCAGAAGTACTTTCTAGAGAAAATTATCTATATAACAAGCAATAGACCAATAAGAGCACCGCATTTTCCATAGCACACTAGGTGTGATGTAGAATACCAAGTTTTAATTGGTTGATTGCTTTCTATAGAGTTCATTTTCTATATAAAGTAAAGTTGCAAGTTTTAGCTATTTTAATTAAAAAAAAATGGTTAAACTAAGTCAGAAACCCATGTTACATCAAAATAGCAAAAAAAAATAATTTTGTTGCCCAGCATGAAACATTTTAAACCAGAAAATGCATGTTTTTAAATATTAAATAGTTTACACAAGTAGTAATTTTTCCTTAGCAATATATGATTAAAATTACACAAGAGTGATGAAAAATCATTTAATCACCAAAAATTTATTATTATTGTTCATTGGGGGTCAAAATGTTGCCTATTGACATCAAAAATAATCTGCAATCATTTTGAAATTATTATTTTTCCTATTTGTTTATGAATGACGTAACTTGTTAATAACATAGCTGATAAGTGCACAAGCATTTCAAGCATTTTTATTTCAATTATGTACATTTATTTTAACAATTTTTATTTGATAAAACATTGGTAGAATACCACATTACAGGTTACATTTTATTTACCCATTAACATTATTATTCTTTTTGGACATATAAAACTGGGTCATCTTTAATATTTGCACATATTTTACATTCTCACTTTTTTTTAACATCATTAATTGAAATAGACTTTTTCTTTCTCTTGCAGAAAGAGGTAAGTACTCACTGGGTCAATAATAATAATAACAAAACCATTGGTATCTAAAAATTTGCATGTTTTAAGTTTATTAACCATGCCTATGTAGGTATACAGTATGTCCACAAGGAGGAAAACTATTTTACATTTCTCAGTGTTTTCTTGATTTCAAACACCCAGAATATGCGACATATAATTTTTATTGTGTATGATTAATTTGCAATTTTAATTTTTCTGATAATTTTGGACTGAAAATTTGTTGATCAAAATCAGTTTTGGTCGGTTTTTGTTTATATATTATTTTCTCTTCAACAAATTAATGTTATTATCACAGTAGGTAGAACTACTTATGAAAACTATAAAAGTGTATTTTTGGCGTAAAAGTTTTGAACATGTCAACAAAAACTTTTGAGAAATGACAAATGAACAAAAACTGACCAAAAATGATTTTTATCTATTTTGCGTTCATAATGACTTCATTATAACACCGCTTTCGGTGCTCTTTACCTCACACAAAATTTTGATTTTATAGGTTGGCTATACTTTAAACAGCATACTAGTAAAATAATATTTTGCATATTGGTTATAATATTTTTATAATTTTTCTAGTACTAGACTTTTCTAGTACTAGACTTTTCTGGCATTCTTTTTTAACATTAACAGCTGCTTATTGTAAATAAGTAAATTAAGGACGCCATGGCGAATCGATTTTGACATTAACCCTTCAAACCAATGACTGTGATGCCAACTATCTAAAGTAAAATTCGACCAAATTAAATATACGGTATAAAATTATTTTTTTATAGAATTTTTGCAAAATTGATAAAATTGCATAAATAACTCATGTCATAAGACCTTTTGTCGCACTCGTATATTACAAAACTCGCTCGTTTCATAAATTGTCCGCGTGCGACAAATGTTTAGTTCCTTAATGTACTATTATCAAACATTTTTCAGAAAAATCAAAATTGCAAATTAACCATAGACATACAAATAAAATGTGTGACATATTCTGGGCTTTCAAAATCAATCAAAAATAGAATTTTCTGAGAAATGTAAAATAAATTTTGTTTCTCCCAATCTGTGGACATACTGTATAAAGAGATAAATTGGGATAGTTATTTTTTTTTCTGTAGGATGTCCTTAAAACGACGCACTTACCCACGCTATTTAAATATATTTTAAATATGATTTTTTTTTTAAATTTAATTAATGGTTCAAAAATTGTTTTAAGATTTCACGTGGTATAGCTTAGTGCGAATTTTTGGGACACCCTGTATATATTTCTAGAACGATAAATACAATTGCAATGTTTTTAATTGAAAAAAATAACCACCCCAACATGATTTCATCTCTTATGCTAAGTACTTATTTTGAGAGCCATTGGTGCCCTCTATCTCACAAAATACGAGTTAACATGTGAGAACACTACACCAGCTTCTATTGCGTTTTTTTCAAACATCTATCATTGTCATTTTAAGAATTTTAAGGAATTTTAACAGCATTTATAAGGTAAAATCAATCCATGTTATCCATGAGATCTGTAATAAGTATATAAAGGATGTTTTAACTTTTAAAAGTTATTTATAGTTCAACAAATTGTTATGAAATCCATTACTTAAATTACAGATCTACATGTTATCTAAAAATTGCTTAGTTTAATAATATGTATAAACATTTGCAACTTTAACAAGACCAGTCTAGTTCTTTTTTTCTATCTAAAAATTAACCGGTTTTTTACATCTCTAGCATAAGCTACTTATAAATAACTTTTGTTGAATATAAAAATGCGGCGTGCCAATAATTTTAGTTAAGACACGACGCGTAGTGGCAGTAGTCACTTCCATACTAAACTGCGCACCACTCAATGTGTCGCGACCAAAAAGTTCGTCCTTTTACAAAACGACATAACTTTTTTGTTTCTTAAACGATTTTATTTTGGTCTGTAATGTCTACTAGCCCCATCCTCTGGCAATTCATGCTATAGATATGAAGCTCGCGGATCTTCAAGTACATTTCGTACAGGGTGATATGTAAAACGGTGAAAAATTTCAATAACTTCATCCAAGCCCCGTTTGAAAAAAGTAATATTTTTTCTCGTTTTTACTTTGAAATAATGTAGTACTATGTCTTAACTTTGAAAAGTTTTTAAATTTTTCGAATTGGAATCTTAGCAACGAAAATATGATTTTTTTTTCAAAATGACATTTTGGTGAAAAATTGCGAAAACTAAACCTGAACCGATATTTACGTTCGTGACATGTTTTCTTTATAATTTTGACCTCCTGATTGTGATTCAGTTGTCAAATTTAAGTTTCAGATAAAACCAAAATCACCAAGAATCAAAATTCGAAAACAATTTCCGGCTGTTAAATGTCTTAATAAAATCCGATTGCTGGCGTGTTTCTAGCATATTTGGGGATTAATTTTTTGGGCGAAATTATTGAAATTTGTTTGAGTGGTTTGGATAATATTACATAAGTTAGATTTACATTGCGCACTAGTGATAACTTATCACTGATAAGTACCTACCTAATTGGTAATAAAGTTAAATAAAAAAATGTTTGTTCATTTTGGAAAATTGTATGCAAAAAATGTAACAAACAATAACAAAAATAACTTTCAATATTTCGTTGGCCCTCCCCTAACCCGTAATAATTCGTTAACCCTCATGGGCCTCGACCAAGTTCTTTATAAATCCCTGGGTTATCCCATTTTTCCTGAATAGCATTTACTAATTCATCCAAATTTTCCATGCGTCCTTTCGGAGACAAAGGTGGCCAATTTATTCTCTCAATATGGTGGTCCCTTAAATACTCATTTACGATATTGGCGCGGTGCGGAAGGGCATTGTCGTCCACCAATTATTGGCAACATTTTGAGCATATGGGACCACGATTTCACTAACAACCAAATCTCTATATCTCTCAGCATTCACTCTTTCCATTCATCGCCATTCCACCCCAAACAGTCACTTCTCCACCTGCAAAAGCCACCCTTCCCTTCCGTTTCGTTCAATCTTCTGCGAACCGTTGATTTGTTAATTCCCGTAGCTGCAGCAAAGTCTAGCATTTTAATCATTTAAAGAAAAAACGGAAGTAACCTGGGTAAGATAGGGGTAGGTATGTAGGTAGGTAGGTATAACATGCAAAAAAACTTTGAAAAACACGAGCAAACTGAAAAAATCAAGAATATCCCTCATAATGCGTTTTAAATGTTTTTCAAGAACTAATTTTTATTTGATCCTTCATTTGATTATTCAGCGACATGCAGTGGCGGCTCGTCAGGGTAGGCCTCTGAGGCCGCGCCTCACCCTTAAAATAAAGGAACGAACGACTTTTTGTATTTATATTTTTGCCTATTACAAGTGTATTTTTACAACAGTTCTACCCAATAAAAAGTAAAAAACCAATCAATCATATTAAGCGTAAATAAAAATCCAGGCGCAAAGCGCGTCAAGTTAACGTGCATCGTTGAGTCGCTTGGACAGAGGCGAAATTTTCACAGCCTCGGAAGCTCCCATTTACCTCTTCAAAGCGAAAATGACTCACCAACAAAAATATCGCCGTAAGTTCGCGAATAAACACCGTAGATGAGGCGAAATTTAGTTGGCTTGGTTTGTTCTGATTGGTGGTCCGTTTATGGTGGGATGCCAGCGGAGACAAAGAAGGTTGCCAGTCTTCTCTTAGCGTTTGTAGAGCACGTTATTGTTTTGATTCAGATTAAATTATTTAAAACTTTTGGCTGATCTTTTATAGTTTTTGTCTTGATTAGTAAAATTTCTTATTTAATTATTGTAGGGAACACACTAAGGTAGATTTAGCAGTTTTTATTAACCCCTTCAGACCTGGTGCACATTCAGATGTACATTAGCTTTTTAGTAATTTATTTACTATCAATAGGCATTAAATTTCATTTAGAACCTAGTTTTCACCCCCAAGTACATTTGTTTTGGTAAACTAAGGTACATTTTGCGACTTCTCTTACTTAAACTGCCCCTTTTGATTGAAAATTCTCTCATATAATGGAGATGCGCATAATGACAGCAACAACTCGTTGACGACAGTTTGTCTTAGCGGGTCTTTAGATGATTTGTAAAGATAATTTTTAAGTATAAACTGGTGTAGTTTGTTCCTAAAGGTATGTACTAAGACATGTAAAAACTATTTTGGTATTATCCACACCTAAACCGTAAAAAACATTCGATGTACATGCATGTGAACATCCTGAAATTATCCTGAAATTTCAGAATTAAGATTTTTTAGCATCAAATATGTGTTATTTAGGTCCTAATTCGATAGATTTAAGAGCCATTTATTTTTTTTTATCGTCGTAAAATAATTCAGGTCTGAAGGGGTTAAGCAAATTTTATATTTTGAAATAATAGATTCCATAATTCTTCAATTAGAGACGCGGTTTGAAAATTTAGAATTACTTTTAAATCTCACTGCAGACCCACAATTTTACGACCAAATAATAGATAAATTTTCAATCTTAAAAGATAGACGTATAGTATTTTATATTTTTTAATACTTAGGTAGGGGTCGACTTTTTAGTTTTATTTTTATTTTTTGATTAATTTATTTATTTTTAACTTTTTTAAGGCTATATTTTAAGTTTAAGATTAAAACTAGTCTTTGATGTGATATTTTGTTTGTTTTGTTTTTTAGAGTTTATTTTTTGGTTTAGTAGTGCTATCGGCTCCATTTTAAAAAAGGTCAACGCGTCGCAGAATAATACCTCCCGGGTGACGTGGAAATTTATTCGTATTTAGACAAAATTAACCTTATGTAGCCTCACCCTCCTGTACACCCACGAGCCGCCACTGGCGACATGATAATATCGTACTAAAAAAATAGTAAAAACCAGCAATCGTATTTTATTGAGAAATTTAACATACGGGAATTGTTTTCGAATCTTGATTCTTGGTGATTTTGGTTTTATCTGAAACTTAAATTTGATAACTGAATTATGAATAAAACGTGTCACGAACGTAAATATCGGTTTAGGCTTAGTTTTCTCAAATTTTCACCAAAATGATATTTTGAAAAAGTGGTCTTTGCTTAGGCCCTCTGAAAATAATGAAAGTTTGTTGCTTGTCTCTTGTTCAGAATTATTTCACCATCTTATCTTCTTGTTCCTAAAAAGACTGAGTGTATTGCCTACAAATAGCCTTAAATGTACTCTTTTGAAAAAAAATCATATTTTCGTTGCTAAGATTCCAGTTCGAAAAATTTGAAAAACGCTACAAGGTAAGACATAATACTTTATTTAAAAGTAAAAACCAGAAAAAAATTATTTTTTTACAAACGGGGCTAGGACGAAGTTATTAAAATTTTTCTTCGTTTAAGATATCACCCTGTAGGAAATTTACTTGAAGAACCGTGAGCTTTATATCTACAGCATGAATTGCCAAAGGATGAGGCTAGCAGACAACACAGACCAAAATAAAATAGTTCAAGAAACAAAAAAGTTATGTCGTTTTGAAAAAGAACGAACTTTTTGGTCGCGACACATTGAGTGGTGCGCAGTTTATTTGGTTAAATTAAATTACTTTAATTTAAACCAGGTAATCATGGATTGGTGAAACGTTATTTACTCATATCTGGTTTTAGTCAAAATTTTAATTTATGCTGATAATGTGGAACCCATACAAACAATTTGAAAGACCTGAGTTTAACATAAGAATCATTCCAAATAAAAACACCAAATGGGGTGCGCTGCTTGATTTTTTATTTTGATAAAAAAAATTGAGGATTATCTTTTAGGTATCAAATATGAAAATTCGTTGCAGTTTTAATTTTTGGATTCTTTACTTTTAATCGGCACCCTTTAGAAATCTGAAATCGTGTCAATTTCTTACTGTCTTATAGTGGGCCAGAACTTTTTTCTGTGACAAATATTGAAATGATTTTAATTTTGTTTTACTGTTCAGTAAGTGTGTTTTCGATATAAATTATTATTATCCAATTAGTTAATCTCATAAAAAAATGATAAACCACTTCATGATAATTTGCCAATTTTTGTGATTTTTGTCTGGCTCCTGTGCCTATTCTGCTAAATCTAGAAAGTTCCTTTTTTCAGGTATCAAGTACTTATACAATAGAAAACTTAACTATTATTTTAAGTTTGATAATTCATAAAATTAGTCAATTTTGCCCTCAGAAATCATTATGTTGAGGAAAAAAAAAATCTGAAACTTTCAAGAAATGTAGTCCCCACCTTCATCTTTTCAGTCCACTTAGTCTTGTTTTGTTATTTTTATTCCTTTAAAAGATTTATTAATTTTTTTTAATGCCCGTTTAGTACCGATATTGTTAGTTTTATTTATAATTTAAAATTTAGATGGCTTAGAAGCTGAATTTCTATTTTCAATATTTGATTTTTTACAGAGCTTTAAATTTAAAGTTAATAATACAAAAATGATGACTTTATACGCCTGTAACTTTAAGAATATTGACGATACAAAAAATTCGCCTAAAACTTTTTTGTGGTCCATCAGACAAGCTAAAAAATTGCCATTTGACTTTTTCGTCTAACTTAAATAGTTTAGCTGAAAAAGGCAAAAAACGTAAAATTTTAAATTTAAAGCTTTGTAAAAAATCAAATAATGAAAATAGAAATTCGGCTTAATAGGATTTTTTTTCCAAATTTAATGCTTTGTAAGAATTAGTCATTTTATGAAAAAAAAATTTCTTCCTAGGTTGCAAGAATAAATAAGGTAAAAAAGTCAGTTTTCTGTGTTATTTAAGCGGCAAAACTTCAGATTCGATGGAGGACCTCTTAAAATTGAAATTATGAGCTCCGCTTTTAACAGAATATTTGTTCGGACATATTCTACGATATTTTGGGTTGAGAGCAAGAAAAAAAAATATATCGAGGTTTTTTGGCACACCCTAATATATATGTTATATAATGTTATTAGAATGAAAGCAAATAAAGGTTTCGGTTCCGGTCCAACAGATTTTATCAAAAGCGAAAACGGTTCCGGTTCGGGTTTCGGTTCGGAAAAAAAAAACCGGTTCCGTTCCGGTTTTCGGTTTTTTTTCGGTTTCGGTCCGGGTCCCTGCAAGTTGCAAACTTGCAAACTTTTTGAAATACGCACAAATAATATTTATGAAATATTTTTGACAGTTCTGACATTTCTCTACCAAACATGAATTCACTAAGTCAAAGCCATCTAAATTTTAAATTATAAATAAAACTAAAAATAGGTATCGCATTAAAAAAAATTTATTTAATCTTTTACATGGATAAAAATAACAAAACAAGACTAACTAGACTGAAAAGATGAAGGTTGGGACTATATTTCCTGAAAGTTTCAGATTTTTATTTTTTCCTCAACATAATGATTTCTGAGGGCAAAATTGGCTAATTTTGGAAATTATCAAGCTTCAATAATTTTTTTACTAAAGAAAATGATAATGATTGTATAAGTACTTGATACCTGAAAAAAGCAACTTTCTAGATTTAGCAGAATAGGCACAGAAGCCAGACAAAAATCACAAAAATTGGCAAATTATCATGAATCTTTGGTGGTTTAAATTCTTTTATGAGATGAACTAATTGGATAATAATAATTTATATCGAAAACACACTTTAGCAGTAAACAAAAATTAAAATCATTTCAATATTTGTCACAGAAAAAAGTTCTGGACCACTATAAGAGAGTAAGAAATTGACACGATTTCAGATTTCTAAAGGGTGCCGATTAAAAGTAAAGAATCCAAAAATTAAAACGGCAACGGAATTTCATATTTGATACCTAAAAGATCATCCTCAATTTTTTTTATCAAATTAAAAAATCAAGCAGCGCACCCCATTTGGTGTTTTATTTGGAATGACTCATAAGTAATATCGTCACAAATTTTACGAAACATTCAAAGTTGCAAATGGTAAAAATGTTCTGAAACGCCGGCGCGCCCATTTCCACGATATCACGTGTTTGTTTTCTGTTGCCTTCGACAGAGTCGCGCGCCAATTTCCGCCAAATTGGTGGCCAACATGCTCTCCGTGGCGGGCGCCGACCACATCATCACCATGGACCTGCACGCCTCCCAGATCCAAGGCTTCTTCGACATACCGGTGGACAACCTGTACGCCGAACCGGCGGTCTTGAAGTGGATCAAGGAGAACATCGACGAGTGGAGGAACAGCATCATCGTGTCGCCGGACGCCGGCGGCGCCAAAAGGGTGACATCTATCGCCGACAGGTAAAAGCTCCCTCTTAGTAGACCAGGGTCGATAATTTTTGAAACCAAAAAAAATAACAGTAGGATGTAAGTTACATCATGTAACCCATTGGAAAAGGAGGGGAATGTAATAAAAATTAAAGGAAAAATAAATTACGGGCGATCTGAGTTCGGGAAGTGGGAGGGGGGGTTTAAGGGTAAAAAATGGTTTATCTCGATTTCCGGCAAAACTACAAGTCCTATGGAAAAAAGTTAAATGGCAAAGTTGTAGGTAATAAAAAGATCTACAACTTTTGTATTTACAATTTTTTCACATAACCTCAAAATTTATGTGAAAAATTCAAAAAACCAAGTTTTTGGTTTTTTATTTTTATCTTTAAAAAAAAAAAAATTTTTTCCACGAAATTTGGTGAAAACTCACCTTTTTATGTCCCAAATACACTGTAATTTATTTGATTTGAAATATTTATTATTTCGCCTTATTTTGACTTAATATCAAAAAAGCACCCTAATTTTCAATCGAAAATTCTCGCGTCAAAATATCAGCTTTTTTCAAAAAGTCGGTGTGCTTTTTGTTCGTTGAAATCTCTACTTTCTGATGGTCTAAAAAATATATACATTACTATGGTAAATGTTCTCAGAAAATGCAAAAAATATTATAATGAATAACGAAAAAAACTCGAATTCGAAAATTTATTTTAATCATTATGTACAATTTCATCAAAAAAATGTGATTGTTGCAATTTTTTTTAGTTAAAAAGTTTATTTATTAAATTCTAATAACATTTATGTCAGAAAATCTCATAAAATATAAAAATACATGTAAATCATACTATTGAATTTAGATACTTCATTCTGATTACGTTATTCATTATAATATTTTTTGTATTTTCTGAGAACATTTACCATAGCAATGTATATTTTTTTTACACCATCAGAAAGTAGAGGGTTCATCGAACAAAAAGCACACCGACTTTTTGAAAAAAGCTGATATTTTGACGCGAGAATTTTCGATTGAAAATTAGGGTGCTTTTTTGATATTAAGTCAAAATAAGGCGAAATAATAAATATTTCAAATCAAATAAATGACAGTGTATTTGGGACATAAAAAGGTAAGTTTTCACCAAATTTCGTGGAAAAAAAATTATTTTTGAAAAAGATAAAAATAAAAAACCAAAAACTTGGTTTTTTGAATTTTTCACATAAATTTTGAGGTTATGTGAAAAAATTGTAAATACAAAAGTTGTAGATCTTTTTATTACCTACAACTTTGACATTTAACTTTTTTCCATAGGACTTGTAGTTTTGCCGGAAATCGAGATAAACCATTTTTTACCCTTAAACCCCCCCCTCCCACTTCCCGAACTCAGATCGCCCGTAATTTATTTTTCCTTTAATTTTTATTATATTCCCCTCCTTTTCCAATGGGTTTCATCCTACTGTTATTTTTTTTCTCTTTTTACCATTTTTAAAGGCTTCTGCACTGGTCTATAGTTGCATTCATGGTACAAGAAAACAAGGTATGCTCTTCGGTAGGAAGAATTTTGGTTCACTTTGCCCAGCTAACGCCATCTTAGTTCATTCCCGCCTTTGAATTTAAATGATTATTCTTTTATGAAATTCATCCAAATTTCTATAAAATTATTAATTATTTTAGATTAAATTGTCGAATAATATAAAGATCACACGTAAAAACTATCAATCAGTCACAACATTTCAAGAAAATATTATTAATGAAAAAACTCTTTCATATAGTTTTTTAATCAAATAAAATATATTGTTTTAAAGTAAGTAATATTTACCAAATACTAAATAAAGTATTTGAAAAAAGTGCTCAAAAAAACTTAATTTTAGTTTTTGGGAAAATGTTTTGTATAATGGGTTTTCAAATAAAATATCTTGTTTTAAAGTCAAATGTTTACGTTGAAAATACGTTTAACCCAAAAGTGCGAACACTAGAATTTTTTTTCATTTTATATTTCTAGGTGGTAAAAAGATCATTTTGATACCAAAATTAAAATATTTTTTTGTTTTGCCTCTAAAAACTTTAAATTTTAGTAGGTATATTTTATTTTGGTGAAAAGTATTTATTTCTAAACAATTCAAATTATAACATTCCCCAATAAATTAATATTTATTTTATTATACCAAAACTAATTTATCAGGGCTGTATTTGATATTAGTTGATATTTTTTGTTATTAATTTTAAACTTTTAATGAACTAATATTAACTTTATAAAGTTGTCTTAGCTTAAGTAAAACTAATCTTATGAGCTAATCTAAGCCTAACTCAAACCTATATAATGAAGACTTAAGTCCATGTCTCGCGGCGACTTTGTTGCGTAGGGTGTTCACACGGTGCAACCAAACTGACGTTATTTTCTACTAGGATTGCCAACATAACCGAAAATTACTTAGTTGAAAAATAAAAATACCTAAACAAATTTAATGTTTATTTAAATCGGGTTTGTTTTTCTTTTAAAGTTATAAGTATTTTGTGGTGTAAAAATAAAAACACTCAGATTAAAGCACACGCAAATCAGATCTGTCATTCCACAGCTGATAAATATTGAGTACCAACCAAAAAATTTAGTGAAAATTCGTAAATCCCTAAAAAAGTTATCAAAACGCGGCGATTTTATTGCATGAAAATAGAACATGTTCTATTTTGAGAGAGGTTAGATCAGCTGATTAGTTGCATCGTGTGGCCACCAAAAAATCGCGGCGACCTAGTCGCCGCAACAAAGTCGCCGCGAGAAGTTGCACCGTCAGACATGGACCAGTGCAGAAGCCTTTAAAAATGGTAAAAAGAGAAAAAAAATAACAGTAGGATGAAACCCATTGGAAAAGGAGGGGAATATAATAAAAATTAAAGTAAAAATAAATTACGGGAGATCTGAGTTCGGGAAGTGGGAGGGGGGGGTTTAAGGGTAAAAAATGGTTTATCTCGATTTCCGGCAAAACTACAAGTCCTATGGAAAAAAGTTAAATGTCAAAGTTGTAGGTAATAAAAAGATCTACAACTTTTGTATTTACAATTTTTTCACATAACCTCAAAATTTATCTGAAAAATTCAAAAAACCAAGTTTTTGGTTTTTTATTTTTATCTTTTTCAAAAATAGTTTTTTTTCCACGAAATTTGGTGAAAACTTACCTTTTTATGTCCCAAATACACTGTAATTTATTTGTTTTGAAAAATTTATTATTTCGCCTTATTTTGACTTAATATCAAAAAAGCACCCTAATTTTCAAAATATCAGCTTTTTTCAAAAAGTCGGTGTGCTTTTTCGATGAACTCTCTACTTTCTGATGGTGTAAAAAAAATATACATTACTATGGTAAATGTTCTCAGAAAATACAAAACATATTATAATGAATAACGTAATCAGAATGAAGTATCTAAATTCAATAGTATGATTTACATGTATTTTTATATTTTATGAGATTTTCTGACATAAATGTTATTAGAATTTAATAAATAAACTTTTTAACTAAAAAAATTGCAACAATCACATTTTTTTGATGAAATTGTACATAATGATTAAAATAAATTTTCGAATTCGAGTTTTTTTCGTTATTCATTATAATATTTTTTGCATTTTCTGAGAACATTTACCATAGTAATGTATATTTTTTTACACCATCAGAAAGTAGAGATTTCAACGAACAAAAAGCACACCGACTTTTTGAAAAAAGCTGATATTTTGACGCGAGAATTTTCGATTGAAAATTAGGGTGCTTTTTTGATATTAAGTCAAAATAAGGCGAAATAATAAATATTTCAAATCAAATAAATTACAGTGTATTTGGGACATAAAAAGGTAAGTTTTCACCAAATTTCGTGGAAAATTTTTTTTTTTGAAAAAGGTAAAAATAAAAAACCAAAAACTTGGTTTTTTGAATTTTTCACATAAATTTTGAGGTTATGTGAAAAATTTGTAAATACAAAAGTTGTAGATCTTTTTATTACCTACAACTTTGACATTTAACTTTTTTCCATAGGACTTGTAGTTTTGCCGGAAATCGAGATAAACCATTTTTTACCCTTAAAACCCCCCCCTCCCACCTCCCGAAGTCAGATCGCCCGTAATTTATTTTTCCTTTCATTTTTATTATATTCTTCTCCTTTTCCAATGGGTTTCATCCTACTGTTATTTTTTTTGGTTTCAAAAATTATTGACCCTAAATAACTAAAAGTAATTTTAACCTAAAACTAATACAAACTAAACCGAAACTTATAAAAACTAATGGCGGGTTTATACAACTTCATATCATTAATTTATTTCATAGTTCACAATTTAGTGCATAAGCATAAAAGTTAAATCGCACTATCTGCTATACAAGGATTTAATGCGTAACTCTCAATTTAGTGTTTATTGAATAACCTTGAAAGTTCACAAAATTTAACTTTTATGAAATAAATTATGAATTATAAATAAAATTATGATGATGATAATGATTATTAATTATTGTGTTTTGTGTTTGTGCCTTAAAAAATACTACCTACAAAGTTTCTACATAACATGAGTTTCAATGATGGATTTTGTGTCACTTGCCACTTTTAATAATCAATATTGTCATTTAAAAAAATAAAATATTTACTAAATTAATGAATTGTATAAACCAGATTTTAAAGTTATGTATTATGTATTAAATTATGCATTAAATTAACAATTGAGTTATGAAATAAATTGTCCACCAAATTAACAATTGTTGTATAAACCCGCCTTAACATAACTAACTATAGACTAATCTTAAATATGCAAACTATTCTTTAGTCTTACCAAAGTTTAATTTAGTTTTGATTAGTTTTAATAAAATAAATTTTTATTGTAAATGCATTGTTTGCAAGTTAAAAAAAACACATATTTCAAACAAAAATTATTAACATCAATATTTTTTACTTGGATCTACTTTAGAGGAGAACGACCCTGATAAATTAACTTTTTTATAAAAAAAATATTTTTTTTTAATTATTATGATTTTAGTTACCCACCTGCTTTAAATTAATTTTCTTCACCAAAATAAAATATACTAAAATTTTTAGAAGATTTAATTTTTATTAATTTTGTTTTTCAAATTTTATTTTAATTTCTTACTCTGCAGTACTTAGATTTCTTAGAGTGAGGTTCTGTTATAGGCTGTTTTCAAAGATCATATGCTTTCTGGTTTTGTCTTATTTCTTGTACACTGTAAAAAGAACTGATTTGATGATTTATATAGTTTTTTTCAATTTTATATTAATTTCTTACAAAGTACTTGATTTAAATTTAACTACATTCCCATAAAAAAGTCTTTAAAAGTGTATACAGTTCCAACTTAACACTTAACAGCTGATCTATCAAAAGAGAATTCTCTTTTGATAGATCAGCTGTTAAGACTTAGTGTAAAGTTGGAACTGTATCCACTTTTAAAGATTTTTTATGGGTAGTTTGTATGTTTTTTTGATTCAATTTTCCTTCTTATAGCAACTATCTTCAAAGTAAATGGAACAAATACAAGCTACAAAACAAACAAAAATATTAACCTATTTTTTTTATTTATATATCTGTCGCAGATAATCAGTGTTACCAAAGGAAAGTACCTTTAAAAGAATTACTTCTATTTAATTGTTTTTAAAATAAATCTACTTACTATCCTTAACATCAATTTTTTTAGCCCATGCCAAGGAAATGTATTGTATTTCCAGGTTTTTGTCTTTTAGTATTGTTTTTACAGATTTTTACTTGGCAGGTAGACATTTTTTACACTTACAAAAATTTAAAATAGCTTAAAAAACTATTCACATCAATTAGTCAATATGGCGGCGACTGGGTGCTCCCACCTCTTCGCCAATCTGATGGAGTGGTGGAAACAGATGAGCAAGAACATACCTTGTTTTCTTGTATCATTGTTCTATTAAAGTATTAAGTAATAAACTTTGATGATGTTTATAATTCACAATAAAAATGGAGAAATTTAGGGCTAAAAGTGGACCATTGCAATTAGGGTTTTAAAATTTCCGGAAAAATTGAGCCGGCGGAAAAAAAAACCGGAAAAATTGGGGAATTTTCAGAAAAAATGACTTTTTTATTATTTAAATTTTATTCAAAGGGTATAACAAAAAAATGAAAATGTCAATTTTTTTGAAAATTATCAAATCTTTACGGATAGTATCCGTACACTGATATCAATAAAAAAGTGAATTTCCGACGCTGATTATAATCATATAATATTATGATAATTATAAAATTATTCCATTTTTTTAATTCAGTAAGAATATTCTACCGGGCCGCAAAAAAACCTATTAGGTGCTGTATTACCATAACTTTTATTTAACACTTCAATTTATAAAATTATAAACTCCTTTTGAAACAAAAAAAACCCATCAGACAGTAAATTTCACGTTTACGTTTATTTTCTTAAATTTAATTTAATGTTTAGTTTTATTTTTTTTGTAATAATTTTTTTATTTAAAATAATGTTAACTTGTTGATAGCCTTTTTTTTCAAATGTGTATATTTAAAAAAAAATTCAATGTTTCTCAAAAAAGCCAATTTTTCCAAGGCCTGGGAAAAAAACAGTTTTTTCCCCAATTTTTCCGGTTTTTTTCCAACACTTTAAAACCCTAATTACACTCAATGTTATTTTATACCTATTGGTCTGGTTTTAGTTTTACATTATCACAACTTTTTACATTCATTTATCACAAATTTAAAACGCAAAAACTTCCTACAGATTGAACGTGGAATTCGCGCTCATCCACAAAGAGCGCAAGAAGGCCAATGAAGTCGCTTCCATGGTCTTGGTGGGCGACGTAAAAGACAGGGTTGCCATACTGGTCGACGACATGGCCGACACTTGCGGCACCATCTGCCACGCGGCGGAAAAGCTGACCGAAGCCGGAGCCACCAAAGTGTACGCCATTCTGACGCACGGCATTTTCTCCGGGCCCGCCATTTCCAGGATAAACCAGGCCTGCTTCGAGGCCGTCGTGGTCACAAACACCATACCGCAGGACGGGCACATGAAGGAGTGCTCCAAAGTGCAGGTAAGGCGGTTTTTAGTCGTTTGTTTTGTTCGGGTGCCGGTAGGTGGCGCTGTTTGGTTTCGCTATCAAACGTCAGGTTTGCCTTGACTAACTGACGTTTGATCGAGAATCTTTTTTTGACGTATACCTTTGGCGCGCTGAAAATAAATTTTATTTATTTTTTACATTTTCAAAATTTATAGGGTCGTTATTTTTTACAGTTTCTCTATTGAAATCGATGAGACCCGTATTTTTTCTTTTTGCTTAGATTTGATTTGTTTCGATCGTTACAATTTTCACAACAAAAAATTTTAATTGTTTTTTATAAAAAAGGCAAAAAAATTAGGTCAAAATTCCACATTTTTTTTTACTTCATATTGTTTTTCGTTTGAAATTAATAATAGGAACAACTTTTTACCAGAAGTCCCAAGTTGGCTAAATTCGTCGTTTCGGAATTATTATTTTTTTAATGAAAATGCCCTACTAAATTCGTTGTTTATCGCAAAAGTTTGGTATTTTATCTAGGGTCATAAAACTGGGGTGACCTTTATAAAGTGTAATTTAGAATTTTTTGACATATTCAATTTATTTTTGTCACTTCGATGAGACCCGTATTTTTTCTTTTTGCTTAGATTTGATTTGTTTCGATCGTTACAATTTTCACAACAAAAAATTTTAATTGTTTTTTATAAAAAAGGCAAAAAAATTAGGTCAAAATTCCACATTTTTTTTTACTTCATATTGTTTTTCGTTTGAAATTAATAATAGGAACAACTTTTTACCAGAAGTCCCAAGTTGGCTAAATTCGTCGTTTCGGAATTATTATTTTTTTAATGAAAATGTCCTACTAAATTCGTTGTTTATCGCAAAAGTTTGGTATTTTATCTAGGGTCATAAAACTGAGGTGACCTTTATAAAGTGTAATTTAGAATTTTTTGACATATTCAATTTATTTTTGTCACTTCCGCTTTCACCGGAAATGATCTTAACTTTTTATTTTAATGCATTTTTACATAGTTCAATTCAAAATAAAATTCTGAATACATACCTACATATGTAATTTGTCAAATTTTGACAGGTCAAATCATTTTTTAATTAAATTTTATTTCTATATCCAGAGTGCTTTGAATTGGCTTTTCTGCTTCATGTTGGGTCAAGTAGTCTGGAAAAAATACAATTTTATTCTTTTTTGCAATGCTGGTTTTTAGGAGCTTTCAAAAATTGAAAAACCATACTTTATGCCAAAACTATTTTTTTTTAAATAAAAGATGCTTGTTTTGCTGGTAAGTGAATATTAACATTTCATTTTACTATGAAAACATACTAAAACTTTTTATTAAATAAAATAAAAATAATAATTGAGGTGGTTAGAATCAAAGGGGTGTAAGTAATTGCTCAACATGTTTTGGTTTTAAATCTACTAAATAAAATCATTCAAATATTTTAAAACCATTATAAAAACGTATATCTAACCCCCATAGTGTGGCCATTGTGGGGAATCTTGCAATAAATAAAAAACGAAATTAAATAAAAATTTGTTTTTTCTAAACATAATAAACATGCGCATTAGTTTCTGGACCTCTTAGGCTTAATACTTATTATCCTTCCTGATTGAGCCTCAGTCAAAAAGTTTCACGATTGCCTCACTCATATATGTTAACCGACCAAAATTTTTTGTAATTGTTTGTGTTCTACATTTCTTTGAAATCGCGTTTTTTTTAAGTTTCTTGTGCATTCGATTCATTACTTTTAGGTATATGTATAATACTTTCTTTTTATTATTTTAACCAAAATTAACTTGGTTATACTTTTTACATCTTTTAAAAGTAACATGCAAAAATATTAAGAATTTTACTCTAAAATCTTTAATAATTTAATTTACTTACAGTGAAACCAGAAGTGACAAAAATATGTTAAATATGTCCAAAAGTTCCAAATTACACTTTTTAAAGGTCACCCCAGTTTTATGACCCTAGATAAAATACGAAATTTTTGATGAACCAATAATTTACTAGAAAATGGCAATTTCATTAAAAAATTATAATTCCGAAACGACGAATTTAGCCAACTCGGGACTTTTTCGTGAAAGTTGTTCATATTATCAACTTTAAACGAAAAAAATATGAAGTAAAAATGTTTCTGTCCATTTTTCAAAAATTTCCTATGGGTAAATAAAACAAATTTAAGCAAAAAGAAAAAATACGGGTCTTATCGATTTCGGTAGAGAAACTGTAAAAAAAATTCGTTGAAAAATAACGAGAAAAAATTCCTAATTTTTTAAATCTTTAATATTTAGAAAAATTGCCAAAATAAAAAATTTATTTTTTTGTTATTTGCACAATTAATTAATGTTTTTCCTTATTTCAGTGCATTGATGTTTCAATGATGTTTGCAGAGGCTGTTAGACGCACCCACAATGGTGAATCAGTGTCATATCTATTTTCAAATGTTCCTTATTAGTTCTTGCATTTTTTAATTTAATTATAATTTTTTATATAAAGCAATTTTATATTATTGTACAATATTGTTGATTTATAATAATAATTTCATTTTAGAATCTCTCGTTTCAATTTCTTTTTGTAAATTTTTATAAAATTACTATATTTTTATATTATGGCTGTATTTGCTGTTAAATTCCATCAAAATTACCCAATATTGAATAAATAAAACACATTTACGTAGAAAACGTTTTTTATTCACTTAATTAATTCTTAATTATTTTGGCCCTCAAAATTTTCACTTCTTCAACTGGCCGATCATTTCCATCTGTTTCAACAAGCCCTATCCTTCTCACCACCGTCATTCCGGAATTTATTCTCCCAAAAATCGCGTGTTTACCGTCCAACCACTGTGTGGGTGCCAACGTTATAAAAAATTGTGACCCGTTTGTATCTGCACCTGAATTTGCCATAGACAAAATTCCTGCCCCACTGTGCTTCAGTTCTGTGTGAATTTCGTCCTTAAAGGTTTGTCCGTATATAGAGAGACCTCCTTTACCTATAAAAAACACTTTAACATATTAGTTTTAACAATATTATGGTCATACTAACCTGTCCCTGTTGGATCACCCCCTTGTATCATAAAATCCCTAATAATTCTGTGTAGTATTGTATTATTATAGTAACCCCTTCTGGATAACTCGGCAAAGTTTCTACAAGTTGTGGGGGCATGTTTCCAATACAACTCTACAGTAAATTCACCCATACTACAAAAAAATACAAAAAACGTTTTATAGAAAAAATCAGGTAAAACTTACGTTGTTTCGAACGACACAAAAGGGGGCTGCCACATTTTATCGGGGATCCCCGATTGATTCATCCCTTGGACCGCTAACATCTTTTTTGTAGGAAAATACAATTTTTAACAATAACACAGTTGTTAGGTTAGGTTTTTGAAAACATTGTGAACCAGTGAAATTTATTGCCAACTTAAACCCAAAATCCGATTTTTCTATCGTCTATTGGCCAAATAATGCAATTTTAAACTATAACGTAGTGCACTTAGTTTTTTTATTGGTAAAAATTTAGGCGAAAAATCATTGAATTAATTTAGATTAAGCTGAATTTGAATATTTTTCATGCCAACTCACTTTCAAAATTCCCTAGGCTTATGTTGGTGGTAAATGACAGGTTGTCATTTGTTGTAAAATAAATAAATTTCATTAAAATTCAGCTAAAAGTTAATATGTTATTCATTAAAAAGATTTAAAAGAAATGATAAGAATAAATGACCATGTTGCACTAGACGTCAGTGGGCCAGGTGATAGATTATTGGATAAAAGAAAACCAGAGAGTTTTAAAAGGGTGTGTAATTTTTTAATTATTTGTGTATATTTTGTATATTTTAATCAAAATATACGTAATTTTTAAATTTTAAAATTGTTTAATTGGGTATAATGGTATTATTATTCAAGGATTTATTTTTTATTAGTTTTTTATATAATTTGAGGTGTTTTTATCATAGATAATTCCGGTTTTCATTCCCAGAATTTAAGTTCAAAATTAATTGATTCATTCATTCCCAGAACGTAAACAATGTAAATAGTGCGATATTTATTAATTTCAGTTCATAATTAAGTATTGTTAAACATGTTTAAATCCCTACTAGAAGTAAGGCTACTTATTATGTATATTATACTATTTTTTTTAATGTTAATTAGTTACAAGTTGTAACTTAAAACAACCATAAGATAAAACAGTTTTTGAGACCTAAAGAATCTTAGATATGGATTTTCCAGACTTTCTACACCTTGTATAAATTTTGTTTCATTTTTAGTCCTGGAACAGACAACCAAAAAGCGTGAAAAACCTTATAATCACAATAGGTATAATACTATGCCTGACCCTAGTTTATTTAGTTTTGATAGAACCAAAGTCCACTGTGATATCGGTGGATCATAGCAATAGTGAGAATAGACTTAAAAATATAAGGAACGATCCCAGAGATGTGGAGCAACCTTTTAATGAAGTTAATAGGGAGAGTCAGGTGTTAGAAGAGCCCAATGAAGCAGCAGTAGACAATAATGTTAATGTTAAGCACAATGATGTTTTACAACCACCAAAAATTAATACAGAATTTACTGGTAAGAATTTTTTTATGTACTTAAATATAGTTAATTTTGCATATATTCAGAATATATAAATTTTGTGTAGCTCTTGTGGTTTAAAATAATAATTATTTTTAAGGGTGTCACAAATTAAATTTTATTTTTAATATTTATATAAAAATAATAATAATAATTTTTATTTATGCTCTGAAAAAGAAAGAAAACAATTTTCTAATGGTGTTGCAAAAATAAAAAGTTAAAATTTCTTGTTAATAAAATAATGATTTAATTTTTAAATTTTTTGATACAAACTAACAAAAAAAAACATTTGTCAATCATGCTGATTTCAGAACCCAGCAGTTTATTTTGTTTCCATAACAAGGGTTTTGGAAAAACAGTGTTGCCAAGTTGTTTAAATTTATTTCCTAATAATTTCAAAAACTACACTAAAAAAAAATTCTTGGATCAAATATAACGAAAAGAATATATTCTTTAAAATAGTAAAGTATTTACTTCACGTTGTTTTACTTTAAGAATCTTTATTGTAAGAAAATTAAATTTCTTTAAATAAAACTTTGATTGTTTAAAAGCAAGAATATATAATTTTTTAAATAAGGCAGCAATATTTACTAAATTCAAATAATTGGTTGTTTTAAAGCAAGAATATGTTCTTTTAAAAATAAATTAGTGGTATTCTTAAATAAAAAAGATAGGTACTTAATTCAAGAATAAATTTTCTTAAAACAAAAACATGTGATATTGAAATAAGGCAATAATTTTCTTAAATCAATTTGTTTTCTATAACCCATTATTTTTTTAAATTAATTGAAACAAGATTTAAAATTTTATTTCATTGTTTACAAAATAATATATATTTTAAAACAATGCAGTACCTATAATTGAAAATAAAATGTATCTATCTTAATTTTAAGCTACTTTTAGCAATTTTTCAAAAAATCTATCATTTTGTTTTTAAAATCAATAAAATTTTAAATAATGATATGTCTATTAACTAAAAATTATTTATTTTAATAATAAAAACATCTTTATATTTAGGAATATTACTGCAAAAGAAATAAAATTTAAAATAAAAATACGTCTAAACACTTGAAGGGGACTGGAGTAATTTTAAATATCCTGTAATTTTGTAAGGAATGTTGTCTAATCTTAAACAAAACTTTATATTTAAATACTTACGGATTATTCAAAATTGAGCCAAACTTACTGAAGGGCCAAAGTATACATTGTATCGTTTCTAGGTGGTGCAGTAAGCAAAAAAATTTAGGTTAGAAAATAAAACAACATACGTTAAACAAACACATTTATTTTGTTTTTAATACAAGAAAAATCTAAAATGTATACATTATTATAAATTAACGTAGGGAACTTAATCATTATTATCGACATATTTTTTATTTTAAATAATTTGTAAGAGTTTTGGCATAGTAGAAAAGCAATTACCAATTTTATAAAATAATTAGGGCTATTGGCAATTCCACCCTATATGAATCAAAATTAATGTTATATCCCAAAGTGTGTAACAAAATCTTTTTAAATGTCATAAAAAATTAAGTTTATAACTTAACATTATAGAGCAATACAAATCAGAGTGTTAAACACATAATATATTTTGGTTATCACTGCAAAGCCTATGTATTTATGAATAAAATAATTTTAAGGCATCCATAATGCATATTACTAAATATTTAAAGAATAAACCTACCTACACGTAAATGCGACACTAAATTTAAAAATTTTTTTTATAATTTCCTTCGATGCTGACCACTCTTCTAATAATTTTTTAATGAAATACGCCCTCTTCCTCACAAAGAGAAAGAAACACTACATGATTAGGTATAAAATTTCAGAGGAACGTGTCGGCATCTCCACTCCTACACGATTTCAAAAATATGTATTCTTGGCAAAAGAAAATACTGTTTATTAAAAGTTTTAATTTAAAACGAATAAAAAAATTTAAGAATATCTTATTCTTAATATAAAAAAATTAAACAAAAACAATATAAGAATATCTTATCCTTGATATAAAAAAATATTAACAATTGTACCAAGAAACCAACTAAGATTTCCTTCAAGAATATTTAATATTTGGATTGAAACATGCCACTTTTTAAAACAAGAAATGTTTCTCAATATTAGAATATTTCCAAAACTACAAAATTCTTTTTTAAAGAAGTTAAATATTTTTAGTTGAAATATATATTCTTATTTTAAAGCAAGTTGACTTGAATTAAAAAATATTTTCAAGTTGATAGGTGTTCTAAATATAAGAAATCTTTTTTTTTCAGTTTACTTGCAGTATATGTGCAAATTTAGGACAACTATTTTTTAATAAAACGTTAAAAAGTGCAACAGTTTTTAGATTTGTCATATTTTAGCTTATCAGGCACACAGTGTTGCCAGGTTTTTTTTTTAACTTAAAAACTTATTTAGGGCCTACCACCAGTAGACAGCAAGCCGTAGTAAACGCCTGCAAACATGCCTGGAAGGGCTACAAAAAATTCGCCTGGGGTCACGACCATTTGAAGCCCATTTCCGAAGGCTACCAAGACTGGTTCAACCTGGGCTTGACGATCGTCGATTCTTTAGACACCCTGTATATTATGGGGTTGAAAGAAGGTATTTTCGCAATTTTTTGTTTTTTTTTTAATACCTAATTTGTTTTTATTAAATTAAAGAGTATCAAGAAGCTAGAGACTGGGTGGACAAAAACCTGCATTTTGATATAAACAGGGATATTAATTTATTTGAAGTTACCATAAGGGTTTTGGGTGGATTACTGGGTATCCACCATTTATCCAAAGATGATATGTATTTAAGAAAAGCCGTAAGTATATTTAGGAATTTTCGATGATGAAAATATATTTTATCTCCACGCGGTCTATAATTTAAACTTTATTGTTGTCAACATTCGATAAAAAAATACCTTGTTATGGCCTAGGCCGATAAAAAATTTTATGAGGCAAGTAATTAGTTCGATTTTTTCTCGCTAGGGGTATTGTTTTGACAAATTAATCCTTTTCTAAGAAATTAACGTACTAAACTGGTTTAATTTATTTATAATAAGCACTAATTTGTTTGTTTTACTGTTAATGTTTAATATTTTTTATTAAATTATTGTAAAATTAAATATGAATAATAAATCAAAATGTGAGGTTAGGCAACCAAGAAAACGCACGATTCTTTTTCTACGATTTAAATTATCTTTAAGTTTTTATTTGCTTTAAGTTTTCAGTGAAATTAAATGTTAAACACAGCTTAAACACTCCAAACTACCTATTTTTTAAATAAAAATCCAAACAAATTGAAATTAGATACCTATTTATTTATTAAACAATTAATTGAATTCAATGTAATAGCAAAAATTCATTTCTACTTAAATCATGTTGCTAGGTATTGTCAAACTATTACTGCTTCTAAAAGCAATAATAATTATTGTACATTTAATGTAATCTTTAGCAAATAAATAAATGAGATTCTAAAAAAGTGAGGTTAGGCCGCTTTGATGTTGAATTAAATTGACCAATATAAAGTGCTTTGCAGATAAAATGTTGTATGCCATTCGGCCAAGAAGTGCCTTTTTGTGCTTCGCTCAATTGTAGGCCTCCGCTACGCGTCGGCCTTCAAACCTTGAGCTTAGCACAGAAAGCCTTACTTCTTAACCTAATGACATAAATAACTATTTTAAATTTTAGGTTGACTTAGCCGATAGACTTTTGCCTTGCTTCGAATCCGAATCGGGAATCCCCTTTTCCGACGTGAATTTAGCCACAAGGAAGGCTCACGCGCCAAAATGGTCGCCCGATAGTAGTACTTCCGAAGTTAGCACTTTACAGCTAGAATTTAGGGATCTTAGTCGAAGTACTGGCGATCCAAAATATGAGGTAATGAACATTGATTTTTAACGTTCATAAATTTAACAATTTTACTATTTTCTAGACTGCAGTTGCTAAAGTGTCAGAGCACATACACAATTTAGAGAAAAAAGATGGCTTAGTTCCTATATTTATTAATGCGAACACTGGACAATTTAGGGCTTACTCGACTATAACTTTGGGCGCCAGAGGCGATAGTTATTACGAATATTTGTTGAAACAATGGATACAGACTGGAAAGTCGATTGATTTGTAAGTAAAAACAAAATTTATTAGTTGAATATAATTTTTTTATCAAATATATTAAAAAAATTTAAAAATGCATTTCTAGATTTTATCAAATTTACTTTTTGTAGAATTTGTAGAAATAAATCATATCTTATTAATTGTTTTATCTAAATTAAATGCAAAATAATATTTTAATTTTTTAATGATTATTAAAATGCAATTATTTAAACAAATAAATCATATCTAATTTGTTTAATAATTATTATAATTAACTAAATTGAAAACAATAGGAATACAATTAAATTAAACTTTGATACTTGCATCAAATAACATTTTTCCACTCCTATTGCATAATATTGACGTTTGTGTTTTTCCGTATATAATGGTAACCATTATTATGAGGCGCCGTTTGTGCCATAATTATTATTTATCAGGGTTCCCACGTGTCCTGGAAAACCTGGAAAACCTGGAATTTGTAAAAAAAATATTCAGTACTGGAATTAACCTGGAATTTTATAAAAAAATGTGTTTTTCCTTGATTTTTTTAAGGAACCTGGAATTACAAACATAATAATTCTATTTGAACTTGAATATTAAAAATGCTTACTCCAATTGCCGCTAGTGGTGTTTTTAAACAACGCGCTGTTGACTAGCTTCATAAGAGTACCGAGAGGTGACGCCACTAGCGGCGTGCCATAACAAAATTATTTTTTAGTCATAGATTATAAACCCCGATTACCGAAATAAAAAACAATATTTAATTGCAGTAAGATTGGAAGATTAATAGTTTGCAGGTACATTTTAATATTTATACAATATTGTTTTCGGTTTAATTAGTTTATTAAATTTTTTTAAATCGGCTAGTGATGTTGACAACATTTAAAACCATTAAGCATGGAATGGTTTTAACCACATATAACATACATATAAGATCATGGTTTTTAACCCTTAACTACATACATCCTAATGTACGAACTTTATAAAAGACCCCCGGTATTTATTATAAATATAGTATAAATATATAATATGTATATAGGTATATAAAGTAAGTAAGTAAGTAAGTAAGTAAGTAATAGTATGGTGGATTTAAGCTTGATTTATAGATTTCCATCCTGTACGGGAATCTATAAACAGCACAACGGTTTTTGTATTGTTCATCTTTTACGGGAGAAAGGGAGGAAAGAAGGAAGGCAATATATAAATTAGGCTTTCTGCAGCACACATTAAAATTAATTTAACATTAACATAAAGTTTACATTAAGCTAATTTAAGGTGGGTATTTTATGCAGCAAAATTAGTGGCAAGTTAATCGTGCGTATAAGCATAGATTATATAAGTTAAGTATAAGTTAAAGTAATTTTGACATCTGACATTTTTGGTTTTTTGGATTTTGTTTTAACCCCGTCTTGGCATCTGTTAGGTAAAATGAATGAAAACTAAGTATAAACCACTATGTTCTATAAACTGCACCTTAAACAATAAACCAAAGAACACAATCGTTGAATAAAAAATGAATCATTCAGCAGCAAGTTTCATTTTATTTTCGGGTATGTTGGCATTACTGACACGGTTTATTTAAAAATTGCGCCGCAACCTGCGCTGGAGGAATAAAAATTAACATTATCATCTCAACTTAATGTTAATGTTAATGTGTTGAATAAAAGCTTTCAATGGATTACGTTTATTTAACTTCTTGATAGTCTTAATGTTAATGTTAACTTAATGTTAATTTGTGCTGCATAAATCCAGCAATATTTAATAAAGTGTGTTATAACTTCTCAAATAAAAATAAGTGAACGTTTATAAATGCCATTTAAACAATAACCCTATTATAATCTTAAATAAATAAATAGCATTTGCAACAGGAAAAATTATTAAAAAAAACTAAACGTTAAGTGGTGCAAAATTCTGCCTATTTTTAATGTTTCTTTATTCTTTTAATTTTTTTAAGGCCTAGGATTATAATCCTTCTATTTTTCCCTTAAGGTAGGTAATAATAAAAAAAATCACATTTTAATAATTCAGAAACCAGTTTTATTATAAAATAAAAAATATATACCTAAATACTTACTTATTTTTTACAGATTGCGATTTTTTACTATTAAGTAGTTTTCACAAAACTTTGGTTGATAATTATTTTAAGTGCAAAAAATTAACATGGACGCGTCTATACGCGTATATACGCGTATAGTCCCCAAAATCGCAAAATTGTAACCATATACTGGCAAAAAAATCTGGATACCTGTAGTTAAGGGAAAAATAAACTCAATTTTTTTGGGAGAAAGTTTGTTTTAATAAAATTATATTTTTAAAATTAAAAAATGTCCTTGATTTGTTTTAAATGTCATGGAATTGTCCTGGAAAAAACCTGGAAAAAATTAATGGAAAGTTCGTGGGAACCCTGTTTATAAAATATAGAATAATTTGTAAAAATATAAATAATTTGTTTGAAATATATATATATATTTTCTTAGATATATATTAGGGCCATTCCACGCTTAACGGATAGGACAGCCGCCGTGTTTTTATTTACAAAATAATATTGTTCCACCATATTACCAATGTATTGCAAAGTCCCGACCGTTACGCTTTAAATTATTAGTTTTTAAGGAATTGGACAGTCAATCACGATACCCAATTTTGCCAAATAAAAACCTTGTTAAACAGCTCCAGTTTAGAACCATTTATAAAAATTTGACATTGGCAATACAATAGAACAACATTATTTTGTAAATAAAAACACGGCAACTATCCCATCCGTCACGCGTGGAATGGCTCATGAGCCATTCCACGCGTAAAACTAATTAGTTTTACTAAAATATATCATATTTTAACTAAATATATATATTTAAAATCATTAATACTAATAATATAAACTCAACACTAATAATATAAACTCAGCTTACAAGACGTAACGCCAGGAGGAGCTTTATTTAACTTATATATATATTATTTAGTTAAAATATATATTTTAGTAAGACGAAAATCTAAATAAATATTTTTCCGAATTACTTATGTTTAAAAGATACAGGGTGATAAAGTGTTCTTTATCATATCAGTTTTTTTAATATAACTTCTACTATGGTAGACTTGGAAAGATGATATTTTGCGAACAGTCACTTACTACCAAAACACATATTCACACATAATTACAATTGTTCGAGTGAACGCAGTGTCGTAGAAACAGGGGTTGCTTAAGCTTATTGTCCCCTACAAACTTTGAGGTTAGGTTTTTATACCATTTGATGTAATTTTTTGATTTCTCAGTTCGGCTACCATTAAAATAAAATAAATAAAATTATTTAAATTAAATTAATAATTTATTGTTAAATTTTGTTTGAAAAAAAATTTACTCATGTAATGTTTCAGTATCGTATTTATTATTTTTGAACAAAAATTTGTAGCAAATTTTCAAATGTTGTATTTTTCATAATACTGTATTTGCTACGATATAATTTCTGTTATTTCATTCTCTTTAAAAAAAACTATACTTATTGTTCTATTTGTGTAACTATATTTTATGGATTGAAAAAAATGTATATTGACTGTTAAATTCATATTTGAATATTGAACATATGGTATATATAAGAAACCCTGAATTTAAAATACTCGAAAATTCGGTAATAATATAATAGTTTACGAATAATTCCGAAAAATTTCGAATTATTCGAAAAAAATTCGAATTATTCGAAATTTTTCAAATTATTCGGGAACTTTCGAATAATTCGATTTTTCGAATTATTCGATTCGAGTTCCGAATCGAATATTCGATTCAAAACGAATAATTCGTAAGTGCGAATTATTCGCACACCCCCAGTATTTATAGGTATTTTTTTCGGTAGTTTTTAATTATTACAGTTTGTTAAAATCGGCATCGCTGTATACGCTAAAGAAGTATCTCTAGTAGCGCCACCACTCGGCTGGTATCATCGTAACAAAAGTACAACTTTTGATAATCAGTTGTCAAACGCGTGTGTTACAAACGAGTGTTTTTGAGAATAAAGCCGGAAAATATTAAAAAATATCGAAAAAAAAATCCTCGATTTGTTGTGTTTTTGGGTGTATTTCGAGAGGAAATCCTGGGTTGAGTTTATACCGATTTTCCAATAAACAACGTTAATCTGAATGAAGAAATAAATTGCATACCTACAGTCTCTGTAAATATAAATTGTACCTATTAGATACAATAAAATTTAATACACATTTTAGTAATCATTAACGTGAAAAGTTTAACATTTCAATTCAGTAAAAATCGTCAAACAAATAAGTCGTCTAAATTTAAACAGCATTTAGCATTATTAAGAGCGTTAATTAAGAATTCTTTAAAGTCTCCACTTAACGGTAAAATACCATTATTTTATGTATTATATATATGAATTCGTAGGTATATTTCGTCGTTTAAAATGCAGTTGTCGGCGTTTTTTACTAATTTCTTAAAAATGTCCAAACGTAAATAAAGGGTGATTTTTTAAGCGTGTCCGAACTTCTGACAAGTATCACTGTTAATCAAACTGTCAATTTTCATGCATCTAGATACTAAGTTACTCAGTATAGTCTGACAAATCATCATGGAACGTTTAACGCTTGTAAATTGTCGAAATTTACCATGTTTTGTGCGCCAAACTTATCGTGCTCTTCGTGAATTTTATGGTATACATCGCTCAATCGAGCGATGTATTCGCCGAATCATCAAGAAATTTCGAAAGAATTTCACGCTGTTAGATATTAAAATAAAGACAAGAACAAAAACAGTGCGTTTCCAAGAAAATATCATCGCTGTTGCCCACAGTGATGAGAAAGACCCAAATTTGTGAATTCGTCGACGTTCGCAGAAAGTTGGGTTTTTTTATTGGACTACGTGGGAAATTTTGAGGAAATATCTTTATTTTCTTTGTGGTAATGTTAAATCTTTGGTAAATGTAAATAAACCAGCAACTATTCAAGACTTGGAAGCTAATATAACTCGGACAATTGCGTAAATAAGACCTAAATTGCTTGATAAAATGGTCGGAAATTGGATTAATAGAATTCGCTTTGTTACAAGTAGCCGCGAGGACATTTGTCCGAAATTATTTTTAAACAATAATGTCATTGAATGTTATTTCATATAAAATAAATATTTTTAAGATATTTAATTTGGTTGTTATTTAATTTGAATTTAAACTTCGGACACTCTAAAAAAATCACCCTTTATAAATTATATTAGGTAAAGTTATCATTAGTTAATTCTGCACCAACAAATGTACTTAACGAATTGGATCCTTTGGCAAAACATGAAAATGCAACGATTTAGTTCTTGAATTTTATTTACAATTAAAAACACAATAATTCACCATGATCCCTTTGATAAAATACACACACTAACGTAACTATATATGTATTTAAGCGTTGAGTTTCTTAATCAATGATATAAGGAATAATAAATCGATATCGATTACTAAACTCGACTAAACCAAAGTTTTTTAGTTGCCTTTCTCTCTTTTGGGAAAAACTACTTATTTATTTCAAAATAATGTGCAGTTCGTATGCTTTAAATTTATTGTTGCCAATTCTTAATTTCACACAATGCTATCGAACACCGCCAGATGGCGCGCGCGCTTCTTTATTGTTTCTTAAACTTGCAAATAATAACAAATTTGAACATTGTCTTGTAGTCTGAGGGACGACTACATCGAGGCGGTAGCGGGCATAAAAGAGAAACTGGTCCGTCGTACAGTACCGAACGGCTTCACCTTCATAGGCGAGCTTTTGGGCGGCGGGAAAGAGTTCAAACCGAAAATGGACCATCTCACCTGCTATCTGGCCGGCACCTTGGCCCTCGGGGTGCACAACGGCATGCCGGACGGCCATTTGCGACTGGCCGAGGAGCTGCTGGCCACCTGCTACCAAACTTACGCGCAGCAGCCGACGTTTTTGGCGCCCGAGATCACCTACTTCAATATACAGGTGGGTTTTGATCCGTTTCAGGTTTTTCGGCTATCAGTTCTGGATCTGATTTTTTAGGGTGAAAATTCGAACGATATGTACGTTAAAACTAACGATGCACACAATCTTCTCCGTCCCGAATTTATCGAGAGTTTGTGGTACATGTACCAGTTTTCCGGTAATGTTACCTACCAGGATTGGGGCTGGCAAATATTTCAGGTAAAAAAAATCACATATTAATATTTTATTAATTTGATAATTTTTTCAAAATTTTGATGCTAAGAAAATTAGTTATAGTGTTTGAAAAATATATTTTTTGAATAAACCCGACACTGTAAATTCCCGAATATACAAGTACATTCCAACAGTAAAATAATGTTATAAAATTTTAACAAATCAATAATATTCATTGAATATTACACAGTTTAACACGATTTTTCTCCCATGAAAAATTTTAACAGATTTTAAAAATAAAGGTTAAAAAAATTTACCAGTGTCTCACCGTGTCACGAAATCACGTCATTTAAATTTTGTATAGGTACAGCCATTCTTATTATTTTGCTATAAATCATTTTTTGTAAGTAAAAAAAATAAATTCTGGTTTTAATTTTTAATAAAACAACAGATTTGTATTTATCTTAAATTCAATATATGTTGGAAACAAATCTTGGTATTTTAGTTTGACGATTATACATTGCTTTAGAACCTAAAAACACCAGTTGATATACAGGGTGTTTTACATTTGTGGTCCATTGGAAGTTTCTGTGGAACGGAAAAAGATATCGATTTGAAAATGTAACATCAACTTTGTTATTTAAAAAAGAATACCCCAAATATGTTTACATTTTTAAATTTAATCAAAAATAGTCTATAACTTTTTTGCTATTGGGTTTGCGGAAATGGGGTAGAATTTTTGGAATCCAAAAATATTGTATAAAAGTTTCCATGTCAATTCTTTAACATTTTTCAACAAATTACCCAAAAAAACCCAGGGCAAATTAGGCTAACTTGAAACGCTAATAACTTTTTATTTTCGGTAGGGTTGTGTTGTTGAGTTTTCTGACAAGGAAGCGTTAAAATTTTGCCTATGATTCATTTTAAAAACGTTAAAATGCACAAAACAAATCCGGTTAAGCCGGCAAAACGAAAAACAATGCCGTAACCTCACTTTTTTAATAAATTAGCCAGAGAATTGGTTGGTTAGTTTACAAACTAGCTAAAGCTTGGCTATTTTGTGTTACTAGAAATTTTTTCATATTAGCCAAACTGAATTGGATAGTATACAAACTATCCAGCTATTTTAGTTTTCCTAATAATTTCAAGTAAATTAGCCAAGATCCTTGGTTATTTTGTAAACTAGCCGCTAATTTAGTTGAAAATGTTTTTAATTAAAATAGCTGACAGTTTGGCTAGTTTATAAACTATCCAAGTTTGCACATTAGCCATAACATATATAAAGTAAAATTTTAAATATTTTTTATCAAGAAACCTGTGACGGTATCTATGGTTACCACGCAATCTGTCATTGTTCAAAATTAAATGGCGTCAATTTTTCAGGTTGTTATAAACAATTTGTTGACTAATTAAGTGTTTTGTAAACAAAATTACTGATAAAAGTAGATAGTGAATTATAAAAAACATGGACAAGCCAAACATTTAAAAAATTTAAGAGTAAGACAATAAAATATAAAATTTATTTTATGAAATATTTTAATAAAAAAAAAATCCGTAACTGTAAAAATTTAATACGCTAAAGAAGTATCGCTAGTAGCGCCACCACTCGGCTGTTATCATCGTAACAAAAGTATAACTTTTAATAATCATCTGTCAAACGCTTATGTTACAAGCCGGAAAATGTTAAAAAATATCGAAAAAAAACCGTGGCACGATTTGTTGTGTTGTTGGGTGTATTTCGAGAGGAAATCCTGGGTTGAGTTTTTATCGGTTTTCCAATAAACAGTATTAATCCGAATGAAGAAATAAATTTCATACAGTCCCTGTAAATATAAATTGTATGGCGAGTGTTCAACGTACACGGTACACATCGCTCGCGTTATAGGCAAATTTAACCAGTTATTTAGACTTCTTAAAAAATGGACGATAGTGATATTGAAGGTGATGGAGTGTTTGTTCCTGTTAAGGATAGAAAGAAACGAGGAAGAGATCCCAATAGTCCAGAATATCAACTTGCGGGATTTAATGCAAACGGTGAACCAAGTTTTCATACAAATAAAAAACTGGCGACAGACGACGATAAAAACAAAAACGATTCAACAAAAAACAACAGCTTAACATACATCAACAAAAAAAGGAATTCCAACCAAAACAAAAACCAGCATTCATATGTAAACAACAAATACTCACCAATAATGAACGGATCAACTTACAACAAATACAAACACTTTTATTTTTTGTCAACTGAACAGAATAGAGATGAATTTATTGAGATTTGGGAAAGAATTCACCCCAAGGAAAAAGACATAATTCTTACAGTGAAAACAGGACTTATATTAAAAACCAATAACGATAATGCAGAAATAAGCCTTGAAACGTTAGTCAGCACTGGAAAGGTAACCAGCTTCAAAAAATCCGAAAAAAATTCACCCCCCAGAGATACACCAAGTGAATCATATTCGGTTGTCATTGCTTCAATGGAACTGAATATTGATGAAAAAACAATTAGCGAAGCCCTTAAAAATCTCAACCTTGAACATCGCTTCTGTAAAAGAATAATAGCCCGGACAACAGGCAAACCAACCACTCTTATACGAATAATTACGAGCTCCAATTCCACTTCCGAAAAGCTGCTCTCCCACGGTTTTTACTTTAAATACCGTCACTACCCAGTATATCCAAGCAAACCTCCAGCTCCACTCCCTCAACCATGTAAAAAATGTTTATCCTTTGATCACGCATCTGAAAATTGTATCTCCCCAAGAAAATGTACAAAATGCTTCGGAACTCATGCAGATAACAAGTGCACCTCCACGTTACCACCAAAATGCACTGGATGTGGCTCTTTGGAACATCAGGCATGGTCTTTACAATGCCCTAAGAGACCTACAAAACCATTAGAAGGAATTCCGAACATTCCTATTAAGTCCATCAACAAAAAATCAAATGAGTTACCTAAAGACATACAAAAATCCCGTATACATTCTCCAATTACTCTACACGATCTAATCATAAACAGCTACACCAACGAATTAAACGAAGAGAAAACTAGCAATAGGGAAGAGTTAATTCTAAAACTTAGGAAAAGATTTGTCGCCAATTACAATGTGGATACAGTTGCAGTGTTCTCCGGTAGCAGAGTGTATATTCTAATGTTCGATTTAATCACAGGCGAAAATTCTCCAACAGAATCTATAAACAACGTGGTAAATATACAGCAAATTCAAACCGATTAATATATTATATTCCAACATAAACAGTTATAACAACAAAAAATATCTGATTAATAAGTACATTGAGGAGAACAACATAAACTGCACATTATTTGTAGAATCCAAAACCAATAGCAACACCAGCACAAATTACAAAAATTGGTCAGTTTTACAACTAGACGGTTATCAACCCAATAATCACACACGAGGTGGAAGTCTAGTACAACTTCATCCTGATCTTATCATGGGTAAGGCTAATAGACCAAGATTAAATAACCCTATCAATGAATGTCTCCACTTTACTGTTCCCTTTAAAGACGAAAAGTTGCACATATTTTTAGTATACATTCATCCAAACCTGAGAGTGGAGGAAAATATTTTGGTGATGGCAAGTCTATATAAATATTCAATTATCATAGGAGACTTCAACTGTGGGAATAAATATAAGAAAAAACAAATAAGCAACTTTCTTCAAAATTCACAATTTCTGAAATATAATTTACCTCCAACTTTTTTAATGCCTTTAAATAATGATACTACCCCTGATATGTTAATGTATACAGCAAATATTTCCAGTAATATTATTAGTGTAGAAGTCACACCGGATCTGTGCTCGGATCACCTAAGTCTACAAATTAAAATTGACTCCGAAAAATATTACAACTCTAGCCCGATAACAAAATATAATTTTAACAAAACAAAAATAAAAAAAGTAAATGAGACTCTTATAAGTTATATCAATAATTCCCAAAATTTAGACCCAAATGAAATTTCAAAATTTAATACTGAACTAACAAATTCTATTTTACAAAATACACCCAAAATTAATCAAAGATTTTACAACTACATATTACCTCCGTTTATATTACAACTTATTAAAAGAAAACGCAAAATGTATAGGGAATATAGAGAACTAGGAGACCCAAATTTAAAGACTAGCATGAACGCTTTTAATAAAAACATTCAAAATCTAATTCGGGAATATAGAAGTAATTGTTTTTTAAAAGTATGTCGAGAAATAAATTTAAAAAAAGGCAAATCTTATTGGCAAGATATTAAGAAACTTTCAAAATATAAAAGATCTGCACTTAAGAACAGCGAAATAATAGAGCAAGGGGTAACCTATAATACTGACCAAGAGAAGTGCGAGATTTTCTCTAAAAATTTCGAACGAGTCTACAAGGAAACCAACGATTTCAGGTTTGATGGTAATCATTACAGGGTTGTAGATGACTGGTACAGACTGTTTTTTAATGATATGATTCCGATTTTGGATGAGGATACATTTATAGAGGACAATTACTACGAAATTCTAGAATCGGGGAAAAATTCTGCACCGGGACATGATAATATTACCAGAAACATACTCAGAAAGCTAGACTTCCGGATTCACGAATACATAATAAAAATCTACAAATATTGCATCAAACATCAGCATATTCCTAATGAATGGAAAAAAGGTATCATAATTACACTGCCAAAACCCAATACCGATCACACCCTAACCTCCAATTATAGGCCAATTACGCTACTTCCAGTAATTGGAAAAAACTTTGAGAAAGTTATGAAAAAATTATTAGAGCATAAACTGCTAGAAAAAATTCCTGGATATCAATTTGGATTTAAACCTCATATGTCAACCGTCCATCCGCTTACAATTCTACTAAACAACGTGGAAACATCCAAATTAAACAAATTTAAATCTGCCGCTGTTTTTTTGGATATAAGCAAGGCCTTTGATAGTGTATGGATTAAAGGATTGTTGTATAAACTACATCTAATGGACTGCCCCATTCACCTTATTAATATAGTACGCCTACTTCTAGAAAAGCGAGAATTAAGGGTTAAAATTGGCAATGACTTCTCCAATTCATTTGTTACTCAACAAGGGCTACCCCAAGGATCTCCACTTTCACCTTTTTTATATAATGTTTATTGCGCTGACATCTACCATCACCGATTTGAAGACATACATTACTTCTCTCATACGTCCTACATGCTGCAATTTGCCGACGACACCGCTCTAATAACACACGGCCAAACCTTGGGGATAGTTATTCAAAAATTGCAAGAATTGACAAACATAACTATGAAATGGTTTAATAAATGGAGGCTTAAAATCAATGCAAATAAAACGCAAATGATCATTTTCAACCATAACATTTCACATAACTCACCAACAATTTCATTAAATAATCATATACTCCAAGCATCACCAGCAGTTAAATATTTAGGAATAACTCTTGATCCAAAATTAAACTTTAACAGCCATACTAAACTGTTAAAAAAGAAAATAATCACAAGGTCCAAACATTTTAGAAGTTTAACCTACAAAAACTCAGGCATTAGTATGGATACAAGCACAAAAATATACAAAATGATCTGCAGGCCCATCATTGAGTACGGATTTATCCTATTTCTAAATTGCAAAAGACCAGCTATGCAGAACCTAAAGACATCAGAAACAACTTCCCTACGAACAATCACAAAAATCCGCCACCCTAACAATCCTTTATTTAACCCCTCAAATATCCTACTCTATACAACAACAAAAATTCAACCAATAGAAGAAAGAATTAACATGTTGGCAGAAAAGTTTAGCAAAAAAGACATTAATTTCGAAATACTTAATAATTACTGCATAGAACGAAAAAATCGTGAATCTACACACAAACATCCAGTAGAAACCACCATGGAGAAATTAATAAAATTCCATAATGCTCCATAACACTAAATGTATTTTTTTTTTTTTTTTTTTTTGTTAAATAAGTACCTTGATTTTATAAATGTTACGATTATACTGTTAAATGTTATATTTATACTTATATCAAAATTTATTGTAAACTCATCGGCTGAAGGACTACGGTCAATAGCCTTTGAACTTGGTTTTAGTTCAATAAAGCATTATTATTATTATTATTATTATAAATTGTATCTATTAGATTAAATACCTACACATTTTAGTAATGATTAACGTGAAAAGTATAAACATTTCAATTCAGTAAAAATCGTCAAACAAATAAGTCGTCTAAATTTAAACAGCATTTAGCATTATTAAAAGCGTTGATTAAGAAAGTCTCCACTCAACGGTAAAATACTAATATATTTTATATAATATTATGTTGCCATGAATTCGTAGGTATATTTTGTTGTTTAAAATGCAGTTGTCGGCGTTTTTTAAAGGACTCAAATATAAAAATTGTTGATTTTAAGGGTGTGTTTGTGCAAAAATTACTTTTTACTAATGTATTAAAAATGTCCAAACTTAAATATAAATTATATTAGGTAAAGTTATCATTAGTTAATTCTGCACCAACAAATGTACTTACCGAATTGGATGCTTTGGCAAAACATGAAAATGCAACGATTTAGTTCTTGAATTTTATTTACAATTAAAAACACAATAATTCACCATAATCCCTTAGATAAAATACACAAACTAACGTAACTATGTAAGCATTTAAGCGTTGATTTTCTTAATCAATGATATAAGGAATAATCATCGAAATCGAGTACTAAAAAAGTTTTTTAGTTTTTTCCTTGCAACGTAAAACACAAATAACTTAAAAAAAATGACGTGATCTGAAAAAACGCCGAGACACAGGTATCATTCTTTTAAGGCCATTTTTAAAATCTTTAGAAATTTTTTGTGGGAGGGAAAAATATCTAATTCTATTTAGTTTGTATGTTTTTACCTAAAGAAAAACTTTCTCCCCCATTATAGGGCTTCGAGAACTTCACGAAAGTGGCGAACGGTTACACGTCGATAGGCAACGTGCGCAACACCGCCAACGTCCGTCCGCGCGACATGATGGAGTCGTTTTTCATGAGCGAAACGTTAAAGTATCTCTACTTGCTGTTCAGCGACAATCCGAAACTGATAGACCTCGATAAGTACGTTATAAACTCGGAGGCGCATCCTCTGCTGGTGCGCGACTCCTGAGCCAACAACGAGATTACGTATTATTAACGAAAGAAGAAAAATCTAGTCGAAACAATAAAACAGTTTAAAACTACGCGTTTAAGGCTTGTAACGGTACCATTGCGTCCGGAAACTGGCGAAGACAGCAAGTTCCAGGGATGATGATAACATCCTTAAAATGTTCTGTCTTTGTTAGTTTAGGACCCCAGTACAAAAAAGACTCATAAAAATTGATTTTATGGATGGAAAAGTTGTCTGTAACTTATTTTTATTTATGAGATTATTTTTTTTAAATAACAATATTATTATAATAAACCTACACAAAAAACACTTTTTATTAAAATAGTTAAATTAATGTAAATTTAAACTTATTTTACTATAAAAAAAGAAAATCTTTAAAAAGTTCTTGTTTAAATATTTGCTCTTAAAAATTACCAAAAGGGTATTTCCTCCTTGACAAAAAATCAGGTGTTATTTAACAAAATAACGATTATATCTGAAGTCAAATGGTTTAATTGCGACGTAATTTATAACCTTAAAATGTTCAAATGTCGCACCCGTTACATTTTGAGAAAATTTTAGAAAATAACGTATACAATATTTGTGCATTTAAAATACGTGCTTGTTTAAGGTTACTATTCAAGTTTTACACAAAAAAATATTGCTATATGCTTTCATCCAAAATTTTACAGTATCAACTTTAGAAGCCAATTTTCTAAGGTCGCGCCCGTTACGCTATTCATGACGTTAAGTTTTTATTGACATTTTGTTATACCTAATTATTTATACTATTTTTTTATATTAACGTATCTTGATATACATGAACAAACATTTAGTTATCATGAAAAAACGCAGTTTTAGTGTCGCACCCGTTACAATGGAAATACGCAAAAGTAAAAATTTTTGGTAATTTTTTTAGCAGTAATATTTTAGAATTATTTAAGTTTGACTTTTACATCTAAAGTATATTTCTACATATCATGTTTAAATTAAAGCTAAGATTTGGAGTATACTGGGTGTCCCATTTTGAGCATGAAAAAAATACAACATTTTTATATAAAAGCATTTTATCCTTTTATTAAAAAGGATATACCTTTGAGGTATTACCTTAAACAATTCTTTAAAGTTCAAAAATAAAAAGTAAAATTTGTAATTTTGTATACTTTTGGTACTTAGTGCGCCACCTTGCATCAGTTTTTTTTTAAATTTCAAAAAAATTGAGCCTGCGAAAAAAAACGTCAAAATCGGTAAAATTTCAAAAAGTGAGTTTTGCTTTTTTTGTATTATCCGTGGACAATTTGTTGATATATTGTTGAAATATTCGTACATTGTGATGCTAAAAAGCTAACATTAAGAATAAACACGGAAGAGTTTCAATACTCGATAAAATGTTCAAATGTCGCACCCGTTACATTTTGAGAAAATTTTAGAAAATAACGTATACAATATTTGTGCATTTCAAATACGTGCTTGTTTAAGGTTACTATTCAAGTTTTACACAAAAAAATATTGCTATATGCTTTCATCCAAAATTTTACAGTATCAACTTTAGAAGCCAATTTTCTAAGGTCGCGCCCGTTACGCTATTCATGACGTTAAGTTTTTATTGACATTTTGTTATACCTAATTATTTATACTATTTTTTTATATTAACGTATCTTGATATACATGAACAAACATTTAGTTATCATGAAAAAACGCAGTTTTAGTGTCGCACCCGTTACAATGGAAATACGCAAAAGTAAAAATTTTTGGTAATTTTTTTAGCAGTAATATTTTAGAATTATTTTAGTTTGACTTTTACATCTAAAGTATATTTCTACATATCATGTTTAAATTAAAGCTAAGATTTGGAGTATACTGGGTGTCCCATTTTGAGCATGAAAAAAATACAACATTTTTATATAAAAGCATTTTATCCTTTTATTAAAAAGGATATACCTTTGAGGTATTACCTTAAACAATTCTTTAAAGTTCAAAAATAAAAAGTAAAATTTGTATACTTTTGGTACTTAGTGCGCCACCTTGTATCAGTTTTTTTTTAAATTTTCAAAAAAATTGAGCCTGCGAAAAAAAACGTAAAAATCGGTAAAATTTCAAAAAAGTGAGTTTTGCTTTTTTTGTATTATCCGTGGAAAATTTTCTGAAAAAAAATGCAATAATCTATTTTTTTGCAAATTTTCCATTTTTTTCGTTAAAAATGTTTTTTTCTTGCAAGGTGAGGAAAAATTGGATCCAAAAAGGTTATGAACGGCCTTACTAAGTAAAAATAAAATAAATGACATTTAAAAAGACAATTTTTTCAAAACCCGGGGTCCCAATATTGTTTTCCATACTTTAAAACGCTTGATTGAAGCTATTATACAGGGTGTCACCAAATAAGTTGATAGTACACGCCAAAATAAGAGTTTTTCCTGCATTAGAGCCATTTTTTTATTAATAAAAAAAATCATTAAAATGTTTAGAAGTAAGGTAAAAATTTTGGGCCGCCACTGGTTGTTATGTTATGTAATTTTTGCATACTCAGCTATTTTTCGGTAGGGTAAAGTAGACAGTTATCGGACACTTTATAGTTATTGGACAATTAAAATTAATACTGTAAAAACAAGAGTTCTATAAATATAGTTACCTTAAAGTCAAATCATACAATTATACATATCTCAGTTGGTAATAATATAGAACTACTTTATTTTGGGTCCAATATAGAACAAAAAAGCTCGCACGTTACTTTGGTGGTAAGATTTTTGTTTTTTTACAATAAAAAATATTTCTAAAAAGTGTACAGATCAGTGTGTGGTATAAATGTGTTTCTCATGGTTTAAACATTGTCACTTTATTGCGTTTTAATTTTATTTCTGAAAACAAACAGTAAAATGGCCAGTGTCCAATTACTGGTTGGTAAAAAATGTAAATTTCTATTATTGGACATATGTCCAATATCATACTCTATTTGTATCCCGGACATTTACCAGCCAGTTCTTATGTAAAATTGTCCCCTGAATCCGAAAAGACCGTGAAAAAAAGTTAAGTAGTTTTTGAGATATAGTCAATTCCATATTATATGTAAAATTGATTATATTCCAAAAACTGTTCTACTTTTATAACTTTTGACGTAATTTTCGGATTCAGCGAATAATACATATGTACATACATACATAATAAATACAAATTGCTGGTGACGAGAATAATTAGTGGCTGCTTTTTCGCTGACATTTTTGACTAATTCAATTTTAGAGAGCAAGTAATATAGTGATTTCTTGGTCACAGGACATCTTGCAGAATAACAGTGATTTAAATACAGTGCATGATAGAGAACATAAAAAACTAATGGCAACAAAATTAATGAATTCGGAAAATACTTTTAACATACCACCCGAAAAAATATTAGATATCCAAATATATAAATATATATAAATATATAAATATAATATATATATAAATCATCCTGTTCCGGCCTAAACATTATAAATGCTTCACAAACTAGAGATACCTACCACACTTAATGATATTTGCAACAAACTATTTCAGAAGTCAGACCAAGGAATTAGTAGTTACCTTCAGAATCCAGAAGAGGGATGAGGAATCCGAGAAAGAAATAAATGAATTATATGATATTTACAAAAACGAAATAAAAAAAATTACCTAAAACAGCAATTTATCTTTAAAAAATAGGTATTTAACAATTTATGTTATTTAATGTAAATAAAAATTGTATGTCCAATAACTATGGTCCATGTGTCCAATTAGGTACTATATAAAAATTACTATACTTTTTTTCATGTTTTTATAAAACTATTAGGTATTAAAAATTCAAATATTCTTATTTTTAAGTAAACGTAAATAAAGTTTAAACTAACAAACTGTACTTTTTATATATTTATAAGAAAAAAACTAAAATCTTTAAAAAAACGTCATATATAAATTTTAAATAATTAATATTCCTTAAGTGTCCAATAACTATGTGGTTCACCCTACCTACTTTGAATAAAACAATACTTACTTTTGATTGTTAGGTATCTCGTGGTTTTCGTGATTTTCCTGTCGATTTTAAATTTTACCTTTCACTTTTTACGTCGATTGATGCTCATAAAGCTATTTTTAAGTGTTATTAGGTGACACCATGTATTATTTTTATAAATTTTAAAATTTGCACACTAAAAAAATTACTTTTTTTCCTTTTTAAAATTAAAAAATGAATTTTTTGATATTATACATACAACACTTTTCTCTAAACCTTTTTGAATTTGCTGTGTAAAAACAGTATTTTCAGGAAAAATATACAGGGTGCATGTTCTATGTAAACATATGGGTATTTTTTTATTTGAGAGCTACCAGGTCGGTTATTTTAGAGAAAAGCTAAGTAATTAAAAAAACAGATTCTTAAAATATTTAACAAAAACTAAAAATCATAACCAAAAGTTGCACACTAATTTTTTTGCTACCTTATTTGGAATTTTATCACAATATTTTAAAATGACGCCATAACTTTTGTAGGAAGTTTGATACATCATTGTTCATTGGAAATAATAATAGTATTATTTGTATGGTTGGATTTCTTATTTTTTTCTCTTTTTATTAAAAATTTTTTAACAATGTAATATTCCAACATGGCGGTTATGGAAAAAACAAAAGATGGTGGTGGGAACTCAAAATTTACTTGGCAAAAAAAATCACATGTAAAACTTACTTTTTTTAAAGTCACAGAAATAATTAATAAAAATTGCAGGTTTTTAATTTTTTTCAAATTATTTTAGACACAGTTTTAATTAAGCAACTTTTCTTTAATTTAACCGACCCTGTAGCTCTTCAAATAAAAAAGATGTATAACATACAATTTTTCTACAACATCGAGATTTTTATTAATCCATGAGATTCAAAGCCAATGACATTTTTATTTAATCCGCGCCAAGCGCACCGTTTCACTTGGCTTAGTTGCCTGCGATATCGACGGCCAATGGCAGCTCTTTATTTAAAACAGTTGACTGCGCGAACGTGTCCAGCGTATCAAACAAATGCTAATCCAGAGAAACTCGATCTTTATTGGTCGATTTTTTTCAAAGCCTCGTCGATAAGTGTTTTTCATTTTTTTATTAACAACACAGAAGCCAGTGTATTATTAGTATTGTCTTGTGTTGTTCAAAAGACTGTTAAATTTTTGACACACACTATATAAATTATGACAAAAGGGACTTAAATGTAATATGTACATTTTTTATCTAGGCAATAATATTTTTAGGTTTATTTTGCCAAACGAAGCGCTAAAAAACTGTATACATTTATGAGGTGACGTTTTATTTTTTATTCAGAAAATAATTTTATGTTTTAACCCCTAAGTGATATTTTCAATTAGATTTAATTTTTATGCCAAACTGATATTTTTAATTCAGCGAATTAAAAATATGTGTTTAACAAACTTTAATTTTTATGTCAAGCAGATATTTTTAATTTAGTTAATTTAAAATATTTGCCTCTTGTAATTGTATTTTTTAGTTAAACACATATTTTTAGTCGATAAATAAAAAATATCTGGTTATTTAAAAAAATAAAAATTAATATACAGGGTGTTATGTAATTAATGTGATATATTAAAATATATAAAATTTATTAGGTTAACGTTGGTAACAACCAGCGTTTCTAGATTCTGTCAAAAAATTGCAAAATTTTGTTTAAATTTAGCTTAATTACAAAAATGACAAAATTAACAATGCAAATTGTTAATTTGACGTTTTTAATAATTGTTGATAATGTCATTTTTGTAATAAAGGTAAATTCAAACAAAATCTGGAAACTTATAATAATAATAATAATAATAATAATATTTATTTCCAAAAGCGACAATTCACAAAATTGTATAGGAAAACAGAATCTAGTGCATTTCTTTCAATTTTTGGGTTATGTGCTCAAATTGTAAATATTTTAACTAAGAGAAGTGCTTTAGGATTTATTTACACAAATTGAATGTTTAAAGTTTACCTCTGAACTTGTCCTAATTTCAACTGAGTAAACAGAAAGAAAAAACCGATGAAAAAATTAATTTTGTGGTTATAGTTTTTAAAATAGGTACTAAAGTTTCTGATCATTGCTAAAGCTTAATAAATACAGTAAGGTATGGAGCTTTAAGGGCATACAACTTTTGTATTTATTGAGTTTTTATTTATTTTTTGCAAGAAAAATCTTTAGTAACAATTTATTACAACTGGCAACAAGCTGTTACTTTGTTGGTTGGTATCCATGTGCCCACAGAAGTGCGTAACCAGTGGCGTATCACAAAAAATATAAAAACCTTCTAATGCATATTTTTTCTTTATCTTTGGGAAAATATTTTTCCATTACACCTTATGTCAAATTTTTCCATTACACCTTATGTCAAAAGGCATTCAGTATTTTAATATAAATACATAACAAAATGCATTTAAAAATTTCCTCTATGATATGTTTAATATAGCGAATTTAAAGTAGGTATACTAAAAAATTTAAAATATCACTTTAGTGTTAACACATTAGATTAATTTTTATATAAAAATTAAAAAGGCCCCATATACATTAGATTTAAGCGTTGATTAAATAGTTTTTTTAATTATTTTTACTTATGTGTTGTATGTTGACATCCTGTTAAGTAGTCAAATATTTTTAGTGGTAGTCTCTTGTAATGGATGGAGTAAGGGTGTCCAATTATTTGTGATATATATATATTATATATTGTGAGAAATTATAATTTAATAATTATTGCATCATTAAATTGGCAAGTTATAATAAATTTCTTTGAATAATTTGTTTTTATTTTTCCCCGAAAGTTGATTAAAAATAAAAGGCGATTAAAATAAATATACATTTATTATTTTTAATATTGCGTTTTTCATAGTTTGTTCTTACAGAGAGCTTATTGATTTAATATGGCAGCATTACATATATGAAAAATTTAACAGAAAAATAAAACTTACTATAGACGTTTTAGTAAAAAATACTTTAAATTTGTTAAATAAGTATAAATACTTAAAATAATCCACTCTAAATAATAAATATTGAAATTTCCAGCCTCGTTGTAGAGTTATCCACAATTTTTCACTTAGCACTATTTCACTAACAAATAACAAATACAGATATATCACAAGAAGGAACAAAATCTACATAATGTTGCACTCACAGCACTGCAGGGTATAGTACAGGCACTTGACCACGCAGTTGTCGTCCATTTCCTCGTCCTGCCTGGGCTTGTCCTTCTTCGCCGTCGGCACCCAAACGCCGTCCAACTTGTCCCCGCCGTTGGCCTTTTTGTCCTTTTCGTCGAACTTCAGGCCCTCCTCGGAATCCTGTCGCTTCAGATCGTCCGACTCGTTCTTATATTTGTATTTTTTGTTAAACACATATTTTTAATTCCCTTAATTAAAAATTGGATTTAATTTTTATGCCAAACTGAAGCACCTGAAACTTTTTTTTCTAAATTCTAAAGATTAAAAATAATTTATAATTACCTTTATCCTACCAAAAAGTACGCCACTGATCGACTGGAAACTTTAGGCTAATCTGGTTGCCTAATTTAATTTATTATGTTATGGTTGGTAACAACCAGCCTTTCTAGATTCTGTCAAAAAATTACCAATTTTGCTTAAATTTAGTTTAATTAAAAAAATAACAATGCAAATTGTTAATTTGACGTTTTTATTAATTGTTGATTATGTCACTTTTGTAATGAAGGTAAATTCAAACAAAATCTGGAAACTTATGACAGAATCTAGTGCATTTCTTTCAATTTTTGGGTTATGTGCTCAAATTGTAAATATTTTAACTAAGGGAAGTGCTTTAGGATATATTTACACAAATTGAATGTTTAAAGTTTAACCTGTGAACTTTTAATAATATCGTCTAAGTAAACAAAGAAAAAAACGATAAAAAAATTAATTTTGTTGTTATAGTTTATAAAATACAGTAAGGTATTAGGGCTTTAAGGGCATAAAACTTTTGTATTTATTGAGTTTTTATTTATTTTTTGCTTGAACAATTTTTAGTAACAATTTTTTTACAACTGGCAACAAGCAGCTACTTTGTTGGTTGGTATCTATGTACTCACAGAAGTGTGTAACCAGTGGCGTATCACAAAAAATATAAAAACCTTCTAATGCATATTTTTTCTTTTTCTTTGGGAAAATATTTTTTTAAATATTTTTCCGTTACACCTTATGTCAAAAGGTATTCAGTATTTAAATATATTACATTAATTACATAACATAATGCATTTAAAAATTTCCTCTATGATATTTTTAATATAGCGAATTAAAAGTAGGTATACTAAAAAATTGAAAATATCACTTTAGTGTTAGCACATAAGATTAATTCTTGAATAAAAAATAAAAGGGCGCCCCATTAACATTAGATTTAAGCGTTGATTAAATAGTTTTTTTAATTATTTTTACTTATGTGTTGTATGTTGACATCCTGTTAAGTAGTCAAATATTTTTAGTGGTAGTCTCTTGTAATGGATGGAGTAAGGGTGTCCAATTATTTGTGATATATATTGTGAGAAATTATAATTTAATAATTATTGCATCATTAAATTGGCAAGATATAATAAATTTCTTTGAATAATTTGTTTTTATTTTTTTTCCCTGATTAAAGTTGATTAAAAATAAAAGGCGATTAAAATAAATATACATTTATTATTTTTAATATTGCGTTTTTCATAGTTTGTTCTTACAGAGAGCTTATAGATTTAATATGGCAGCATTGCATATATGAAAAATTTAACAGAAAAATAAAACTTACTATAGACGTTTTAGTAAAAAAAAATACTTTAAATTTGTTAAATAAGTATAAATACTTAAAATAATCCACTCTAAATAATAAATATTGAAATTTCCAGCGTCGTTGTAGAGTTATCCACAATTTTTCACTTAGCACTATTTCACTAACAAATAACAAATACAGATATATCACAAGAAGGAACAAAATCTACATAATGTTGCACTCACAACACTGCAAGGTATAGTACAGGCACTTGACCACGCAGTTGTCGTCCATTTCTTCGTCCTGCCTGGGCTTGTCCTTTTTGGCCGTCGGCACCCAAACGCCGTCCAACTTGTCCCCGCCGTTGGCCTTTTTGTCCTTTTCGTCGCTGTCGTCGCGGTCGTCGAACTTCAGTCCCTCCTCGGAATCCTGCCGCTTCATGAAGATCGTCCGACTCGTTCTTATATTTGTATTTTTTGTTAAACACATATTTTTAATTCGCGTAATTAAAAATTAGATTTAATTTTTATGCCAAACTGAAGCACCTGAAACTTTTTTTTTCTAAATTCTAAAGATTAAAAATAATTTATAATTACCTTAAGGTATAATAATAATTTATCCTACCAAAAAGTACGCCACTGATCGACTGGGAACTTTAGGCTAATCTGGTTGCCTAATTTAATTTATTATGTTATGGTTGGTAACAACCAGCGTTTCTAGATTCTGTCAAAAAATTGCCAAATTTTGTTTAAATTTAGTTTAATTAAAAAAATGACAATGCAAATTGTTAATTTGGCGTTTTTATTAATTGTTGATTATGTCATTTTTGTAATGAAGGTAAATTCAAACAAAATCTGGAAACTTTTATGACAGAATCTAGTGCATTTCTTTAAAATTTTGTGTTATGTGCTCAAATTGTAAATATTTTAACTAAGGGAAGGGCTTTTGGATTTATTTACACAAATTGAATGTTTAAAGTTTAACCTGCGAACTTGTCCTAATTTCATCCAAGTAAACAAAGAAAAAAAAACGACAAAAAAATCAATTTTGTGGTTATAGTTTTTAAAATACAGTAAGGTATTAGGCCTTTAAGGGCATAAAACTTTTGTATTTATTGAGTTTTTATTTATTTTTTGCAAGAAAAATCTTTAGTAACAATTTTTTACAACTGGCAACAAGCTGTTACTTTGTTAGTTGGTATATATGTGCCCACAGAAGTGCGTAACCAGTGGCGTATCACAAAAAATATAAAAACCTTCTAATGCATATTTTTTCTTTATCTTTGGGAAAATATTTTTTAAATATTTTTCCACCTTATGTCAAAAGGCATTCAGTATTTTAATATATTACATTAATTACATAACAAAATGCATTTAAAAATTTCCTCCATGATATTTTTAATATAGCGAATTAAAAGTAGGTATACTAAAAAATTGAAAATATCACTTTAGTGTTAACACATAAGATTAATTTTTAAATAAAAAATAAAACGGCGCCCCATGTACATTAGATTTAAGCGTTGATTAAATAGTTTTTTTAAATTATTTTTACTTATGTGTTGAATGTTGACATCCTGTTAAGTAGTCAAATATTTTTAGCGGTAGTCTCTTGTAATGGATGGAGTAAGGGTGTCCAATTATTTGTGATATATATTGTGAGAAATTATAATTTAATAATTATTGCATCATTAAATTGGCAAGTTATAATAAATTTCTTTGAATAATTTGTTTTTATTTTTTCCTTGAAAGTTGATTAAAAATAAAAGGCGATTAAAATAAATATACATTTATTATTTTTAATATTGCGTTTTTCATAGTTTGTTCTTACAGAGAGCTTATAGATTTAATATGGCAGCATTACATATATGAAAAATTTAACAGAAAAATAAAACTTACTATAGACGTTTTAGTAAAAAAAATACTTTAAATTTGTTAAATAAGTATAAATACTTAAAATAATCCACTCTAAATAATAAATATTGAAATTTCCAGCGTCGTTGTAGAGTTATCCACAATTTTTCACTTAGCACTATTTCACTAACAAATAACAAATACAGATATATCACAAGAAGGAACAAAATCTACATAATGTTGCACTCACAGCACTGCAGGGTATAGTACAGGCACTTGACCACGCAGTTGTCGTCCATTTCCTCGTCCTGCCTGGGCTTGTCCTTCTTCGCCGTCGGCACCCAAACGCCGTCCAACTTGTCCCCCCCGTTGGCCTTTTTGTCCTTTTCGTCGCGGTCGTCGAACTTCAGGCCCTCCTCGGAATCCTGTCGCTTCAGATCGTCCGACTCAATCTTATATTTGTATTTTTTGTTAAACACATATTTTTAATTCGCTTAACTAAACATTAGATTTAATTTTTATGCCAAACTGAAGCACCTGAAACTCTTTTTTTCTAAATTCTAAAGATTAAAAATAATTTATAATTACCTTTATCCTACCAAAAAGTACGCCACTGATCGACTGGGATCTTTAGGCTAATCTGGTTGCCTAATTTAATTTATTATGTTATGGTTGGTGACAACCAGCGTTTCTGGATTCTGTCAAAAAATTGCCAAATTTTGTTTAAATTTAGTTTAATTAAAAAAATGACAAAGCAAATTGTTAATTTGACGTTTTTATTAATTGTTGATTATGTCATTTTTGTAATGAAGGTAAATTTAAACAAAATCTGAAAACTTATGACAGAATCTAGTGCATTTCTTTCAATTTTTGAGTTATTTGCTCAAATTGTAAATATGTTAATTAAGGGCTTTTGGATTTATTTACACAAATTGAATGTTTAAAGTTTAACCTGTGAACTTGTCCTAATATCATCTAAGTAAACAAAGAAAAAAACTATAAAAAAATAATTTTGTGGTTATAGTTTTTAAAATACAGTAAGGTATTAGGGCTTTAAGGGCATAAAACTTTTGTATTTATTGAGTTTTTATTTATTTTTTGCTTGAACAATTTTTAGTAATAATTTTTTACAACTGGCAACAAGCAGCTACTTTGTTGGTTGGTATCTATGTGCCCACATAAGTGCGTAACCAGTGGCGTATCACAAAAAATATAAAAACCTTCTAATGCATATTTTTTCTTTATCTTTGGGAAAATATTTTTTATAATATTTTTCTGTTACACCTTATGTCAAAAGGTATTCAGTATTTAAATATATTACATTAATTACATAACAAAATGCATTTAAAAATTTCCTCCATGATATTTTTAATTTAGCGAATTAAAAATATGTTTACTAAAAAATTGAAAATATCACTTTAGTGGTATTTTTAAATAAAAAATAAAACGGCGCCTCATTTACATTAGATTTAAGCGTTGATTAAATAGTTTTTTTTTAAATTATTTTTACTTATGTGTTGTATGTTGACATCCTGTTAAGTAGTCAAATATTTTTAGTGGTAGTCTCTTGTAATGGATGGAGTAAGGGTGTCCAATTGTTTGTGATATATATTGTGAGAAATTATAATTTAATAATTATTGCATCATTAAATTGGCAAGTAATAATAAATTTCTTTGAATAATTTGTTTTTAATTTTTCCTTGAAAGTTGATTAAAAATAAAAGGCGATTAAAATAAATATACATTTATTATTTTTAATATTGCGTTTTTCATAGTTTGTTCTTACAGAGAGCTTAAAGATTTAATATGGCAGCATTACATATATGAAAAATTTAACAGAAAAATAAAACTTACTATAGACGTTTTAGTAAAAAAAATACTTTAAATTTGTTAAATAAGTATAAATACTTAAAATAATCCACTCTAAATAATAAATATTGAAATTTCCAGCGTCGTTGTAGAGTTATCTACAATTTTTCACTTAGCACTATTTCACTAACAAATAACAAATACAGATATATCACAAGAAGGAACAGAATCTACATAATGTTGCACTCACAGCACTGCAGGGTATAGTACAGGCACTTGACCACGCAGTTGTCGTCCATTTCCTCGTCCTGCCTGGGCTTGTCCTTTTTCGCCGTCGGCACCCAAACGCCGTCCAACTTGTCCCCGCCGTTGGCCTTTTTGTCCTTTTCGTCGCTGTCGTCTCGGTCGTCGAACTTGAGGCCCTCCTCGGAATCCTGTCGCTTCAGATCGTCCGACTCGTTCTTATATTTGTATTTTTTGTTAAACACATATTTTTAATTCGCTTGATTCACAATTAGATTTAATTTTTATGCCAAACTAAAGCACCTGAAACTTTTTTTCTTCTAAATTCTAAAGATTAAAAATAATTTATAATTACCTTTATCCTACCAAAAAGTACGCCACTGATCGACTGGGAACTTTAGGCTAATCTGGTTGCCTAATTTAATTTATTATGTTATGGTTGGTTACAACCAGCGTTTCTATATTCTGTCAAAAAATTGCCAAATTTTGTTTAAATTTAGCTAAATTACAAAAATGACAAAATAAACAAATTGTTGATTTGACGTTTTTATTAATTGTTGATTATGTCATTTTTGTAATGAAGGTAAATTCAAACTAAATCTGGAAACTTATGACAGAATCTAGTGCATTTCTTTCAATTTTTGGGTTATGTTACACAAATTGAATGTTTAAAGTTTAACCTCTGAACTTGTCCTAATTTCAACTGAGTAAACAGAAATAAAAGGCGATTAAAATAAATATACATTTATTATTTTTAATATTGCGTTTTTCATAGTTTGTTCTTACAGAGAGCTTATAGATTTAATATGGCAGCATTACATATATGAAAAATTTAACAGAAAAATAAAACTTACTATAGACATTTTAGTAAAAAAAATACTTTAAATTTGTTAAATAAGTATAAATACTTAAAATAATCCACTCTAAATAATAAATATTGAAATTTCCAGCGTCGTTGTAGAGTTATCCACAATTTTTCACTTAGCACTATTTCACTAACAAATAACAAATACAGATATATCACAAGAAGGAACAAAATCTACATAATGTTGCACTCACAGCACTGCAGGGTATAGTACAGGCACTTGACCACGCAGTTGTCGTCCATTTCCTCGTCCTGCCTGGGCTTGTCCTTCTTCGCCGTCGGCACCCACACGCCGTCCAACTTGTCCCCCCCGTTGGCCTTTTTGTCCTTTTCGTCGCTGTCGTCGCGGTCGTCGAACTTCAGGCCCTCCTCGGAATCCTGTCGCTTCAGGTCGTCCGACTCGTTCTTATATTTGTATTTTTTGTTAAACACATATTTTTAATTCCCTTAATTAAAAATTGGATTTAATTTTTATGCCAAACTGAAGCATCTGAAACTTTTTTTTCTAAATTCTTAAGATTAAAAATAATTTATAATTACCTTTATCCTACCAAAAAGTACGCCACTGATCGACTGGGATCTTTAGGCTAATCTGGTTGCCTAATTTAATTTATTATGTTATGGTTGGTAACAACCAGAGTTTCTAGATTCTGTCAAAAAATTGACAAATTTTGTTTAAATTTAGTTTAATAAAAAAAATGACAATGCAAATTGTTAATTTGACGATTTTATTAAGTAATTGTTGATTATGTCATTTTTGTAATAAAGGTAAATTCAAACAAAATCTGGAAACTTATGACAGAATCTAGTGCATTTCTTTCAATTTTTGGGTTGTGCTCAAATTGTAAATATTTTAACTAAGGGAAGTGCTTTTGGATTTATTTACACAAATTGAATGTTTAAAGTTTAACCTGTGAACTTGTCCTAATATCATCTAAGTAAACAAAGAAAAAAACGATACAAAAATTAATTTTGTGGTTATAGTTTTATAAATACAGTAAGGTATTAGGGCTTTAAGGGCATAAAACTTTTGTATTCATTGACTTTTTATTTATTTTTTGCTTGAACAATTTTTAGTAACCATTTTTTACAACTGGCAACAAGCAGCTACCATTGAGTACTCAATGCAGCTACTTTGTTGGTTGGTATCTATGTGCCCACAGAAGTGCGTAACCAGTGGCGTATCACAAAAAATATAAAAACCTTCTAATGCATATTATTTCTTTATCTTTGGGAAAATATTTTTTAAATATTTTTCCATTAGGTACACCTTATGTCAAAAGGTATTCAGTATTTAAATATATTACATTAATTACATAACAAAATGCATTTAAAAATTTCCTTCATGATTTAGCGAATTAAAAATATGTTTACTAAAAAATTGAAAATATCACTTTAGTGGTAACACATAAGATTAATTCTTGAATAAAAAATAAAACGGTGCCCCATATACATTAGATTTAAGCGTTGATTAAATAGTTTTTTTTTTAATTATTTTTACTTATGTGTTGTATGTTGACATCCTGTTAAGTAGTCAATTTTAGTGGTAGTCTCTTGTAATGGAGGGAGTAAGGGTGTCCAATTATTTGTGATATATATTGTGAGAAATTATAATTTAATAATTTTTGCATCATTAAATTGGCGAGGCATAATAAATTTCTTTGAATAATTTGTTTTTATTTTTCCCCGAAAGTTGATTAAAAATAAAAGGCGATTAAAATAAATATACATTTATTATTTTTAATATTGCGTTTTTCATAGTTTGTTCTTACAGAGAGCTTATTGATTTAATATGGCAGCATTACATATATGAAAAATTTAACAGAAAAATAAAACTTACTATAGACGTTTTAGTAAAAAAATACTTTAAATTTGTTAAATAAGTATAAATACTTAAAATAATCCACTCTAAACAATAAATATTGAAATTTCCAGCGTCGTTGTAGAGTTATCCACAATTTTTCACTTAGCACTATTTCACTAACAAATAACAAATACAGATATATCACAAGAAGGAACAGAATCTACATAATGTTGCACTCACAGCACTGCAGGGTATAGTACAGGCACTTGACCACGCAGTTGTCGTCCATTTCCTCGTCCTGCCTGGGCTTGTCCTTCTTCGCCGTCGGCACCCACACGCCGTCCAACTTGTCCCCTCCGTTGGCCTTTTTGTCCTTTTCGTCGCTGTCGTCGCGGTCGTCGAACTTCAGGCCCTCCTCGGAATCCTGTCGCTTCAGGTCGTCCGACTCGTTCAGCGTCGGGCAGCAGATGTCCAGAGGCTCCTCCTCTTTCACGCGCTTCTCCGGCTCGACCGCCACGGAGGTTTGCACTATGCCGGCGGCGGCGGCGGGGGCGGGGTTGGAGATTTGCACCGCCGCATCCTTGGAGGTGGTGGGCACGGGCGACGATCTTCCCTCCTTGGAGAAGTCGAAGATTTCGTTCTTGTGCGCGTTAGGCGAGTCGCCCGACATTATGGACCTGCAACAACGAAAACAAGATAAAATTAGTTTTGATTGTGTGGAAGTAGGTACATTATAATATAATTATATTATATTATAAGCGTTTTGGTCCTGCCCTGATAGCAAAATTTGATTTTAAGAATCTTCTAAGAAGATATGTCCCGGAATAATGGAATATTCTTAGAAGCTTCCCTTATTGCTAAGAATGTTCTTAGGGACTTTTAAAACATTCAATAGATGATGCAATTAGATTCTTAAAAGCTTCTTAAAACCTTCTTAAAAAGCATCCCAAGAACATTTTAAGAATACGTTTTTGGAATGTTCTTAGAAGGTTTCTTTAGAAGCTTCTAGGAAGCTTTTGAGAATATTCCCAAATATGTCAGATACCCACGTTCTAATATGTTGTATTGTACATTCGTAAAATTCTTCAGGAGACGACAACAAATACGCCTCACTGTCATAATATGACAGCGAAATGTATTTGCAAAATTTTGCGACATATTAATACCTATATATTTATTTAAAAATATTAAATAAACAATTTGACCTCTAAACCAAGTTGTATGACATTATTTCATAGTAAAGTAAAATTGGAAAATTTTGTGGGATAGGTAAGTCAGATTAGATTGAAGTTTAAGATAGTTAGGATTATTATACATACAAATGTTAATTCAGAAATAAAAAATCGGTATACAAATTAATAAATATTTATTTTTAACATAAAATAAAATACCTATAGTAAAAGTATTTTTGTTATCGAATATTGTTTTAATTTGACAAATAACTATAAAAAAATATTTTGGATTGTGTTTTTTACTTAGTATTTAATACTAATTACTAATTAGGTACTTAAATATAGGTATATGTAGTTTATAGTATATTTTACTATTATGTAGGTAACTGAACTAAATATGCTTAACACGAATATTCCTAAATGAACTTTCTATAGCAATTACTTTCTTAACATTCTAAGCATATGTTTAGAGTAGACTAATTTTTACCACTAAAACTTTGCACCTTATAAGAACCTGCCTATAGGTAAGTAAGAATATTCTTAGGATCATGTTATATGTCTTTTAAGCATGTTCTTTAGAAGAAATATAGCATGATCCTAAGAATATTCTCACTGGAAAGTTTAAAAAACATTCTTAGAATAAAGTGTGCTATTAAAATTAAATGTTGAGTGCCATCTTCAAAAGTTTTTTGTAATACAGGGTGCACCAAGTATCTTAGGTTAAATTAAAGAAAAGTAGCGTAATTACAAGTCTATTAAAATGGCGTTTAAAAATTGTTCAAAACTCGGTGGTTCTCAAATAATTTGAAAAAAACTGAAAACATGTCAAAACAAAAAATCGTAACAACTTTCGTTATTTCTGGGAATTTTTACTAGATTTTGAGTTAAATTAGTAGTTTGAATTCCTTGATTTTTTTATCCAACCAAGTAGTGGTTATGGGGGCCATTCGAGGGCCATTATAAAAACAAAAGATGTAGTAGCAAATAAATGGGATAAAAATTTAGATTAATGTTTACTTTTACATGTAAAACATACTTTATTTTAAAATTTCCAGGAATAAAGAAGTTATAACCAAAGATGTATTATCTTTGGTTATAACGATTTTTGGTTTTGACAGATTTTCAGTTTTTTTTTATATTTTGAAAATCGCGGTTTTTGTTCAATTGATAAATTTTATTTTAATGGGCTTGTAATTACGAAACTTTTGTTGTCTAATTTAAACTCAGGGGCAAAATAATCGATCCACACAAATTTTCAATGAATTTCAATGGCAAATAACTTTTTTATTTGACGTCGGATTTTAACGAATATTAAAGAATATTGTAGATAAATTAAATAGATGTACGTTTATAATATACAGGTTTAAACAAAAATAAGTTTTTTACCATAAACAATTTACAACAATTAACAAAAAACAATTTGATAGCTTTTGAAAGCCGTATATAACAGGATATGGGATGATTCAACAAAACTGCCACTGTCATCCTCCATAGGCTATGGATGGACCATAGCAACCTTAGTTCTTCGTACAGAAAAAATATTGGAAATTGCAATGTTTTTTTTAAATCCATATTTTCCACAAAAATAAATATATCAAGTTGATCTAAAAACAAAACTGTTAAAAATAGATCTGACTTGATAATTAAAACTTAAGTTAAAACAATATAAGGTTTTGCCACTCTACAGAGTGTCTTAAACTTATGGTAAAAAACATATTTTTGTTTAAACCTGTATATTAAAAACGGACGTCTGTTTTTTAGTAATTTTTAAAATGTGAGCGATTCTCCATTAATTTATCCACAATATTCTTTAAAATTTGTTTAAATCCGAAATCAAATAAAAAAGTTATTTGCGATTGAAATTCATCGAAAATTTGTGTGGATCGATTATTTTGCCTGTGAGTGTAGAATGTACTTATTTTTTGTATTTATTACATTCATAAATATAAATAAAATTTTATTTTTGAGGAAACAATGTTATATTTATTATAATATATATATATGTCCACGGCCCAAGAGAACAAATGGACTAAATTTTCATTTTTCGACCAAAAGTCATTCTTCATAAAAAGTTCTGCTTATTTTGAAAAGTCTTTTGCCATACTAAATTTGAAAATAATATACAGGGGTGTCGAAAAACAAGAAAACAGGAAATACTATCAAGAGTAAACTACCTTTATTTTTTGTTTTGGACCAAAGTGACAAATAAAAAAAAGACTTCTAATACTATCCAAAGACTAATTGACTAAAATATTTGCTTTAAACTACTACTTTAAACTTTAAAATATGGAGATTTTATCTTGAATAGTTTTAAATATTTTTTAAAACGAAATTTTAAAATTAATATCCAAGACTATGTCACTCTGACATTTTTTGTCATACATTCTTGTTTTTTGTATATTTTCAAATTTAAAGTATGGCAAAAGACTTTTTAAAACAAGCAGAATTTTTATAAGAAATAACTTTTGGTCGAAAAATTAATTTTTAGCTATTTGTCCCCTTGGACCCTCTATCCGTGGACATAATGTATATATATATATACATATACATATGTATACAGGGTGTATCACGGTCGATAGTAGGTTAGACGTTTATGGAGAACGGCAAAAGATATCGAATTGAAATTTTTATAGCAATTATATCATTTAAACTATTGTTCTAAATTATTTTGAACAAAACTCCTCTTCCGGTTTTAACGGAAGCGGTATCAACTTTGTTATTTTAAATGGATACACATAATATATATTATATTTATAAATTATATATTATATTATTATAAAAAATGAGAACGCTACTTTTTTACTATTGATTATTTCCCTCATTATAATATGAACCAATCAAAAGCCTTGAATTTTCGAATAAATTTCGTTTAAATAAGCGATTAAATCACTAGAACTATTTAGTCCTTCGGAGGGGACTTTAAGCCCGCGGTCCGTTCCTACCCCTAACCCGCACAAGCCATTCAGTTGGCTTATGGGACTTCTTAAGAAGTAAGGGTGGAACTAAAAGAGCACTTTTTGTATATTTAACAGCGATTAAATTTTAGCCTCCATATTGGATTTTTGTTTACGATTTTATGGTGTTATTTACAAGTTTTAACAAACATTTTTTAAAAAACAATAAAAAATAAGTTATCTAGTTTGAGGCCATTTCAAGCGCGCGAAACGCACGAATTACAAAGCTGCAGCTGTTTTTACAAAAAAAAAATTGTAGATTATTTATTATATAATATTTTGGCATCAAAATTGTCAAAAATATTCTTCTTTTATTAGGTTATACATTAAATAAAAAAAAACGCAAGAAATATTTTGTGAAAGTAGATATAATTTTAATAATTGAAAGGTGTGGACGGGACAAAAAAAAGATATATCTTGTCCCGTCCACCCCTGTCAATTATTGAAATTATCTCTACTTTTATAAAATATTTCTTGCGATTTTTTTTATTTAATGTATAGCCTAATAATAGAAGGATATATTTGACAATTTTGATGCAAAAATAATGTATAATAAATTACCTACAATTTTTTTTATAAAAACAGCTTTGTGATTTGTCCCGTCCATCCGCTTGAAATGGCCGTTTACGAAAAATCAATTATTACTAATTACATACCTTAAATTAATGGAATTTTCTTTAAAAAAATATTTATAAATTTTGACACATACGTCAGATTTTATGAATTGTCAAATAGTTTCTTTTAATTCGAGAAATAATCTAGACGTATATCACTCAACCTATAAATTTAATCTGTCAAACTAGGTATGCTCAGTAAGTTTTTTATTTGATTTTTCTTTTTGGAAAACAGTTTCATGCAAAATAATTAAAAATAAAACCCCTCGACCGCTACGCGGTATCGTGATTTTATTAAATTATTTTGCATTCAACATTTTCCAACAAAAACCAAACAAAAAACTAATGAGCCTAGTTTAACCGATTAAATTCATAGTTCTCGTGATATAATATATGATTAATAAGAAATTATTTAAAACCATAAGCTTTCTTTAGAAGTACTTTTATTTTTCGGTGAATTTTTGATGATACATACATAGTTGGTTAATTTAGTAAACTGGTTTTCTTCTGATTTAAATTGCGAAAACTATTTGGTTATTTCAACAAACATGAAAAAGTTCAAGTGCTTATAAATTATATATATAATAATTTTTTGATCCAAATTAAATTGTTTTTTTAAAACAAGTAAAAATATACAGGGTGTCGCATTAAAAAATATTAAAATATTTTTGTGAATACTTAGGAAACCCGACGTTCAATTGTTTTTCTATTTTCACCATTTTAATCGGAAGAAAAAATGCCACAAATTTGCTAGATTAACCGACTTTGTAGCTCCAATATTAACGAAGTTAGCAATGGAGATAATAATAATTATATAGTATAGTTAACTGTATACGTGTATACACTGTTTATAAAATATATTATGAAAAAGTATATAAAATTTATATTATAAATCAGTGGCGTACACATATTTTGTACAGCTATTAACATACGTTTTCTTATTTTGTTTGGATGTATTTATTGAAAAAAATAACTGAAGATAAATTAAAAATTACATTCTAAAAATATATGGAATGTTTCATTGAAAAAAAAACAAAAAATGTCAACTTTTAAAATTCGCATTTTCACGGTAGGTTTATAAAAATACCCTGTATAATATTTAAAAAATATATAGTACCAACCGCAAATATACAAGATAAAAAATTAAAGCACATTTTTAATAACATAAAAATTTAAAAATAAGAATTTAATCAATTGTGACAATATCAACCACAACTTTTAATTTATGTACACATTTTTTTAATATTCATTGTTATTAAAACGAATTTTAATTGCTTTTATATCCAATTATTTGTTTACATATTTCTTAGCACCATTATCATAACGGTGCTAAGTGAAGTCACTAATAAAGCACTTATTTGAATAATTGATAAGCATTAAATTACTTACAACAACAGTCCTATTAAGTGAAATAAACATAACAAAATTTTTGTACCTGAACCCCATTTCGTTTTGTTCAGTCGTCCCAAGCACTAAGTCATTGTACCGTTGGTAAACTTTATATTTCGTCACGTAAAACATCAAACCTATTAATTCACTAAATATTTATTTACACAATTTTTACATAGCCAACACCTAAGTCTAACTTCCAAACTAAACTGACTCATCGTCTTCGGTTGCCACTGCCAGTTGGACGGGTTGGTCTAGACCCACCCTCTTTTCTATTTATAAAAACCGGCGTGAGAAGTTTCGGCTATTGAGAGGTCACAACACCCTCACCTAAATTTTATTACCCCAGTCTCTGTTTTGGACCCGTCACTAACCCAAGGTCGCAGACTTTACAAGGGTGAAGTATGGTTTTAGTCCAAAGTGCCAATTAGCACCTAGGAACTAATAGAATACGTTTTATTTGCCATATTTTTGTGTCATTTTTGCTATATATTAATTATTAACGTGACAAAGTTCTATGTGACTAAAACCTGTCAAATCTAAGGTCCATCTTTATTTTTTAATAAATATATTTATAGGTTTAATTTTTCCAATTTTAAACTAGTAAAATTAAACATAAAACATAATAATAAATTTAACACTACTTCAGAAGGTTTTTTTTTTGTTTGGTTTAACCTTATTTTTAAGGTGATTTCTTGGTATTTTACAGACTTTTTTCTGGTTTTGTCCTACAAACCAATAAAGCTTGAATGTTGACGATGCAATGGTTTTAAATTTGTTTTTTTAATTTGTTGTCATTGTTTATTAACCGTGTCTAAAATATAAGTAATATTAAAATAAGAATTTGCTATTTGTAACTTTTGTTTTTTTACTGAGCTAAAAGTTTGTGTGAAGCATTAAAATACTCTTCTTGGAAAAATGGCATAATTTTATCTTCAAGGCACAATTTTATTTGTCAAACACTATACAGGATGCACCAAGCACGAAAATTTTTTTTTTCTTGCTGACACATGAAATTTTTTTTTTTAGGTTGAAAAAAAAATTCTCTGAAAATTTGAGCCCTTAACTTTTATTCTAAGTACTTCCTTTTTAATTTTGTAGTTTTTCCATATAAAAGCATGTATTTTTAATCATTTTTACTTTAAATTTCTATATTTTGGCCGGGTTTTGAATTATAATTTTTATCACCATAATTTTCTGCATAGTATTCACGGTTTTTGAAAGGCCCTGCATCAATTTTGTTTTTGATTTATTTACGGTGATTGTAGTAGCTCTAAAAGTCGTTTTTTCACTTTTTCTTACATATTTTTTAGAAAATCGAGCGAATGAGGAATATATAGTCGTTTAATCAAATTACATAAATTTCAATAAAACCTATTTTTTCTTTGTTTTTGGTTATTGAATTGCTTATATCTCTTAAACAAAGCACTTTAGTGATATGAACGTAAAAACCTTTTTTGTCAAAAATTAAATTTCCTACAACTTTTTTATTTGAACTTTTTCGGTAAAACCAGTCATTCGCTCGATTTTCTAAAAAATATGTGAGAAAAAGTGAAAAAACGACTACTACAATCAACGTAAATAAATCAAAAACAAAATTGATGCAGGGCCTTTCAAAAACCGTGAATACTATGCAGGAAATTATGGAGATAAAAATTATAATTCAAAACCCAGCCAAAATATAGAAATTTAAAGTAAAAATGATTAAAAATACATGCTTTTATATGGAAAAACTACAAAATTAAAAAGGAAGTACTTAGAATAAAAGTTAAGGGCTCAAATTTTCAGAGAATTTTTTTTTCAACCTAAAAAAAAAATTTTCATGTGTCAGCAAGAAAAAAAAAATTTCGTTTTAAATGAAACACCCTATACAAATTATGTAACTATACGCTATACAAATTATGTTAAATTAAAATATAATGAACAAATGATAACGATCAGCACTTAACGTCAAATTATGGAGTACCGGAATTTCTGGGTATGAATTTCCAGGGGGGGGCCCGGGCCCCCCCCTGCCTCTATGTAGCGGCGCCCATGGTCAAGAATCTATTTAATACTTTTGAATTTTTGTATTGAGATAGTAAAATAATTTTCACATTTAGTATTATTTTACAAGAAAGGAACTTTATTTTAACGATTGTATGACATTTTACAACTGTCAACTAACTTAAAACTAACTTCAGCCTGTGACCTGTTGCTAACTTCAATTAACTTTAATTAATTAAAAATTATGCAAACATTCCATACTTAAATATTCATGTAACCAATAATTCCACAAATAATAATATTATGATTATTAAGAAATCCAGACATTAAAAAAAGTATCAACATTTTTTTATTACCATAATAAAATTGACAAAGAATGTAGTTTGTAAAATAAAAATCTAACTGTAAATTAAACTTGCTTCGAATATGTAATGCATTTAAATACCATCACAATTTAATCATTTATTATTATTTATACAGTAGCATTTCCACGTAATGTCACATCCTATTTTAGCATGTTAATATCGATAATAGATATCTACATATTTTCTCTTCTAATAACAAAAGATCTTAAAACCATTGAAAGGTTAACCACGAGCATGACCTCAAACCTTCATAGAGTCTTTAATAATAATAAATCTTCGGTAATAAACAGGAAACTTACTCTTCCATTAGGATTAACTATTGCACGTAAATCAACAGGTAACAAAATTGCTCGGTAGCCAAGTCATTGGCGCTACGTAGCATCAACAGCAAATCACACCGTACAAGAGAGGAAAACCGGAATCGCAGTGTGCACTGGCCATGGCCAGCTAGAAAACGGAACAATGGTACCCACGAAAGGTACGTACCATAGAAGAAACGAACGACTGACTGAGGAGGTGAGTGAGTCAAGCTGGCTTAGCGATTTCATAGCCGGTCTGATGCGGTCGCGATCGTATCGCTTGACGGCCGTGATTCGGTTTTTGGTGGGCGAAAAGCGCTGAAAGCAGGGCCGGGTTCCAAATGGCTCTAAACTGATCAAATGAGCTGTGAAAACCTAGCGGCTATTATTCAAAAAATTTGTCATTAAATTAAGTGAACTTTTCTGAAATTCAAAAAGTGAGTAATAAACGACTTGTGTATGTATTTTTAGAAATAAAGTAATATTTTTTTAATTCATACAATTCCAAAAATAGGAATTAAATTATAATAATTGTATTAATAAATTTAAAGGTTTTTTATTCAGGAATTATTTTTATGTTTTAACCCTAGAGTGATATTTTCAATGTGATAAATATGCGAATTAATAATACCTTTTGACATAAGGTTTAACGGAAAAATATTTTTCCAAAGATAAAGAAAAAATAGGCATTAGAAGTTTCTTGCAAAAAATAAATAAAAACTCAATAAATACAAAAGTTTTATGCCCTTAAAGTTCTAATACCCTTCTGTATTTATTTACTCATCCAGCTATTAGCTTAAGCAATGATTAGAAAATTTAGTACCTATTTTAAAACTCCATAACCACAAAATACATTTAATCAGTTTTTTCTTTCTGTTCACTCAGATGAAATAAGGACAAGTTCACAGGTTAAACTTTAAACATTCAATTGGTGTAAATAAATCCAAAGGGATATTTACAATTTGAGCACATAACCTAAAATTTGAAAAAAATTACATAACACCGAGTAAAGCAAATATTTTTAATTTAGTAAATTTAAAATATCTATTTTTTATGACTGTATTTTGTTGTTAACACATATTTTTAATTCGCTTAATTCAAAATTAGATTTATTTTTTATGCCAAACTTATATTTTTTATTTAGTGAATTTAAAATATCTGCTTCGTATATTTGTATTTTTTTGCTAAACACATATTTTTAATCCGCTAAATTAAAAATATCATGGAAGAAATTTTTAAATGTATTAAAAAATATCATATGAGATATTTTTAATTCGATTTTATTTTTATTTTATTAATTAAGCAGATATTTTTAATTGAATGTAATATTTTTAATTCTGATTAATTGAGAGTTTGGATACCCCTGTTATTCCAAACGCCACGAAAACCGACTCACGTACGTCGTAGACCCAAGTGATTGTGCCGCCATCTAGCGACAGAATTAGTTTGGAATACCAGGGGTGTCCAAACTGTCAATCTGAATTAAAATTATAATGAAATAAAAGTATCTCCTATGATATTTTTATTTTTGCGAATTAAAAATATGTGTTTAACTAAAAAATAGAAATATAAGAAACAGATATTTTAAATTAAAAATATCAGTTTAGCATAAAAATTAAATTAAATTATATTTTTTATTTAGTTAATTTAAAATATCTGCTTCTTATATTGGTACTTTTTTGTTAAACACATATTTTTAATTAAATTAAATTAAAAATATCATAGGAGAAATTTTTAAATGTATTAAAAATATCATATGAAATATTTTTAATTCGATTGTATTTTTATTTTATTAATTAAACAGATATTTTTAATTGAATGTGATATTTTTAATTCTGATTAATTGAAAGTTTGGATACCCCTGTGATTCCAAACGCCACAAAAACCGACTCATGTACGTCGTAGACCCAAGTGATTGTGCCGCCATCTAGCGACAGAATTAGTTTGGAATACCAGGGGTGTCCAAACTGTCAATCTGAATTAAAATATCACATTCAATTAAAAATATCTGCTTTTTTTAAATTAAAAATATCAGTTTGGCATAAAAATTAAATTAAATTTTTAAATATCTACTATGATTTTTAATTCGCAGAATAAAATTTCTTATGATATTTTTTAACTAATTGAAAATATCACTTTAGAGTTAACATATAGCAATAATTCCTGATAAAAAATAAAATGCCGCCCCAAAGTTTTCGGTTTTAATTAGATAATTTTTTATTTTTTTTTAATATTTAATTTTTTAATATTTTGAATAGTCCAAAAAAACGTTTTTTTCTAACCATAGACTAAGGAAATAAAGAAAATTAAAAAATAGGTGAATGAAATAAAAAAATGTCTAAACTTAAATATACAGGGTAACCACATTGTAGCAATGCATTTTAAAATAATAAAACAAAAGCCGTAAGCATTGTCTGGAATTCCAAGTTAGCGTCCTAAGCGATGGTTTAAGGTGACAAAGGCGATGAAAGGATCGAACTAAAAACTCGTGTAACGTCCTCGAACTGTTCAAGTGTGCGCTAAAGACAGAGGCGGATTTAAAAGACTTGCATTTTTTACTTAATACATCATCAGTACCGATAATTGTAATACAAGAATCCATACATATTATAATATCCTGTGTTGAATTAATTTTTTACGCATCTGAAATTACTATGGTTCAAAATCCTGCGTGGGCAGCTAACCACAGTCCCTACATACAAGTGCATAATTAAAATTGATGGATTGCCTTGATGTTTAAATTATAAACACGTGGATGTGGTGAACAGTAGCTCCGAAGACCTGTAAGCCATTTAGATAAACAAACAGGTATGCGAGATAAAAAAGGCATCATGAAAAACCTTGGCGGGTTAAATTTATGAAGATGGCTTTTAAAAAGGTAATGAGTACATTTTACCTTATACGTTTTTCAACGTATTCGATACGTCAGCATACACTGTTTAAAATATCTGTGGTGTAAAAAGTAATCTTAAAATGGTGTCAAAATCCAACACCAAGTGGTGTTAATATAACACCATCAATTATGGTTGAAAATGTGTACCGATCGCGGCAAAGGCGGTGTGGATCACGTGATGTTCTTAAATCTCGCCTCTGTTGACTTACATGAAGAATATATAAACTCAGGTAGTCCTTTGCTTTGGTGTGACACTACAAGTTGTTCGATACTAAAGAGACCTTAAATAGGTGGAAACAGCTGTCAATACTTGAACTATTTTAAGTTAGTGCAACGCACTAAAAATATTATCTCTAGCGAGTTGAAGGTTCCATTTTCTGGAATAATACCATTGGTAATATACTAGTAATGCGACAAGGAACTTCCTGTTTCCTTTTTTTCCTTTTTTCTGTGTAGTATGATTTAATTTGTCCACAAACACATAATATTTAACACTGAAAAGGAGTTCAATTTACACAAAGTAAAATTTATTTTAATACTGTGTGAAAGTTAAATTAACACTATTTTAGTATTTGAATTTACACCGGACCAACAAACCATATTTAACACCATTTTGGTTTGTATCGATATAGACCATGTTTGGTGTTAATTTGGTGTTAAAATGGTCATGAAATTTTGAACAGTGTAGCGGCCGCGCTGATTAGGCAGCAGTCAAACACCGTGGGCGGGGGGGGGGAGACGCAGATCAAGTACTTACTGAATTAATTGATTAATTTTCTTTGTAAAATAATATTTCAAAAATTTAAGACTAACAAGTTAAATGAACACACATTTTGAATATTTTTCAATTTTTGTTCTCGCCAAAAAGTAGTCTAACAGTATACTGTTAGACTACTTTTCTACTCTAAAAATGAATTAGTCAAAAAATTTATTAGTTATTAATGGCTGCTTTTTCACTTGTACAAGGTGTGTTCAGAAAATAACGGGAATTGTTAAATTTCGCGGGTTCGGAGGGTCCGGTTGTCATAAAATTTTCTTTATTATGTTGGTATACATGCCCCCGAAGTATGATAAAAACTTTAGCTGTTTTCATTGTTCACTTTGTCTGTGGCAGCCGCTAAGGTTAGACGTGTTTTATGAGGTCGAAGATTTTTCGTTCGTTAAAAGAAATGGATCAAAGAATTTGTATCCAATTTTGCTTAAAAAATGAAATAAATTCTGTGAAATTTTAACAAAGGCCTATAGTGAGTCTGCTATAAGTAAAACAAGAGTTTACAAGTGGTATAAGAGTTTCCAAGATGGCCGTGACGACGTTGAAGATGACGAACGCCCCGAACGCACAAGCACATTAACAACTGGTAAAAACATGGAAAAAGTGGAAGAAGTGGTTATAAACCATTAGAGAAGTCGCTGATGATGTTGGTATATCGATATCATCCCATGATATTTTTTCGAATGTTTTGGGTATGAAACACGTGGCAGCAAAATTTGTTCTAAAATAGTTAAATTTTGAACAACATTTTTGGCCAAAAACAATACTGTAATGATGCCCCAGCCTCCATATTCGCCAGACATGCCTCTGTCTGACTTTTTCCTATTCCCAAAAATAAAGAGAACCTTAAAGGGCCGTCGTTTTGCAAGCATAGATGACATTAAAAGCGCATCGCTGAAAGAACTAAAGGCTATCCCAAAGATCGAGTTTTAGAAGTGTTTCGAGTATTGGAAGAAGAGCTGGCACATGTGCATAATATCCAATGGGGACTATTTTGAAGGCGACAACATTAATGTAGACGAATAAATAAATATTTGTTTCAAAAAACGAAAATTCCCGATATTTTCTGAACACACCTCGTATTCAATGATAAATGTTATTAAGCATAATAAACAGCTTATTCTGTAAATTCCATATCCATCTTAAAAATTTCCAAATAACATACCCAAATAACATACAAGGTGGTTAAAAAACAAGAAACAAGATTTTCTAACGTGGACAATCTTATTTAAAGTTATTGCTTTTGATATTTTGATTCAAGTAAGTAATTGTGCATTTCTAATTATTATTTACTTTAATCAAATTTTCGAGAGCAATAACTTTGAATTAAAGTGTTCAAATTTAAAATATAAATTTTTATACATTATAAACATCTTTTAACCAGTGGCGGCCCGTGACATTTAATTTTGGTGAGGCAGAGGCAGGGTTTCGCCCTCATTTAAAGGCGAAGACATTTTTTTAAACCCAACTTAAAAAAACTGACGTCGCATTAACAAAAGCACGACTAGGTTTACCAGGATTGATTAATATATTACTTAAATCTGGACCTTAACAAACATTTTATCATCGAAAGAAAGACGAC